CGTGTCCGTCCTAGTCTCTCAGCTTGCTCTGCCAAGATCGACATGACATCCACTGCGCAATCTCCCCTTCCCGGCCAGCGATATCTTCTGCACCCAGCGATGATGGATGCTGCACTCCAAACACCTGCTCTGGCCAATCGCTCCGGGCACTTCCAAGAGATCGACACACTGCTTCTTCCTTCGAAGATGAAGAGAATCTCAATCCGCATGCCTGCTGAGAACACGGACATTGCATCTTGTACTACCAACACTTCGCCCGTTGGCTTTAGCAGGATCCAAGGTAGCGTTGAGTGTTACGATTCGTTGTCGAGACCTTTCTTTGTGGTAGAAGGTCTGCAGATGGACAGAGCGACAAGTGATGACAACACTACTCTACCCTGGCTGAGACTCACATGGAAGCCTGACATTGGCGACATCTCAAGCAGTGACCCCATGCTCAGCTCCATCAAGATCCAGAGTCTTCCCGCAGAGAAGAAGCTCGTCAACCTCGAGAACCTAGTCAAGGAGCTCATCCCACTCATTGTTGAGAACGGCATCGACAAGGGCAAGGACTTACCTTCCCATCTACTCAGCTACCATTCATGGTTCCTCGACCAAGCCGAACTTCACAAAGACCGCCTCGCAGCTCGCCACAAGCAGCAAAACGGCTTCGCAACAGTCCAAGACGCCATAATGAACGTTGTCGCCAACTCTGGCATCTCCCAAACCGTCGACGCATCAATCGTATCCCAACTCGCCATCAACATGTCCCGTATCTTCCGCGGCGACGTCGAAGCCTTAGCAGTATGGCTCGAGAACGATTTACTCTATCGTTTCTACGAGGAGAGTATCTTCACCACCAGCATGAACCAGAAACTTCTCTCCGTCGCTGAACTTTTAGCGCACAAGAATCCCAACATGAAGATCTTGGAGATTGGCGCTGGGACTGGTGGTGCGACTACGGAGTTGCTACGTGGTTTTGCGAAGGCGGGAGGGAAGAATGCGTATCAGAGTTTTACGTTTACGGATATCTCGGCGGGCTTCTTTGATAAGGCGAAGAAGAAGTTTGCGCAGTGGGATAGGATTGAGTTCAAGACTTTGGATGTCGAGAAGGATATTGCTGAGCAGGGGTTTACTGAGAAGTATGACCTTGTCGTTGCGGCCAATGTAAGTCTTGGGTATTGTGAGTGTTGCTTCTTATGCTGACCACGTACTTTAGGTTCTACATGCTACTGCCGATCTGCCATTCGCGATGAAGAACATCCGATCTCTATTGCGCGATGACGGATACCTCCTGGTTGGCGAGCTGTCAGAGGGTACGCAACATTATTCATCCCTTGAAGCCCTTAGCTAACATTTGTACTTGCAGATCTCACTTCAGCAAACTTCCTCTGGGTAAAATATCACATCTCATCGTTTATACTACTACGTCACTAACGCTTATGTAGGGACCCTTGACTGGCTGGTGGCTCCGCCCTCGATCCCCCGGCCGTTCTGGCCCAGGTCTTACTCTCGACGAATGGCGCAACGAGCTCGCTGCCGACTTCGATAGCGTCTCTGAGATAGAAGCCAAGCACGACAAGACCGACACAGAGCAACTCTCCAGCACCATCGTCATGATGGCTAGAGCCAAGCCTGTTGAGTACACTCCACCCAAGCCGCTTTCTGAGGAAAAGGTACACATCGCTGGAGTCGGTAGTGACTTATCCATTCGAGACCACCTTCAGAAATATCTCGGCACGCGTGGTATTTCCTCAACCTCGGGTGTTCTCGAAGACCTTGCTTCGCGGGAATGGGCTGGCGAGTGGCTTATCCTCGTTGACGAGACGGAAGGAAGTTTCCTAGCCTCTCTTCAACAGGAGCAATTGAGCGCACTAAAGTCATGGCTTACAAAGCCTATCAAGTGCATCTGGGTCACTCGCAAGGTATACCTCGACCCCCAGAACACAACAGGTGGTCTGGTAACAGGCTTTGCACGAACCCTCCGTGGTGAAAACAGTCAATGCCAATTGTACACTCTTGACTTGAGCAGCGATGGCGATATCACAGCCAACGTCATCTACCATGTCTTGGAACGGGCGCATTACTCTCACGATGACGCGATCTCCAAGTTGGACTATGAGATTGCTGAGAAGGATGGGCAGCTGTGGACGTGTCGACTTGTTAATGATACTCCGCTTGAGAATGCTTATGGCCCTGCTAGGAAGATGGATGCTCCTTCGGCACAGGTTATGAAGGCTCCTCATCACTTGGTTATGGGAGAGGTTGGTATCTTGGAGAGTCTGACCATGGCGCAGGATGATGTGTACTCAGCCATTCCGGACGGGCATGTGCTTGTCGAGGTCAAGGCTGTTGGTCTTGATGAACGGGTAAGTGCCTCCACATTCTGCGTGGTTGCTTGATCTAACTTTGTACGAGGACGGATATATCGCACAGGGATCACTTCCAGCGACATCATTCGGCCGTGAGTGTTCCGGCGTCGTCACAAGATGCGGCGCCAATGTCGCCTCGTTTAGGCCAGGTGATCGCGTCGCGGTCATCGGCCAAGGGACTTTCACAACGCAGTACTTGGCACCTTCAGACTGCTGCAGAAAGATACCAGACTGGCTTTCATTCGAGGTAAGAAGAGTCCCATTATACACTGACTGCGCAAGACTAACTCTGCTACAGGATGCGGCAGCCATTCCTACGAGCTTCGTCACTGCTTTGTACGCTCTGACAACACCAGCAAGGGTATCACCAGGCCAGGTATTTACCACGCCCCTTCACCTCCAAACACCACTAACCCACCATCAGAAAATCCTCATCGTCAACGCATCCTCCCCCCAAGGCATCGCCCTCATCAAGACCGCAACAGCCCTCAAGCTCGACGTCTACGCCGCCATCAGCGACGCAACCACCAAGCCCATCCTCACCAGACTCGGTCTTCACTCCGCCAAGATTTTTGTCAACCCCACCAACACCAGCCGCTCCAGCGTGTCTCGCTCCACGACCTTCTCAGCGTACAAGATCGTATTGAACACCAAGGCGGGTCAATATGCTGACTTTGCGCACTTGGTTGCTAATCGTGGGACGTATATTGAGATTGCATCGGGTGAGAGTTCGAATAATGAGGTTTTTGTGCCGAATAAGAATGTCATGTTTGCTTCTGTTGACTTGGCGGATGCTTATCTGGAGAGCAAGCAGGATCTTGGAGAGTAAGTGATTCCATTTCTTTCTGTGAGCTTCAGCTGACATTACTAGGTTGCTTGACCAAGTCATCGACATGGTTGAGAAGCGAGAGATCGATATTGACACTCCCGTCTCAGTGAATGGACTTGACTCTCTACAGTCGTCCTTCGCGGCAGTGATAGAAGGTACTCCTAGCAAACAGGTTGTGTCGCTCACGAATGTCGACGATCAAAGATTAGTCAAGGTATATACTCTTAACCTTTCACAACACGGCTGTCATTAACCTCGATCTAGACACGGCCCAAGACTTCTCGCTTCAACCCCCACAAGACATACATTATCACAGGCGGTCTCGGTGGTCTAGGCCGCGCAATTTCAGTCTGGATGGCTAGCTATGGCGCTCGCCACATCATTCTCGCCACCAGCTCTGTCGCTCGAGCCTCAGAGTCCGGCGATCTTCTTCAACAGCTGTCATCATATGGATGCAATGCCAGAGTTGAAGTTTGCGATGTCGGTGATTCTGAGGCTGTTGAGAGCCTTGTTTCATCAATTGATACTCCTGTTGGTGGAATTATTCACTCTGCGTTGAAGCTTAGTGTAAGTTTACCCGATGAACTTGTATAGAAGCCTGTCTAACTTTTATTAGGACTGCTTCTTTGAGGACATCACTCTGGAAGACTTTGATGCTGTCTTTGGTCCCAAGGTCAATGGCTCGCTGAACCTCCATAACTCTCTGCTCGGCCAAGATCTCGACTTCTTTGTCATGCTCAGTTCAGGCTGCGGAGTCCTCGGCAACGAGGGTCAATCCAACTACGCCGCAAGTAGTACATTCCTCGACACCTTTGCCCGATACCGTCAAAGTCTTGGCCTGCCCGCCTCATCTGTCGATCTCGGCTTCGTCGAGGACGTCGGCAACATCAGCGAACGTCCTGAGATCCAAGCCTCCCTCTTATCCCGCGGTCTCAGACCCATCACAGTCCGCGACGTGCTCCGTGTCGTCGAGGGTGCCATCGCAACAGGTTCACCCAAGAACCTCATCAGCGACTCAACCTACGATGGTTTCACCGAGAGCCAGATTGTTCTCAGCTTCGGCATGATCGACAAAGCCACAGCAGAATACCAATCCTGGGCTCAAGACTCCAAGTTCGGCCTTTTGCGATCTCGCGCCGCTGACAACGCTGCTCTTGATTCCGATGCAGATAGCGGCGAGAGCGCAGTCCAAACAGCTGTCAAGGCCTTCCGAAACACGTTGGGTCGATTAGGTGATGCCCCTGAAGGCAAAGAGGCAGCGTTACAGCCATTTGTTTGCACTGCTCTTGTTGCTAAGTTGGCGCAAGTACTGTCGATCAAGGTTGGCGATATTCAGCCTTCGAGATCTGCAATTCAGTATGGAATGGACTCGCTTATTGCGATAGAGGTTCGATCCTGGGCGCGATATGCGTTCCAGATTGATTTGCCCATTAATGATTTGACGAACCCGTATAGTATTCAGGATCTGTCGGCGAGGGTTTCTAGAATGATTGTTGGATGAGTGGACGATTTTCTTTTGTGCTTGGGTATACCACAGATTGGGGTGGCTCTTGTCTTTTCATTTTTTCTTATCTGATGTTTCCTTTTGTGCATTTTCATTTGTTTGTAGCTTCACGATATGTACGACACGTCAATTGAATACACTCTTTGCTTCTCAGATCATATGCTTCCCGCATAACTGTGTTCATCTATACATATGCCCTCATAAGATATCTCTCCCTCCTTATAATCACGCCTGAGCAACCCTCGTGTCCAGCGAGCTAAAGACAATGCTATACAACACCAAAAATATGCAATTCAGTCCCATCAGAGGGTCTAGTCTAGAGACTTGGTATTCCGTAACCCAGCACGATGTCCTTCCTCATCGTGGCATAGAAGATTCCGACATGGAAGTCGACACCGACGCCGAGACCGAAGCCGGCGCGGAATTCGATGGCGTTGACGATCCAGGTGCCGGCTTTTGGGCACAAAAGGTTATTCTGCATTATTGTGAGCTCTAGTCCTTATAAAAATGAGAAGGTTGGTACTCACAATGTCATAAATGAATGGTATTTCGTATTCCCGATCTCCTTCTTCACTTCCCCCAGAAACTTCTTAACCTGCTCCGGCGACCAGCCCAAGCCCTGTGTAAAAACAGGCATCGTCAACGGCTCAAGAATAAACAGCCAATTCTGCGTCATGAGATGCCCTATGCGCTGTAACTTCTTCCCTGGATAGCATGCATTCGTCGGTGCTCCGTGTCTCGTCTCGATGACGCGCTCAAAGCCAGCTTCTTGTAGGTACGGCTTGAACTTTTCCGGATATTTCAGCGTTGTACCAAAATTCCGCATCCCTTGCTCCATTAAATCGTTCCATCTTCGAAATGCTGTGCCGTTTAGTGAGTGGTTTGGTGATTGTAGGATTGCGATCCATTCTGTGAACTCGACCCATCCTCCTGGTCTCAGGTTGTCAAATGCTGATTGGACCAGCTTCTTCTTGTCGCCGATATCGCCTAGTTGTCGGATGTGAATGAAATCGAAGTTGCCGCCGTTGAAGATATCCCAGTCGTTTGTGATGTCGAATGTTTTAAAGCTGCAGTTGGATTTTGTATATGGTGGGTGCACTGGTTCGATGTCGACGCCTAAAACTGAACAGGAGGGGTATTTCGTGGCTGGTAAATGTTAGCATCAGTAACAGAAAGCCCATGAAGTCCGAGGGGTACCAAATTCCTACAGCATCAGTGTCAGCAGAATTTACATCATGAGATGCCTCCAGAACTTACCAATGCCCATGTCCCAGGTCCAGTGCCAACATCAAGCACCCGCTTCGGCCTTGACGTTATCGGCGATAAATGAAGTCCCTTGAAGATATTGATGATAACAGTATGTTGAATGACTAAGCGCAATCTTATCAGTAAATCCGCGGGTTAAAGAGAACCGAGGCATGGCAGCATCATACCATTTCTGTCTTGTTCTTGCTAGACCGAAAACGTATTAGTATCCGAGTACCCGTATCGCTTTGTGAGATGTGATGATTGCAACATACCTGGCTATTCGGCACCAAACCGTACCCTGTTCGTCATCGTTTGGTTAATTCTCGGATGCTACTGTGAAAGCAGGGGAGGGGGAAAACGAACGAACAGAGGATTTGGTGAATTTGGCGACGAATGCTTGGAAGAACCGTTTGGACCGTGACCCACTGAGACACATTAGCATGGGAGCAAACAATGGAGCCAACCCACCAATCAGTAACTCCGTATCGTCACTGATCTGATCACTGACACTTACCGTTCCACTGGCTTGTAACTGGCAACAAACTCATCCGAAGAATCAGAAGAGTCCTCTATGCTGTTGGTCTTGACGACATGGTCCTCCCTTGCTGCCGCCGCCGGGGAGAGCGTCTGCCGGTCCCATCCGCCTGAGCGTCGGGTAACAGGTGTCCCGGGGAGGCCCCCTGTCTGAATCTGGCTGTCACTAGACACGCTAGAGGCGTAGTTGGACGACGATGAGGCGGTGAGCGTCGTCTGTGCAGGGGGCCTCGCCATGGCTGACGACTGTAGAAATTCCGTCGAGCCCCCGCCAGCGTCAGCGCCGCCGCCGCCGCCGCTGCGAGTCGAGCTCGAGTCGTGTCCATTGTTGTCCATCGAGTGAGCCATTTTCGTTGCTAATAAACACGGCGGGCCGCGCCGAAGCCTAACAGCTTGGGGGTTTTTTTTGCGTTCGTCGTTCGTCTCCCTTTTTTCCCTTGCTAAATTATTTTAGTTTGACAAATGGTGTCGAATTGTAGAAAAGGTAATAGGGAATCAAAAATAACGCTCGTCGGCAGTTGCTTGGCTGCACGAAATATATGCAGTCCTGACGTCGTAGGGGTTCAGAAATGGCACAGCAGAGCCAACGACAAGACACGGGACAGCAGAACCTGTCGCTGGCTGGCTGGATGGGGTCATGCTACTCTTCTATGTAGAAAAAAAGAGAAGGAGAGAGTGAAAAAATTGTTCCCCGACGTTGGCTGTGTTGGGTACCGAGACGGGACGGGCTGAGAGCGAGCACCCTTGTTTGTTTGTCTCGTCCTCTAACAGATCATCAGAGTGCTAGCCCTGTCAAGTTTAGCTTAGTGCCCTCAACTGACAAACGGCTTGTTAGCTTTGGCCCGCACTTTAGAGTTCATCACATTGCGCGGTAGCATTAGTTTCGAATCCGTCACATAATGAAAGTGACTTGTTTGACTGTAATAAATAGGCGTTGTTTTCTCGCATGTTTGCTCTGTGCTCGGGCCCAAAGAAGATACCGAAATCGCGAGTATGCAAATTGACTGATCTTCAGTCGATTCTTTTTCAGCCGCCGACGTCTGAGGACGATTGCCAACGCAACATTAATTATAGGTCAAGATCAATAACTTGAGGTGCAAGGTATTTATGTTGTTTGTTGTCTCATGTCCTTGGCACCTCATGCTGTTGGCTTCAATTCAACTGTTTGTTGGTTGTCGCGTGACCCATATCCAGCTCCATTCAATTGCTCCAGAGCAAACAAGACTGGCAAGAGTCTCTTTATAACATTTACCGGCTACCCTTCCTGCGGAGAAGTGCGTGTAATTGTTTAAAGCTTTTTGTTCATTTCTGTGCCATCTTGAAGCTCGTCGCAGAGTTCTTTTATTTCTTATCAGTGTTTTAAATACATTGGCCGTCAATGGCTACCCTGAGGCCGGTGTATTACCTCCACTTAAGTCCATTGAAACTAAAAGCTTTTGTAACCTAATGAGATAATTTAATAGAGAAACTTAAATTTTATACAAATTATCTCAAAAACAGAAATACTTCTCTGGCAAGTTGAATAGTAGCTCAGAAATGTATTTAGGTAGACATACATCGCTCGTGAAGTGTCAAGCTTCTGTAGTAATGGACTGGTTTTCTGACTTGTACCCATGACTTAGGTACACATATCATCGGTATACTTGTCTATCTTTCACTTATGCCAGCTAGGAAAACTCAAAAGTCTATCTATCTTGCTTGCAGTTTATAATTGCTGCATTGAAGATCATATATTTTTTACTCACTAATCTTATCTATTTGGGAAATAGTTACGACACCCACAGTAGTTTGAGTAACGTGAGACGTATGCCACTGAAATACGGCAGATCTGCCAGAGCCAAAGTGAGCCCAAGATCATGTAGGACGATCTGCCAAGGCTATGCAGTCAGCCTGATCACCGGGGCAAAGTTACCCCATCGGATCCTGCACCCCATCTAAGGATCCCCGATCCAGGACCGCCCCCATGGGTTCATGAGTAGGTAACCTACTTGTAGTTATACACTGTATAGTTATTGGGTAGATCTTGCGTAGTAATCAGATCTTTAAGATGGCAGGTAGAAGGGTCATGCAGTGCGCTGGGACTCAAGATCTGTTATGAGGCTAAGAAGCAACACACTCCATCTTGAACTCTCCATAAGTGCCGTTAATACCCAGCAGTCCCTGTCTTAAAGCATCAGTCCACACTAAAGCCCCCATTGAACTACGCCGGAGACCCTTGCGCAGGACTATATACTTGAGCACGATAGCGCCATATCCTTCAAGGCTGTACCTATTTGTCTTTGTTGAAATGTTTCAAAGGCCGAACCCGCATCTCTTATCTTTTGAGAAGCAAGGTTCGTTGAGCCGCACGGTGAAACATGAGGATATCAGCAACTGGCAATCAAGCCTTGTTGACCTCCCTCCCACTTCAGCGATCTGCAGCCGCTCACAAGACCGGACCGATGTATGATCTCGACAGTTTTCAAACTCCTAGCCAGAAGTGAAGCTGATTGGACACAGTATTTACAGCTCATCTTGACAGCAAGGGTGCATGATGATGTCAGTCCGACCCCTTTGACAAAAGCACATGGACTCAGTGAAGATCTTGGATGTAATATAATGTTTAAGCGGGAAGACATGCAACCCGGATACTCCTACAGGTTGAGGGGGATATACAACAGAATGGCCAACTTGGATAAGGAGCAGAGATGGAAAGGCGTGATAACATCTTCTGCGTGTAAGTAAAGTCCAAGGGGAATACAAGCCCGTGTCTAAAATCTCATAGCCGATGCTCTAGCTGTATCATACGCGGCGAAGAAGTTTCGAACGCCATCGATAATAGTCTTGCCAGAGAGTACGACAGAACTCAAGATCAAGGAGCTAACGCGTCTCGGGAGTACGGTTAAGTTACACGGACTGACTACTGAGGATGTCAAAGAGGAGTGCTTGCGGCTGCAGTCACTTCATGATCTAATTGTCATTCCCCAGCCTGGAAATGAGTACATCATCTCCGGTTGCGGTACTATCGGACAAGAAATAGTACAGCAGACGACCCATTCTCAAGTCCAAGCGGTCTTCTGTCCGGTTACTTGCGGGACTCTGATAGCTGGCCTAGGCATATATCTCAAGCGCATCGCTCCCAACATCAAAGTCATCGGAGTGCAACTCCATGATTCAGCGGATATCTCCCGGTTGATACACTGCAAGGGACAGCCGACGTTGGAAGAGCACCTACTATCGAGGAGCATTTGTCCAGAGGTCGCTCGCATCTGCAGCAATGTTATAGATGACATCGTCCAAGTCACTATGAACGAGGTGTTGATAGCGACAAAGAAGATATACGAAGACACACGGCAGCTTGTCAACACAGAAGGTGCACTAGCTGTCGCTGGAATGAAGAGCTGGATTACGTCGAATGGATTTGTAGGTTCAGAGAAGGATTTTATTGCGATCACTTCAGAAGCTCAACTCGACTTTTCAGAGATATCGTCTATCGTCAAACAAGCCTCGCTGGCCGAGATGGCGATGGAGCGTGAGAATAATAGTGGACTGGAATCACTGGCGCATGGTGCAGGGACTTGCGCTGGTGACGGATGGTCTAGCAGTACGACTGTCATTGGGACTGAGACTATCGCTAGCTTTACATCTGATGTTGATGGCAGTCTGTGGAATATCTGATACACAGAAAACCTTATAGATGTACATAAGTAAGAGCCAACCTCGTCCAGTGGTATGGTGTTCTGTGCAATCTAAAACATGGTCTTTGTAAATTTGCTGCATTAGATCATTATAGCCCATCCAAGAAAGTAAAGCAATGCTCTCCTACTGTGAGTAAAGGTTTGAAAGCCTGAACCAAGATCAAAGCTTATAAACACGTGTAAGATCCAACGCTTGGCACTGCACAAGGTAACTGAATCTAGAAATATGCTGCGCTGGATTGCTGACAGTTCATCTGCATGGAGATTACGTGACGGTCATCCGCCTCATGCCGAGCCTAATCCTGACATTCGATCTTGAGATATTAAACATATCTTAGATTGAGATGCCTTTTCAAAGTGAACCGTTACCTGGCCCACCTTTGTAATTATTACAACTTGTTGGTCAGAAGTTTAATAAGCATCGATCTGAGCTGAAGATCTCGGTTGATCGATGAGCCGGCTCTGTATCTCGATCCTATTATCTTGGAGTTCTGATTTTACAATAATTTGTATAAAAAGGTTATGTGTCTCTTCTATAACATCAGAATCTAATGGCGCCAACCTAAGCAACCCATTTGTTATCACTCCTCCCGCTCAACCAAGATTCTTGCCATAATGAGAACCAGTCTGTTCCTTTTGGCCGTCTCGCCAGTGGCCATTCTCTCAAGCGTCACACTTCCCGTTCGCTCTCTCTTACCCCCTGATAATGCAAACCTGACTCTAAATGGCGCAGTGAGTCCTCTCTGATGCATGCTCACTTAAAACCTTCACTAACATCCTCCAGATCGAGTTGTATCCTCTTAACTTCAACATCTCCGATTCTCAACACAAAGGATGGACTCAGATCGACGGCTCATTCTGGATCAACGCATTTATTCATGGCTCCAATGGCCACGATTACTACATCGCCTCTCACTTGATGAGCTACGCTTCCGATATCGAGGGCTCCAAGCCGGTGTACCGAGCATCAGTGCTTGATCTGACCGATCCCACAATTTTCCACAAATATGATCGAATTGCTCCGGAAAACATCACGTTTTGGACTCACGATGGTGATTTCCAGGCCAATTTTGAAGATTATGGAATGGAGTCTATCGATAAGAATCCGTTACATGGTCTTCATACTTACAGTTCGGCGGAGAACGTCGAGTTTGACTTCAATTTCTATTTCACGTCTCCCATCTTGCTCAACGCAGCTCTGGGATCCTATCAAGTCGGTGGTGGACTTGGCTGGGAGTGGTCAGTTCCAAGAGGACGCACCGACGGCTCATTCAGAGTCAGTGGCGAAAAGGTTGACATCGTCCCCGAAAAGTCCTTTGCATGGTATGATAGGCAATGGGGCTCACTTCAAGACTCTTTCGATTGGATCATGCTTCATTTCGAAGCATCAGACTGGTTGGACATCTCCCTTATGTGTGCTTGGAAGTGGGAGGACCGCGTGGATGGCCAGAAGATGTTTGCTACGGTTAGAAATTCGCTCACCGGCCGAGACTCTGTGGTTCCTATTAACCTGACCGCCTTGACAACCAATGTCTGGGTATCACCAGATACAGGGCTTGAGTATCCGCAGGAATGGATTATTCAGTGGGAGGATACGGAACTTCTCGTCACAAGCCCGAGGCCTGATCAGGTTATTGAGGCTGATGACGATACCGGGTTTCCGTCGCAGTTCAGTGGTTATGTCAACGTGATTGCTACTAAAGCGGGATTTACTCCAGTCAGAGGATTTGGAGCAGTTGATCGCATGAAGATCGAATAGTCCAAGCGGTACTGTTTGGTCCAGTATGGGCCATCTGGCGACAAGCGACAGAACTGGAGAGCTCTTTGGGATCTCATCTCCATAATACAACTATATAAAAATCTGCAGCTAACGATGAAGCTCGATATGTGTATATGAGTGATCATGAAATGCTTCTAACTGGCCGTTTCCCCGAGACAATTTGTGAGCTAAAGATAAACCATATGTCATCATAATCCTCGGGGTATTATCTACCCGAGCCTCGACTTACATTGTGAGAGGCTCGGAACAAACCACATCTCGGGATCAATCCTGCTTAATATAAAATGTATTAAGTATACGGCGCGGAACGTCAATCTGGAGAACATACACATCAAGCTGTAACAGACAACACCATGACTGTACCAAAGGACTTGGCTCTGCCTAACTTCGACGCGGTGTTCATGCAGGTGCGTTTCAATTAAAAGGCAGGTCCTTTTACGGAACAATTTAATTTGCTAACGGATCCCAGAATAACCAAGAGAGCGATTCTCAAGACCCAATCCAAGCCCTGGTAAGATAGCTATGCTGAATCGGCAGTCGCTGCCTTTGCTCCCCGGGACATCAAGCTCTGGATGTTATCTTCTCTTGCATAGATCTCAAGTTCACTAACCACTTCTGATTTGAATCGGTACAGCAAGGCGTCCCATATGCCATCCGCAAAGTCATCAGCATAGCCAAGATCAAGATTCACATCATCGTTGAACCCGTTGATCCAAGCAACCCATCCTCACCCTACCACTTCAAGCTCACATCCTCTGTTATGGGTCTCGGCATAATTGGCGCTGCACCTTTACGAGCCGTTGGCTTCCAAACTGACAACACCGACGTTCGCGTCATGGATGGTGTCGAGCAGGAGAAGGACGAGCCCATGATTGGCAAGACAAAGAGTCGCATTTGGATGTGCACCCTTGAGGAATTGATGAAGGAACCTAATAGCATTGGAGAAGTCACTGAGTTTCTCAAGCAAGGCTGGGAGGGTTATGATGAGAAGACAGCAAAGGTTGTGCGGATTAGCATCAAGAGTGCGGGGGCTGGAAGCGCTGAACCGTGGCAGAATGAGCAGGTTTGGGGGGTTCAGAAGGGGAGGTGGACGGCGCGCGTTGCGTTTAGGAAGGGGAGTGTTAGTGAGACTGCCCGTATTCTATACGACTATGTCGCTTGAGACGTCAGAAGACAATGTTCATAACTAGGTTGTCAATATCCCTCACTCGGTACGCTCAATGGTACTGGTGTCTGAATTCGAACTCAATAACTGCCCTACAGGCCCCGTGCAGCCATTCTTCAGCGGATGCTATAGTGGTCTGATGCACTGGAGTTAACATGGCACGGGGGCAACAGCGCTATGACAGAGGGGACTCAGTGGCACATCCATTAACTGCAGAATAATTGCTGCATCATCTCTGCAACTGAACGTCTGCGCTACCTGCAGAGCTGACTTGGACCTGCTGCGGGATGACAGGATTAGGATTGCGGGATTATGGGATTTTGGGGGAACTGCTGCAGGATCATCGGGATTGGCGGATTATCGGGATCACAACGAAATAGCGGCCAAATTGATGTCCGATCCCCAAAATGACCTGAGAAAAGCGACTTCCAGGCGCTCGCTGACGCAGCCAAGCCATTTCTTGTGCCCTATAGCGCAATCCTCGGTGGTTTCTCACTGGGGTTTCTCCCAGTGCGGACGAATTGGCCAATTCGCATCCCGAAGTGCTTTTGTATATATAGAATATTGTAATGTTGTATGCCAGCCTAAAGAAACCCCTCTTGGTCGTATTGATCAATTTCTTTTTACAGGCCACCTTTTGCAGCTGCACAATGATGAACCTTGGCTCTGATGGCTTGCGAAAGAGGGTCGCGATCGTGGGCGCTGGTCCCTTGGGCTTGATCGCGACTAAGAACTTTGTTGAAGAGGGCTTTGACGTTACTACTTTTGAGCGGAATGAATATGTTGGTGGTTTGTGGCATATCACGTCTGATCCTACACAGACTTGCGTATTGCCTGGGACGATCACCAATACATCAAAGCTCACGGTACATTCCTCCCCGCAATCGACTCTTGATAGAGATACTGACTGACCGCTACAGGGCGTCATGACAGACTTTCCCATGCCAGAATGTAAGCCACCATCTCGTCGCTCACCTCACTAATTCATTGCCGACATTTTACAGCGTATCCCATGTATCCAACCGGCGAGCAGATTGAAGAATACTTCCAATCATACGCCAAAGAGTTCAAGCTCATCCATCACATCAAATTCGGCACAGAAGTCGTCGGTGTCTCCCGCGATGAAACCTCCAAGATGTGGCGTCTCTCGTATCGCTCCAGCAGCAAACCCGACGCTGGCATCCAAGAAGACACATTTGAACGATTGATCCTCGCCACCGGATCATTCAGCAAGCCATCAATTCCCAACGTCAAAGGTATTGAGGGTTTCAAAGGTGAAGTACTTCATTCCCAAGCCTTCAAGAACCCCGCCAAGTACAAGGGCAAGAATGTTCTCGTCGTTGGTCTTGGAAGCACAGCTGCAGACTCCATTTCTGGGTTTCACAAGGCGGGCGCGAATAAACTCATCGTGTCGCATCGACAAAAGGTTCTCATTTTACCTCGCATCACCAAAGACAACAAGGTCTTGGAGTTTACGCTCTCATTTCGTTTACTCCAATTGATCTTCTTTCTTCAAGAGGTGAATGCATGGCTCATGTCCATCATCTTCTTTAGCGAATTGAAGAAGATTCAGCAGGACAACTTTCCGGGTCTGTCGTCGCATCCTGCTTTTACAGATAGGCGAAAGATGCCTGGGCCGAAACATATGATACCGACTGTCAGCGATGACTTGGCTGGTTATTTTTTGAGCGGAAGGTTCGTCATCAGGATTTATATCTCGTTTTCATACTGACATGAGGCAGACTACGAAGTGCTCCCGGCATTGCAGAGATCAACGGTCCCAAGTCTGTCAAGTTCGTTGATGGTAGTGAAGCCACCGACATTGATCTGATACTCTTCTGCACTGGCCTATCGCCCGACTTGGCTTCATTCATCCCCAAAGACTACGACCCCTACAACGTGGATCTATCGCCCAGCTCATTTGCCAAGCTTCAGCCTCACTACACAGCTGATAGACGTGTCGCTCGTTTATACCGAGGCTTCATGTCGATCCAGTGTCCTCATCAGTTAGCATTCCTCGGAACAACACTGGCGAAGAGACCAGCCTGGCAGCTCTACGACTTGATGACCATGGCACTAGCTCAGCTCTGGGGCAATAAGTATCCAATGCCCTCTCCCGCAGAAATGAACAAAGACGCCGATGCTTTCATTGACAATATCGTCAAACTGAGCAAGGGCGGTGACGTCAAGTTCACTGGTGTCATTGGTCATAAGGAATTTGACACATGGCTGAATGATGTCGCTGGGACAGGTCTTTATGATCATTTGGGGAACTGGACCAGCGGTAAATGCTGGAAGCTTTGGTGGAAGGATAGAGAGTTGTATAATAAGCTCATGACGGGTATTCTGTCAGCTCATGTTTTGAGATTGTTTGACACTGGTCGGGGGAGGAAACCGTGGGCTGGTGCGAGGCAGGCTATCATGGAGGCGAATGATGCTGCCGACAACTTTGGCAAGGACAAGGCTTGATATGGAAAGGACATGATTTAGTGCTGGTTGTAACTGAGAGTACTATGATTGAGAGAGAAGGGAATATCGTTGTGCTGATTAGAGTCATGAGATACCTAGTATTAGCCTTATACAACCGTCGGTGGAGCGTGCTCGATACAGATATCTTCACACCACACCATTTGTCAACTGACCGCCTTAATCAACCCATACCTCCCAGGGCGTGTCTCCCTCTCTTCACCGATCTGAAAGTGACTCGGCAATCACCTCGGGACCTAGGGTCTCTCTTCCAGGTAGTTTAGGCTTCAACGCTAGCGATTCAAGACCCTGGATTCAAGGGTCCAACCTATGAGATCTACACCGTAGCATGGCCACGTACGGCATCTTCTTGGCGAGTTCCGCGGCTTCCGACGTCAATCTCCCGTGGATAAAACGGCCTCGCATCCCACTATCGCCAAGAGGTTTAGCGAAAGCGACGGCTCCACCTCGAACACAGAGAGGTTTACGACGACAATGCAACGGTTGACGGACATCCAGTGAAAGTCCGCTGAGTTGGGGTTCTAGCGACTCATGGATGTGCATTATGATGGACCAATGAAGATTGATGGTGTTGGCATGGGCACAAAAACGTGAAGGTATATCCAAGTGGAGATCATTGGGACTATTCATCCTCTACTTGCAGCAAGCTTGGTTCCTCGCCCTTGAAACGCGGTCCACAGACTTATCAATATAGGCGCCGTACTCGTGTTCGATAAGGTCTCTGGCATTACCGAGGCGCTACATACTGACCTCGACACCACGACCTTGATGACTGATACCGACTGGGGCGAGTTCACACCGACTAAGCAGTAGCTCGACGAGGCCTTGCCATATACCCCAAACCCCAGTCGTCTGGGGTTAGAGTTAGTAGAAGTTGGCGAGAGGTGAACGTGAGACCAGGTGGAACTCGGAGAAGGGGGTATTGGAACGTAATGCTTAAATAAACTTCCGAGCAAGAGTTGAACGGGCAGAAGATGGAATCAGGAAGAAATTGTACACCCTGAGATAGAAGAAACTACAGTCGAGGGTCAGTCGTAGTACCTAACGAAACTATCAGCGGCTTTATTTATAAGGAGGCATCTGCCTGGGTCTCAGTGGGATGTGGCGACAAGAGGCTTTGTGATCAGGATTAGTTGAGCAGGATTTCTCGCTGGAATGATTTGGGAGCTCTATGGTCTCTTGAATAAGCAGATGTGATTAAATGATACACTGGGTCTGACGTTATGATGGAACACTCATGGTGGATAGCCGTTCGTGCGAAAGTGATATACAGTGTCACGTTGAACTGAGAGGAGTCAATGACGGCAGAAACACCTAATTAACAATGCAAAGAACGTCCAATTGTATTAATATTGTGGTCCAATGACACTTAAGACAAGTCGAAGGCCCAGCCTTACTAACATCGCACTCGCAGTTGATATCCTGCAGCCCGCTGGATACTGCAAAGGCATAGTGACTAATATTGCTCAGAACGGCCAATCACAAAGCTAACCCAAACTAGCTCTGTTATACTTGCCCATGATGTTAATCCCTCTTAATGCAATAATGAACAGAACCAGGCTGACAATCTCTAACACAATAGCAACGAGACCTGCAATAAAGGTATAGGACTGTAGTACAATAGTTAGTAAATATGATGTATGAATTGCCGGTCAGGTAGAATCCTAACATACCAGTTCTGTGCACAGGCCTGCCCAAGGAATGTAGCTCTGTCGTGAGCTATTTCGGCATGACCAAGACCAAAGGTCCCAGTGGTTATTTCGAAGGACTTCCTTATCGACGATGAAGTAAACCGTTGCGGCAATCCAGCCTGCAATGACAACACCAGAGCTGACAAGGACAGCGCTGGTATGTATCAAGCCGTCGCGCATAGAGCGGAACTATCCTTTGTTAGACCATCAACCCAGAATCGCTCAAACAAGGACTTACAAATCTGAGACGGGTCGCTAAAGCTATAATTTGAACAAAGGATGCAAACGCCGCGATTGCAAGCATCAACCACGTCGAGAGCATCTTGATCGACGCCCAACGCGTTCTGACCCAGCCATCCTCATTCCTATCCACAGAGTTATGCGTCGTCTTCCAGACACTGACTCCATGGATCAGAAGACTCAGAATGCTGAGATCAAGTAGAAGAATGAGAACACGCAGGGCCAGCCTGGTGGTATCAAAGATACTCGCGCCCTTGGTCTGCGGCGCACGGCGCTGCTTCAGTAGCTGCTGTGTATCAGAGACCGGACGAGGACTCTTTTCAACATATCCATTGTCGAATTCATCGTGAGGGTCGAGCCGGTTAGAGTAAGACTCATAACCAGAAGGTGCACTGAGATCCATGATGAATAACAAGTCAACGATGTAAGCGTGGTTTAATTTCTCCAAATAGATACTTGCACGGGGCCTCAATCTTCTTATATCGTGATCTAAGCGGGCTTCATGAGTAAAAAGAACTTTTGCAAAACTGTCATGCAATGTAATCCTGTCATCCGCTCGCCGACACCGCCTCCTCAAACAGCCAATCATTTTATACTAGTTTCGTCCGCAGTAAGCTGACTGTGAGCCCTAACAACAACCATAATCCTTATATCTAAGCATAAGGAATTAAATGCTGGCCTGTTCTAGCCTATTCGGGGTCGGGAAATTAGCCCTGATTATTCAACATGTCTTTTAGCGAGTTGCCAGCTATTTTAAAATGCCTTGGCTCCATATGAAGCATTCCTTTCGGCGGAGGCTGAGTAATCGGTCAGCATGAATGGAGATGCTTGATTGGTTGGAATGCGAAAATGTTTATAATTAAGTGCGGCTGTGTACAGCCTTATGGTCGGCGACCAGATGACAATTTGGACTAATGCATTACTGCTTACAGCTGTCAAGTGATTGTCCGAAATACGCGCACTAACGCGAAGTAAATCTCGGATCCTCACGAGATGTTGAAAGATGGATATAAGGACGAGTATGGCACCGTGAACAGAAAATATCATCACCAACAACTTCGCCAACTCAGTCTCAACGGCATCAGAAACATTTCCCACCAAATATCTTTACTTTATTCGTATCAATCTCTAAATCACATCATACACCTAACACAATGCAATTCTTATCAATCCTTCTTCTCGCCGGCTCTGCCCTCGCCGCTCCTCGCGCTGCTCAGTCATCTTCTCTTCATTCTCGAGGTGACAGCATCGACGACATGCTCCCTCCCATCGTACCCATCAACACACGCAGTGGAGACCGAGATCTCATCTCCAAGATCATCACTGCCCCTACCCAAGCCGAGCGCGTCAAGCTCCTCAACCAACCTGGTGATTTCGTCTTTGACTTCAAGGCAGCCACCGGAGCCGGCGAAGCTACCGGAAAAGGCGGCAGGTCCGTGTCAGCTACGGCCCTCACCATGCCCGCTCTCATCGGCAACGGTGCCTCCATGACAGTCGCTTTCCTCGGGCCCTGTGGAATGAACACAGCTCACGTTCATAATCGAGCAACGGAGCTCAACATCATCGTCAAAGGCCGTCTCGTCACAAACTTCGTCGTTGAAAACGGCGCCAAACCTATCGCCAACACGATGGATACCTTCCAGATGTCCGTGTTTCCCCAGGGCGCTATTCATCAAGAATTCAACCCTGATTGCGAAGATGCTGTGTTTGTCGCTGCTTTCGACAACGCTGATCCAGGTGTGAACCAGATCGCTCAGAACTTCTTTGCTCTTAACGGTGATGTTGTTCAAGCTACTCTGGGCGGTGTGCAGACAATTGATGGAAAGGATATCGAGTCTTTCCGCGCGCACATTCCCGCCAATATTGCTCTTGGTATTGATGCTTGCCTTAACAAGTGCGGCATCAAGAGGAACGCCAAGCGAGATCTTAGCGAGCTTCTGAATTAGATTGGGGCGTGACGCGGTTTGCTTCTGGCTATGATTTCACTGGTAGATATATTGTTTTATGCATCGGTAGATATAGAGTTTCATGTACATAATCAGCTTCTCATTTAATGCGCAAATTTAGACTCAGTCATTATCACTTACCTCACACGACTGACCTTAAAGTTGTAGACAAGTGACATTATCTTTTGTTTAAAGTATGACAAGTTTGACTTAGACAAATATATTTAGTGTATGTGGCTCTCTTTAAATGCTCTCTCACAGCTGCTTTCCAGCCAACTCAAATAAAACCTTGGCTTTTTCCGAGATATCATACATATCCATCTCAACATCAACAAGAGTCAGGCCTTTACCCTTTACAAAGCCCTCAGAATTCAGAACCTCATCCAGTTCCTCCATATTCCTCACTTTGCAAGAATGAATCGGATATCCCGCCGGCGCGTCCCCAAATAACTGCGGGGCAGCACTATAGTTCCAAGGCGCCACATCGTTATACGCTTCATTCATTCCATGGATATACCTCTCATACGTATACCCGCTGTTATTAATGATGAATATAATCACGTTGGCACGCTGGTGAATAATAGTGCTGAGTTCTTGAGCCGTCATCTGGAAGCTTCCATCTCCGTCAAGAAGAATCGTGCGACCTTTTGACTTCATGACTGCCTTTGCTTGCGAGACTCCAAGAGCGGCGGGGAGCATGTGACCGATTGAGAACCACATTCCAGATGCGACAAGCTGAGAAGATGGTGGGAGAACTAAGTCGCGGCCTCCTATGATTGGTGTCGCGTTGCCAAGGATGACTGTGTCGTTGGGTTGTAGATGTTTGTTCAGATGGATATAGAACTCATCTTGGATGATATACGCCTTGGGAAAGACTTCGAACTGCGGTTGATTTCGAAAGTCTCCCCATGAGGACGTCTCTTGAAGCGGTAGCCGTGCCTTGTCAAGCTTCTGAGCCATGTCCTTGAGAACATGTTGGACATTGACAGGCTCATCTTCAACGTGGTTCTTGCCAATGAGAGTCATAACATTTCGTTCCGGTAACACCGCCCAACCTAGCGTTTGAGTATCAGAGAATTGACATCCAAAGGCCAATACAAGGTCCGCTGACTTGACCTCCGGTGTCAGGTCAACCGTTCCGATAGAGCCTGAGTAAACGCCAAAGTAGTTTGGCAGCGAATTATCCACCATGCTGGCTCCTGATGGCAAAGACACAGTAGGAATGCCTGACTTTCGAACGAATTCGTTGATCTCTTGTCTGATGGTCTCGGCGCCTTCAGCTCGATCAACCATGATAAGAGGCCGCTTGGCTGAATATAGCTTCTGCAAGAGATTCTGTGCCATTTTGCCAGCGTCAAGGTTACGAGCTGCGTCGGGATTCGGACCTATCGGATCGCCAAGCTTGTCCGACGATAATTCCGTCTCTACAACATCTGATGGCATCTCTATGTAGACAGGCCGACTGTGATGTAGCGCCTGCGATAATACCCTATCGATCTGAGCTGGGACCTCTTCCGGCGCCGACTCCGCAAGATCAAGCTGTGCAACAGTAAACTTCTCCGCAATCTCGCGATAAACCCCAATTCTAGAGTCCGCCATCGTATGATGAATATGCAAATGCGGTTTCTTTCCGTCAACAGAAGAGCACGATACTTGTCTTGCGCGTCGCGAGGGCGTTCCGACGATGTGAACAACTGGCAAATACTCCGCATAGCTGCCGGCAACTGCATTAGCCGCACTTAGCTCGCCAACGCCATAGGTCGTTATCAATGCTCCAATTCCAGATCCTTTGCGATGACGTTGGGCGCGAGCATACCCATCTGCTGCGTATCCGGCGTTCAGCTCGTTGCAGCATCCGACGAACTTGAGGCCTGAACGCGGTAGATGGTCCAGGGCTCGGAGGGTGAAGTCGCCTGGGACGCCATATACGCGTCTCGTGCCTGCCTGTCTGAGGCGTGTGAAAAGGTAAGATGCTAAAGGGATCTTTCTGTTTATCATGATAACTATGGGCTAGGTAAAGACTGTTGAGTATTGGCAGCGGCATAAAGTTGTCGGTGAACCATTTTACCGGCGACGGGGTTAGCGATGTCATTCGCGGTTTCGCCTGGCTGGTCAGCCCTATTTTCTGACATGATTATAGACAACGTTATGAATGGTATATTACTTCTCATGCTACGGATTGCATATCAGGTATTGTTATCTCACTATTTCACGAAGATATGTTGAGAACTCATGGAATTCAGTCTGACAGGTGGGGTACTCAAGTTGGAGTCTGCTCTTTCCTGGGCTAGCTCAATTCTCACAGCCCTTACCCAGTGGCTGGCTGGGATATGGCGCGGCTCTACCGTATAAATGTATTTTTAGCACTAGCCAATAGACAGCATGGAGAACGGTCCACCAACGATAATGAATTATTATAACGAGGTTTAGGGTAGTTTCAGTTCCTTGATGATTTTGCCGCATAATTCATCAACATCAAGCCTTATCTATTCTCTGCTAGTAAATATATTTCATTTTCCCTCTAACTAATTAACTCACTGCAGAGTTTCATCTTATTTTATCTGAAAATCACTAAAGTTACCTCTTGGATTTGATCGGAAAAACCGCTCTGCTTTAAGTATACAGCTGGTTGAGTCGAATTCGGATCGTGCATTTTGGGGTTTCATCTGACTCGAGCTTTCCGGAAGCTGTTCCGACATCTTATGCTTCCGAGTCATTTTATCATTAATCACCCGATGCTTCAATTCGATCTTGGCGCCCTGACCAAGTGTTGGTTTGGTGTTCATGCATAAACCGTGGATCGTAGCCTGTCCTTGGGGGAATAAGAAAATATCAGGCCTTGATAGGGGGTGTTAAAAAAAACTTAGAAAAAGGCATTCTAAACTCAGGCCAAACTGCCTCAGTCTTTTTGTCATCCAGGATCAAGGTCCTGAGTTTTCTTTCCTCCCCTAGCTTGTTGACAACTCACGCGCTACCCGGCACATAATTGGTTCATTCGCGACATGAAGCAACAGGCACCAGTATTCCAAATGCAGGTCTCATCCTTGGTCCATAACCATGTCGACACGATCTGTATCACCTTCTCTTTCGGTTTAGCCCCAAATCACCCCCAGTCACGCCAAGTATTTTTCGGGATGTTAAAGTTTAACCCACCCACGGAAGAGAACAGAACAGTCGGACGGACATTCGGGTCCGAAGACGTCTGATGCGTTGTACCATAAACGATTATCCACTGACAGCTCCACTACGACGGCGCTGTTGGAGCCGATACGCTGTCCGCGGGAGTCGGTGGGAATACTATCAGATAAGGGAAATAACCCCAACGTTCCATCGAAACGTCAGCTGTCACACGTGGAAACTTTAATAGATGAATTCACAACCTATATCGATTCCTTGCATAGCAACGCAAGTCATGCAAAGTCGTATCGATACTACTATTTCGTACAACCTCTCCACGGACTCTCCGTAGTCTTCGTCATCACTCATGATCTCGCCTAGCACAACATCCCATTCGCTCGATTTGGACGAGTGCACCAAATATGCCGTGTAGCCGGGCCGTCCACCAAAGGATCGTGCACGGGTCACTCGGCGTGCAGCACCCTCACAAGGCTGAGTGCCTGTGCCACGCCGCCTTTTCCATTATGTGGGCTCACTAACATCTGACGATCCAAGATCGCCCTCAGCGTCATCGAGCAAGTTACCTCGATTGGGAAGGACATGTTTAGGCAGCCGAATATCGTGAAACTGGAGGATCTAGCGCGGGATTATCAAAAGCCCGATCGGCAGTTGACCTGCCAAGCCTGTTGTAGTAGGCTGGACCCTTTGGTGGCTTGGGAATCCAACTCCACTCCCGTCGCGACTTTCATAATGGGATCGCTGGATCGTTCAGCCTTGGTTATCTAAACGACGAGAAGGATTATTGTAATGACGCTGATGCTGAGCATCAAGGAAATGGGGAAGAATATGCTGATCATGCTCAAAAATGGTGTCCAAATCCGACGAAATCTGACTGCAGTCGAGTATATAAAGAAGAATTATTCTCTGCCTGGATAGAGTATCATCAAGCTTCAAACTCTACTTCCTTCAATCTCATACTACCCTTAAACTTTATCACCATGCGTTCTATCACCATTGCATTGGCACTAGCAGCAACCGCTGTAAGGGCAGATGTACAGATCGTTTGGAAACACGCCAAAGCATCAAGCCAAACCGCACTTAGCGTCTACGACCGCTCAACCCTGCTGGCCCAAAGCTGCTCCAGTTTCATCTCTGACGCCCCCAGCAGCATTGACTTTACAGATGTCGATGAGAACGGCTTTGGAAACTTTACCGTCGGCGCTAACAAGTACCTCGTCCACTCCAAGGCAAAGTACTCGGGAGGCCCGATCTGCACCAAGAAGTTTAGCGCTCAAGCAACCGTAGTCGAGTGTTCTGGGCTCGACTGGAAGCCCAACAGGGCAAAGATCGAGGACAACTGCCATGACAAGGATGAGGCTAAGGGTGCTCTCCGGCTGTTGAGTTCCAAGAATTCGGCATCGGGCTTTGCGAAGCGCGAGGCTAATCCTATCAATGATCCCCCGGCTTGCTCAGTCTTGACTAGGACGTCCCTAGTAGGCGATGGTAAGTTCTGACTTCTGTATATGGTAAGCCGTGAGTTAGTTTACTAACCTGGATGGTTCAGGCGATCCCCACCAGAATTATTTCCACAAGCAACTTTCGGTAAGCTAGTCCCACTGGAAACCCCATATTCTGAACTATCACTGATGAGGCTCAACTTGCAGGAAGTTGTAAACTGTGGAACCGCCCAGTCCTGCAGCGTTGGCAACTCCCAGTCCGTCTCGTATACCATCGGCTGGACTGCTACCCTCACCCCAGTGAGCTGGATCAGCGGTGGGTTCTCGGTCTCCGAGAGCTGGAACACTGGAAACACCTACACCTGCACCGGAAGCGCTGGCGAGGATGTTTGCGTCTGGTACAACACCGCTCACACTGCCTGTAAGTTTATACAAGGGTTTTCGCTATGCAGGGCTCCACAAAAGAAGCGCATCGACTAATTGACCAATAGATACCGTGCAGAACAAGGAGCGAGACTCTTGTGCCGTTGGTGGAGGCTGGGATTCGACTGGCGATCCGTTTGTCATGTACTCACCGAACGAGTCTAACCGGGGCGGCGGTTACTACTGCGTCATCGGGACATGCAGGGCCCAGGGCGATAACTACTGGGATTACAGCGGCCGCGCGGGTGGTCCATAGATGGGATCCTTGCAATTCTGCTAGCTTAAAGTCCGAGAGCCCGATGATCCGGGTGAGCATTACCGCCAGTCATATCTGACTGAAATTTGCCCAATAAAATACGTTGACAACATCACATGGAATCTTTGGAGTGAGGTGTCGGTGTAGGTAGGTTTGATAGTGCATATTGAGATATTCCAAACTCTCCTTATTAGTGCGTATAGCGGAGCCGCAGAGACTGGAACATATTTTATAGTTCTGATTCAATGACTTGCATTCCTAATTAAGATTCTCAACGGCTTTAGGGTTCTGACGGAACTATCAAGTAAACTAGCAAGGGCTTCAGATCATCGTGAGGCAGGGGTTGCGGCTGATGCGGAAAATTCATGTTTGATTTAGGTATCTCCATAGCTTCAGAACGACCTCTCTCTAAACTCAACCATTGGCCCGTTTCGTGCACATGTAATATGGTCATACAGCTGGAACTCTCCTGGCCTGTGTCTACCGTACTCGGCATTCTCGTTGCCGGCTCCAATGTCCTTCATGCTTTCAACCACGTTGAAGTCCATCTTCCAGCAGATGATAGCCATAGCAAGACTAAGTTCGGCATGAGCAAGTGCCCTTCCAAGACAGACACGGGGACCGATGGAGAATGGAACGTGAGCGTCTGGGTTATGGGGACCAGCATTCTTTCCTTCTGATAGCCACCTCTCAGGTATAAACTCAAAAGGGCTATAGAAGTACTCCTGGTTGTGTTGGATACTGAATAGACCGGTTCCAACATTGGTACCCTCGGGGACATAGTGACCGTCAACGATCATGCCGCCCTTGAGGACCTCGCGGAAAGGTGCTGCTGCAACTGGGGGAGTTAGGCGTAAGCATTCCATGATACAAGCGTAGAGGAAGCGACAGGAGTTGAGGGCTGGACCGAGACAGATCTCTTCTCGGGTTGAAAATTTGGAGCGGACTTCACGGGTCAGGCGATCCTTCTTGTCGGGGTTCCTAGTAAGATAAAAGAACAGAGACGCCAAAAGGGTTGATGAAGTGTCAGAGCCTGATCCTGTCAGTTGAGCGTCGATCATGACGGAAGGGCACTCACCAGCTACGAGCATCAGAATACTCTCAGCAACAATTTCATCCTGGGTCAGTTTGTTTCCTGTAGTTGGGTCTGCAGCATCCAGTAAGCCAGACAAGACATCATCCCCAGACCCACGCTGCACTCTCTCGGTGACCAAGTTGTGAGCAAATCGCAAAAAGTCCTTCCGTCCAGCCACGGAGTTACGGAAGAGAACCTTGTCCATACGCCGCCACACAACATACGGCCACTGCACAATTACGCTAATACGCTCATTCGAGCGCGCAAGCGCAGGCGGGATATGACGGTACCACGGACTTCGAATCAAGTCGAAGTTCTCACCAAAGACAATGGAGGTAACAAGGTCAAAGAAAAGATAATCGCCTGTGTAACACAACATGTGCTGCTGTCAGCGGGGACCTAGTAGAAAGTACAAGGGCGACCAATGGGGAGACGAGCTTACACATTTCTGACATGTTGAACGGCTTCGACACGGTGTTTTCTTTGCCCGTGCTAGCGGGGGGACAGACGTATTGGCAGAAGCGATCAATCATGCCCGTGATCTTGGGCTCGAAAGATCGGATGGCTGAATCCGATAGCTTCTGGCTCAAGATCCGCTTTTTCCATGCATGCTCGTGCCGATCCATCAGGGTGAAGGTGCTGGGAGTTTTGTGGACCATGGCCAGATAAGCCAGGCTCTTGCGCACGTTCTTGTTATGACCGTAGACATCTAATTATAGCAGTCAGATTATATAAACTTTGGAGAGTCGAAGCGAAGGGGGAATAACCTTTGTACGCCTGAGTCGTGTTCATGAGGAGATAATTTGGCGAGTAGCGAACATATGGCCCTGGTGCGGAACGTAAGCATGTCTCTCTCTTTTCTTACTGCAGACGAGGGGAGGCGAATGGAACGCTGGGTACACGAACCATATTTCTCATGACATTTCCACATGTCGATATGTACGTCCCCAATCCAGGCATGGTAAGCTGCACGGAGCCCTGTAAACTTTCCCCAGAAGGGGCCGGGGTACTTGGCCAGAGGATGGAAGAAGGCGTAGTAGACGGCATAGCCAATTACCTATTGCGGGTTAGCCGCCGTTGCCAGTGGCTTGATCATTACTCACCGGAGATAATGCAGCCAGCAGCAGGATGATTAGTAAAGGTGGTGGTGTGATAGATCTCGAGATTCTGATTGCGTAGGGTAGCCAATGTGTTTTCATATGCGACATGGGCATGTCCCACGAAGGTAGGGAGACTACGCCTTGGAGGTCGCGAATCATAGCTGGCTTGGCTTGGCTTAGTTATGTTTTAGCTGGGATGTGGCGGTCAGTGGATGCCGATGGTCCGATGAATTGGGAATTATAATAGTGGTTGATCAAGAACACACTTTTGTAGCTGTCAAGTCTCTCATCTATCTTCTTGAATCCATCACGCAGACATGGATTTGAGGTGGAATTATCCTCAAATCGGACAAACAGTAGCTAACCAAATCTTAATTACGTGGGATTCTTGGATTACTGGAATACAGGATTGAGGATTGAAGGATTACGGGATTTTTCTTTAATTATTGTGAATGCCGTGCATCCATCCATCTCTGAGCGATCATGTCCTATCGTGCCGTTCCGTGCCGTCCATGATAGTCTTGCCATTCCGCACTAGAGGTGAATTAACTCGTGATGAACCTATCGGCGGAATTTCTCATGCAACAGTCCCGAGTCATTAGTCCCCTTGCAGTATAGACTCGGGACTCGCCGCAGTGGGATAATCGTGGGGTGGGTGAAGTAGTCCTAGTACAACATGTAAGTACAGCACCTAGAGTAGCCCTTTGTGATGAGACATGCCGCCCTGGGCCTGGGGGGTTGCGTGCGGTGAGCACAAAGCCAATCAAGGTGCCACGCGATATCCGGATACCACTCCGTTGTTTCACCAGGTGTGACATCCATCAGCGTACGTGCGTGCATTCTGGTTGGTATGGGGGGCATGATGACCGCAGCGCCGGGAGGAGTTAAGCCCTGGGGGGACGGGCTGGGGCTCAGCTCCTACCAAGAGCCTATCTCCGAAGAGGGAGGCCGTAAGCCTTATTAAGCAGTGCGTATATGCATGTTCCAGTTTTTTTTCTTGTTTGCTGACCGAAAAAAAAGTCACCTCAGCATCTTGTCATACATGCTGACAATTCTGGAACAGAGGCGCTTCTCTCTGCCAAGTAAATGCTCACTAATTGTAAGAGCCGCGTAACCTTATTGGCCATATAATCCCCGGCTCTGCTCCGCCTGTCTGACTCGTTCCCACTGTTTGGAGCTCCACTGGGTCTGGTTTGTGCACGAATTGCCGGGAAGAGACCAGATGACGCGCAACTTTAACCCAGGTCGGGGAAGACAAGGGGGGAGCCATGTCTGTTTTGCCCACAAGAGGCAGGTTGTATCTCACTTATTAACCGCTGAACTTTGTTGTGCATGATGGCAAGACACAAGAGAGACGCATATGTATGCCTTTCCCCTGCAAGAATCCCTTTGAGGCCCGGGGTTTGAGCTAATAGGACACCTCCATCTCACCCCATGCATGATGAGAGACACAATGTATGTATCTTTTGGACGGGGGCCAAGGTTTCGCGTATTCAAACTTTAGTTTGATCGATACAACGCTCAGTACGTGCCGAAGGGGTTGTGCACTGCGTCTTTGACAGGAGAGACATTTTGCAAGTACCCATTTCTGCAGAATAATCAATGAATCTGACACCTACCGGATGGAACCCGGCTTGGCGATCAGGCCCTTTCGAGAAACAATGTGACGGCCGAGTATGTAGATGCTTGACGTAGGCAGCTAATCAATCAAGTGCCCCCAATCTTTGTACACGCTGTTACACATGATACGATGAGCCCGTTATAAACAGAGTTCGCGCGAAGGTCCAAAAGCACTAGGCCAGAGATTAATGTGTTGTTTTCTTTTCGTGATATTCTGTTCATACATACATACATACATTGTGCAAGTGCATTGCTCAGCCACCAACAAACAAGATGTTTCCTCCAGCAAAGAACGGCAGAGACAGGCCAATCGTTGCTGACTGGATGGCGGGTGTCCAGTCCCTTCTTCCCGCGGTGGACTTTGATCACCCCAATGACAGTGCTGAACCTAATCGTCACCCGGATATTAGTGGTGCGTACCAGAACAAATCCGCCTATAACCCCGCGGTCGCATATAGCTTCACCTCCAGCAGGTCAACTGATTCGTGTTAGCCATTGATTTCGCAACCGACGATTTCAATTTCGCAACAGATCTGACAGATGATGTGTTCTCAAACCGACTGCCTCTATTATGCGACGATACATTTGACGATTTCTTTTCGTTCGATCACGATGCCAAGTAAGCCAAGATGCGCGTTGGTCCCATTCATGTAAAACACATTTCTAACCAACAGGATCTTATCGTACAGTGGCAGTGACAATTCCTACCCCATCTCCCCATTGACAGAGATGGCCCAATCAGCCAACACGCGCGCCGACGACGATCAACGCAGCCGCAGCCCCCGATCCAAGCGAGCCAACACCACCAACGCAACCACTACTGCAGGAACACAGCGTGATGCACAGGATCTCAGGTGTTGGGACCACGGGTGTAACGGGCAGTTGTTTACGACGCTGAGCAACCTGAAGCGACACCAGAAAGAGAAATCCAGCCAGCGGCCCTCTTATCCGTGTAACATGTGCGGAGCCATCTTTAGTCGCACTACGGCGAGGAATCATCATATTCAGAATCAGAGCTGTAATAGGATCCGACGACATTCTAATGGGAGGGTGCGACCGAATAGAGCGTTGAGGTCGTTGACGCAATGAGGGTATACTGTACGGGTAATGGGACTAGATCGATGTTTTCTTTTTCAATACATGATGGTTTTATTTGAGGCTATGATGAATCTTGGCGATGCAAGCTGCGATTCATGACTCCGCACGAGATGTGACACCATCGCCCACTGAATAATGCAGCGAAGAATGAGTTGTGACAGACCCCGCAGAATGATATGTAGACACTCTCGTGGCGCTGATGTCTCTGTATCTGCACGATTCAAGGCCCTTTGGAATTTTGCACAATGCGAAACGCATGTGATGCTGTCGGAAGTTGGATATATCTTGCAGCGCAGTATCGCATTTTCATCGCTGTTCCCTCCTTATTGAAAGGACTGCCATCTACTTGGTAGCTGCCGTGTACACAGTAAGTCCACAAAGGCGCTTGAACCATTGAGCAGTCAGTAATATCAGTTGTTACCCTTCGGCATATATTCCGTGTCGCCAGATGCAGTAGTTTCTTCTCCGCTCCAGTTTCTATTCTTCGATTCCGTCTCTAAGAGAAATCTCAATCACCCGAAAACACCCACACTCTTCTGGAGTTGCTCAACTGCGTGATAAAAATCATAGTTGAAGCAACTGCCTCAAAGGATCCAATTCCCTGTCGCATTTTTCATCATCTTAACCTTTAGTTCTCTCGGAAATAGCATACTTTCATAGTCTCGACGCTGTGCAAGATTGACTTTCGTTAATTAATACATTCGCATAAGTGAAGTCAAATTAATGACATGCATAGAATACGACCGAATGAAAAGTTAGATGCGCTGGAAGACTAAAAACGCCACGATGAAATCTTTATTGTTTATCTGAGGACGCTCAGCATTTAAATACTTGGGAGGAGCACTATGATGGCGTGATAGAGTGAGGATAATACGTGCACGCCGTGGAATACGTGATTGCATGTGAAACTAGCCTGAGGGGCTTAGCTACGAGGTTGAGCGAGATGATCAATCGTCGAAATTACAGGTTATGACGAATCACGGACTGCTGAAGAGGAGTACATGGGGATGCTTTTCCACTGTGAGGAGATTTGCTATGCTTGATCTCGTGCCGTTGGGGCATTTGAGTCCGCCGAGGGTCCGATGGTCACGACCGAGACTCCGTTGACAGTGAGATATTTGTTAAACAGCAGACTCGCACACTCTCATCGTGAATGTTCTACAAAATCAAAATAGAAAACCGTGCTATTTCCCTGACAAGATCTCTGTCCCAAAAGGGTTATCTTCCGCACAGATTTCATGAACCTTCTTGATCGCTTCACTGCCGCAATGAGACATATTCCCTCACGCTTATCTCCGGGGCCTTCACTCAAGTCTCAAATCATACTCGCATCTCAACTCCCTTATCGGTTACCATGTTTCCCCTTATCTCAATGAACTTAATCCCCCCCAAAGTCCCCTCTATTACTGTACCGTGATGCTGACTGCCGCTTACCGTGCCGCTTTTGCGCCACATGGGACAATCCTGCCGATAGCGCCGATCCTGATCCTGATCCTGAACTTTTGATCCTGTCAGCCCCTCCAGGCACTAACCACAAATCCCCGACCTCAACACCAATTACCTAAGCTCAATACCGTAGAATACAGCATCATATAGTTGAACAAGATTCTCAAGTAATGTAATTTTCGTAAACGCAATCATTATACCCCAAAATACCCTCTTCTCAATTTCTTACCGCAGCAATGGCTCTCACCGACGCTATGCAGGATATCCTGCACCTTGAACTCGCCAATGCGCTGCACATCAGCACTGAGGAACTAAACCTCGACCAATCATTCCTCGTGCAGGGTGGAGATTCCCTCTCTGCCGTTCAGTTCCTGAGTAAATGTCGTCTGCGCGGTATTCACATTGACATCGTGGATACGGTGCAGTGCAAGACACTTGCTGAGCTTGTTGAACGCATCATCTCCAAGCATGAGAGCAATCCACATAATCTCGACCGTGTTGGGAACAGTGACACGAGCACCTCCTCATCAAGCTCTGACGACGCTGCTTCTGCTACGGGGTCGGATAGCACTGATACTGTTCCCGATGCGCGGTTGAAGCAGCTGTCTCAAGACCCTGCGAGGCAGATTGAGAGTATCGGTCCTTGCTCGTCTATGCAGAATCGTATTCTTATCAGTCAAGCTGTTAACCCAGCTGCCTACCAATGCCGCTTTATTCTCAGGATCAAGTCGAGTGTACCAAACTCTTTGACTGCTTCACATATTGCGAATGCCTGGCCTCGCATTGTCGCACGCCATCCAAGTCTGCGAACGACTTTTCTTGAGAGTGAGACTCGTCAGTCAACATTTGACCAAGTTGTCTGGACAGAAGTCAACCCCAAAGTCACCATCCTCCAAGACGAAACCCAAGTCAAAGCCGACGGTATGCTTAATGCTTTTGAGAGCGGAAGCATTCCTCATCACATGTACATCTACGCTGCATCCTCTTCGGAACTCATCCTTCGACTTGAAGTCTCACACGCCGTCATCGACGGCCGCTCTGCAGATGTTCTCCTGTACGACCTCTGCGCAGCATACGAGAACCAACTCCCCGACACAAAAGCCATGCCGTACACAGACTTTGTGCGCATGGAAGAGGAGAGCTTTCAAGACGTTGAGCGCATCGCAGATTACTGGCAGAGTTACCTACGCGATGCTGAGGAGACGTATCTTGCAAGCAGTAACAAGCCAAAAGCTGGACTTCACACGCTTCAAGATCGCGTTGACATTCCCGCTGATGAAGCTCGTCGCTTCTGCGATGCTTACGGAGTTACCCTCGTTAGTGTCTGCCAGGTTGCCTGGAGTATCGTTCTTCGTCTCTTCGCCATGAAAGACGACGTTACTTTTTCCTATGTCAATTCAGGTAGACAGACTGATCTTCCTGGAATTGACGGAGCAATCGGTCTCTTCATTAGCAGTTTGTTACTGCGGGTCAAGTTCAAAGACGACCCTACAGTCCTGGACATGCTCAAGACTGTCACAGACGACGTGTTTCGAGGAATGGCACACGACAAAGTCCCGTTGATGGCGAAGGGAGCCAAGCTTCCTACGAGCCATAAGTGGGGAAATTCGATTCTTTCGTTCCGAAAGGAGTGGAAGCCCAAGTCTACTGGGCACAAGGAGCTCGAGATGAGCTTCTTACGAGGTGTCAGCCCTACAGACGTAAGTTCCTGACCTCTCTCCTCATTCGTCAGAAAGTGCTAACATGCGACAGTATGATCACTCCATCAACGTTGAGATCGGCGAAGGTGGTATCGCAGTTGACTACGACATCTGGACATCAACCACCTCCCAAGCAGACGCCTCCAAGATGCTAAACTGCTTCCTCGAGGCAATCCGCTTCATCATCGCCAACCCATCAGCCAAAGTCAATTCCTTCGACGGCATCTCCTCCAAAGACGCCCAGCACCTGCGCGACGTCAATGGTGAAGGTCGACAGCCTGTTGCTTCGTGTATACACACCCTCGTTCAAGAGGTTACAGACCGTCAGCCTGATGCCATGGCAGTGTATGCCTGGGATGGAACCATGACGTATAGAGAGCTTGATGCTGCGGCGAGTAGTCTTGCAGAGCATCTTATGAAGTTGCACATTGGACCGGAGGTTATGGTGGGCATTTGTATGGACAAGTCGCGGTGGGCGACTGTCTCTATGCTTGCTGTTCTGAAGTCTGGTGGAATTGTTCTTCCCCTTGGCGCAGACCAACCTCTCTCGCGTCTCCAAACTATCCTTACCGACACAAAAGCACCCATCATCCTCGTTGATAACGCTCAGCTCAATCGCCTAAAGGATCTCGGTCCTCAACAACTCATTGAGGTCAACGAATCCCTCTTCCAAACTCTCCCTTCCGCTTCTGGCTCCGCCTGTACCACTGTTTCCACAGATAACGCCGCTTGGGTCGTCTACACGTCCGGCAGCACTGGTACACCAAAGGGTGTCGTTCTCCAACACTCTGCGCTTTGCACAAGCATCACATCGCATGGAACTGCCTTTGGCGTCAAGGGTGCGCGCGTACTTCAATTCGCTTCTCACACATTCGACGTGACGATCCAAGAGGTCTTTACCACGTTATGTATGGGAGGCTGTGTCTGCGTACCTTCAGAAGACGATCGCGTCAACCATCTCCAAGCCTTCATCTCCTCTGCAAAAGTGGACTTCCTCTCACTAACCTCCACTGTCGCCGGTCTTCTCGACCCCTCCCAACTTCCACTGATCAAGACCGTCATCCTCATGGGCGAACCCGTCAAACCCGCTGTCCTCGATCTCTGGAAAGACCAAGCCTCCGTTCTTGAGTCCTACGCCCCATCTGAGTGCAGTATCTACGCTACTGTATCACCCCAGCCAATGAAGCACATATCTCAGGTCTCTGTTCTCGGCATTCCGCTAGCGAGTTGTTTCTGGGTCGTTGATCCTAAGAATTACAATCGTTTGTGTCCAATTGGCGCGCCAGGAGAACTCCTCATCGAAGGCCCGCTTCTTGCGAGGGGGTATTTGAACGATGAGGTCAAGACGAATAAGTCGTTTATCGTTGATCCCGAGTTTGTGGGCAAGTATGATCTTGGGAGGAGTAGACGGATGTACAAGACTGGTGATTTGGTGAGGCAGAATGATGATGGGTCTTATACGACGTTGGGGCGACAGGATACGCAGATCAAGATCCGTGGACAGAGAGTTGAGGTTGATGAGATTGAGTATCACATCACGCGTCATCCTTCTTCTATCCAGGCTGTTGTTCTGTACGTCCATGGTCAGCTTGTCGCTGCGTTTAGTCTTCCCAGCGATGGTGCTGCGTACAGTGGTGCAGCGTTGGATGGGGAGAATGCTGTGGACAAACCAGCTGCTATGCTCGTCGCTTCGGAAGTCCAGCTCTATTTGTCGCAGTATGTCCCTGACTACATGATCCCACGACTCTGGATCCCCATGGCGAGCTTGCCTATCAATTCATCTGGCAAAGCTGATCGACGTCGCATCTCGGAGTGGATCAAGAACCTGGACCTCTCTTCCTACTCTGACCTCGAGCACCAAGTCGAAGATGGTCTTCATGTCACTTCCACCGAACGACAGCTCCGAGAAATCTGGAGCAACGTCTTAAACAAGCCCATTAATCACATCAGCTACCGCCGCTCATTCCTCTCTCTCGGAGGCGACTCCATCACAGCGATGCAAGTCGTGTCAGCCTGTCGCAAACAAGGCCTCATCGTAACAGTGCGCCAAATCCTCCAGAGCCCAGCTATCTCTGAACTCGCGCTACGAGTCAAAGAGGCGAGCGATAAATTGGGCGACGAGCAATTGCCCATTGAGATCCCAGATGAGCCATTTGATCTCTCACCCGCGCAGAAGATGTTCTTCCAAGACATTGCGCCCTCAGGTCTTCGGGCAGATGGACCTCATCGCTTCAACCAGAGCGTGTGCTTCCGCGTTCCGCAGAGCGTCGCGCCGAATACAGTTGCTCGTGCGATTGAAGCCATAGTCACTAAACATGCTATGCTTCGCGCGCGCTTCCAGACTGATACAGACAGTCAGGGCTGGCAGCAGCGCGTTGAGAAGCAGATCATGGGATCGTACCGCTTCCAGACTCACAAGGTGGCCGACGATGCCGCGACAGAGGACATTATCCGTCATTCGCAAGGATCCTTGGATCTTGAGTACGGACCTGTTTTCGCTGTTGACGTGTTTGAGATGGAGGATGCTCAGTTGATCAATTTGACTGCGCATCATCTTGTAATTGATCTCATGTCTTGGAGAATCCTCGCAGCTGATCTTGAGCATTTCCTGCGCTTTGAGACGCTGCAGCCTTCTTTGTCGCTGCCTTTCCCAACTTGGTCCAAGGCTCTTATGATCCAGGCTAAGACTGTTGCAGCGCCTGATGAGAGCGACGTTGGGTCCTGGTCTTACTGGAGCCTTGAGTCTGGTTCCTTCGTTCGTGAAGACCAGGTCATTGAGAAGCTGGCAATTGATGCGGATGTCAGCGCTCAATTGCTAGGTCCCGCGAATGAGTCTTTGCAAACTGGTGTCACAGACATTCTTCTCGCTGCTCTGCATCAATCCTTCGGGGACGTCTTCACCGATCGATCTACCCCAACAATCCATGTTGAAGGTCATGGTAGAGATGCAGGCGGTGATGTCTCCGAGACCGTCGGCTGGTTCACAACCGTGACTCCCCTCAAAGTCACAACCACCAACACTGGCTTCATCCCCATCCTCCAACAAGTCAAGGACTTCCGCAAACTCAACGCCGACGCAACCGCCCTCGACTTCGCAGCAAAATATAAATCTTCCTCTTCTCCCCAGAATCTCATCGAGATCCTCTTCAACTACCACGGCCAATTCCAACAACTCGATCGCGCAGACGGTCTTCTCAGCATTCACAAACTTCACTCCTCCGAGACTTCCATCGGCGACAAAGTCCGACAACAAGCCGCCATCACAATCGAAGTCTCCGTCGAATCTGGCCGTATTTGTATCAGTGTAGGTTTCAGCCGTCGCACACCCAAGGGCAATGATGTACGACGATGGTTACAGCGCTATGGAGAGGTCATCACCTCTGCGGTAAGTGAACTAATGAGTACAGAACGAACGGCCACAGCGAGCGATTATCCGCTTTCGCGATTGAGCAGCAATGATCTTGTTGCGCTGAAGAAGCATATTCTTGAACCGACGGGCATCAGCTGGGATGCTGTTGAGGATATTCTGCCTTGTTCGTCTACGCAGCAGGGTATTTTCATCAGTCAGTTGAAGTCGCCAACTACCTACCGATTGAGACAGACATGTCGCGTTGTGCCCACTGGCTCTCAGGGTGTTGATGTCAAGAGACTTGGAGATGCCTGGCGACAAGTTATTAGCAATCACTCTATCATGCGCACCATCTTCACCATGGTTCCCTTCAACGACAGGTTCTACCAAGTCGTTCTCAAGTCCGTTGAGCCTGACATTCGACTTATCACTTGCTCTTCCGAGACAGAGGTTCAAGAGTGTATTGCGAGCCATGCGCTTATGGAGGATCATCTCGGTCGACCATCGCATCGCTTCTTGGTCATCTCAACAGAAGATGGCCACGTCTACGGACACTTTGAGATCAGCCATGCACTCGTTGACGCGTCATCCGTTCAACTCCTCGTCAACACCCTCCTCCAAGCCTACGAAGGCGCTGCGACTATTTCTGGCTCCGACTACGGAACTTACATCTCGTTCCTTGAGCAAGGCTCTGAGGAAGACGACCTGCGCTACTGGGAGAAGCGTCTTGCAACCGTGGAACCCTGCCAGCTCCAACTCGGCGAGGATCTCACTTCTTCTGAAGACGCGGGCCATTCTGTGTCTACGGCTATGCAGGACATGACCACACTCCAGAAACTCTGCCAATCGAACGACATCACCCCCGCCAACGTCCTCCAGCTCGCGTGGGCTCTCGTCCTCTCCTCCCGCACACAGCTCGATGAAGTATGCTTCGGCTATCTCTCCAGCGGCCGAGATATTCCCATCGATGGGGCGGATACACTCGTTGGCCCGATGATCAACATGATCGTGTGCAACATTGCGCTAGACTATAGTCAAAGCTGTGTTGATGCGATGAAGGATATACAGGATCGCTTCCTTGATAGCTTTGAGCATCAGCGTGTTTCGTTGGCGACTATTCAGCATTCACTGTCGAGCTCACAACAATCCTTGTTTAACACGACTGTCTCGTACGTTCGAGCTCCAAACCTGAGTGGTGCTGCGCGTGGTATCCAGTCCATTTGTTTGGAGAGGATTGCAGCTGATGAGTCGACCGAGTATGACTTCAATCTCAGCATGTTGGAAACCGAGAGCGGCATCGACATCGCACTGCAGTACCTTCCCGGGGCAGCTTCCACGAAGACAGCCCAACGTCTTCTTAATCACCTCAAGCATGTTGTCCAGGTTCTCAGCACCAGCGAGACTACATCGCTCCTCGGCGACCTTGACCTTGTCCCCGCAGAAGACAAGCAGCTCATAACCGCCATCAACCGCGAGATTCCGAAGTCCCTTGACTCTTGCGTCCATCTCCTCGTCCAAGAAATGACCAACCGCCAACCCAACGCTCTCGCCTTCCACGCATGGGACGGATCAATGACCTATCGCGAGCTCGACCTAGCAGCCAGCACTCTAGCCAAACATCTCGTGGCAAATCTCAACGTTGGTCCGGAAGTCATGGTCGGTATCTGCATGGACAAGTCCATCTGGGCAGCTATGTCCATGCTCGCAGTCCTCAAAGCAGGCGGTGCCGTTCTACCCCTAGGAGTCCAACAGCCTCTATCCCGCCTTCAGACCATCCTCAAAGATACACAAGCTTCCGTTATCCTCGTTGATGCGAAGCAGAAGGCTCGTCTGGGTGGTGTTGACTCAGAGCTCATTCAAGTCAATCGCCAGTTCATGGATGGTCTTGTCCCCGCTGAATTCGGGCTCTCCAATCCCGCTGTGCAACCTGATAATGCGGCTTGGGTAGTGTACACTTCTGGAAGCACTGGTGTGCCGAAGGGTGTTGTGTTGCAGCACTATGCGCTGTGTACTAGCATGCGCTCTCACGGTGCGGCATTCAATCTTGTCCCGTCGTCTCGGGTGCTGCAGTTCGCTGCATACACTTTTGATGTTACTATCCAAGAGACGTTTACGACGCTTTACTACGGAGGTTGTGTCTGCATCCCATCAGAGGAAGAACGCCTCAATGATCTGGAGGGATGCATCGTGTCAATGGACGTCAACTTCGTCTCCCTCACCTCAACAGTCGCTGGTCTATTGTCCCCGTCCAAGATGCCGCTAGTCAAGACCCTCATCCTCATCGGCGAGCCAGTCAAACCTTCGGTCTTGGATCTCTGGATGCCACAGGCAGCATGCTTAGATGCATACGGACCATCCGAGTGCAGTATCCAGAGCGCCATCTCCCCCGAACCAATGACAGATCGTCGTCAGGCCATGATCTTGGGTACGCCGTTAGAGTCATGCCGTTTCTGGGTCGTCGACTACCGCGACTATAATAAGCTGTGTCCCGTTGGTGTACCTGGTGAACTCCTCATTGAAGGTCCTCACCTCGCACGCGAATATCTCAACGACGCCACCAAGACCGCCAACTCTTTCATCACCGACCCTGCCTTCCTTGCTGATCTGGGTCTTGATGCTACTGGTCGTCGTATGTATCGCGCCGGTGACTTGGTTCGACAGAACGACGATGGTACATACTCCAACTTGGGCCGACGCGATCAGCAGATCAAGATTCGTGGCAAGCGTGTTGAAGTCGGCGAGATTGAGTATCACATCTCACGTCATTCCTCTGGCATTCGCGCCTGTGTCGTCTTTACTACTAGAGGGTCTACCGATGGTCAGCTCGTCACTGCCTTTAGTGTTCCTCACGATGACAAGGCTGCGCACGATGAGACAGCCTACAACGGCATCGCAGGCCGTGATGGGATCGACACAACAGCTGCACTGCTCCTCGCATCCGAGATCCAGATGTATCTCTCCCAGCATATCCCCGACTACATGATTCCTCGTCTTTGGATCCCAATGACTACACTACCTATCAACTCCTCCGGCAAAGCTGATCGCCGGGCTGTAACGGAGTGGATCAGCACTCTCAGCCCAACAGAGCTAGCTTCATACTCTGAGCTTGAGAGCGCTGCTGAAGAAGCGAATCTCAACGTTACGCCTACAGAACAAAAGCTTCGCGAGATCTGGAGCGCTGTTCTCAACGTTCCGAATGTCAGCTACAGACGATCCTTCATGTCATTGGGTGGTGACTCCATCACCGCTATGCAAGTCGTCTCTGCGTGCCGTGAGATCGGTCTTGTCGTTACCGTTCGCGACATTCTTCAGAGCCCTGCGATATCAGACCTTGCGACGCGCGTCAAGGCTAGTGATGGTGAGGTCTTCTCCGCTGAGATACCTGATGGACCATTTGAGCTGTCACCTGCTCAGAAGATGTTCTTTGAGGACATTGCGCCCGATGGACTTAAGTCAGAAGGCGCTTATCGGTTCAATCAGAGCGTTTGCTTCCGTCTTCAATCTGCGGGCGTCAGTGAGGAAGCTGTCGCCAAGGCTATTGAGGCTGTTGTGACAAAGCATGCTATGCTTCGCTCTCGCTTTGCGTCGCAAGAACATGGATACCAGCAGTGGATTGAGAAGCACGTCCCCGGTTCATACAGGTTCAAATCTCACAACGCCGACGATGACACCGCTGTGCAGGCCATCATGCTCGAGTCACAGAGCACCCTCGATCTCGAACACGGCCCTGTCTTCGCAGCAGAGTTCATCCAGACTCCCGATCGCCAACTTCTCTTCCTGACAGCTCACCATCTCGTCATCGATCTCATGTCATGGCGTATCATCGCCAAGGACTTGGAGCAGATTCTGCAGGGTGGCTCTATGATTACCTCGCAGTCTCTTCCTTTCCCGACGTGGAGTAACGCTGTGCTACAGCAGGCCCAGTCACTTGACCATGTCACTGAGGCTGATACCTCGGCTTCGTGGTCTTACTGGGGTCTTCAACCGGGCGAGTACATCACCGAAGATCAGGTCTTTGAGACTGCTCAATTGGACGAGCAGGTTACTTCTCAACTTCTTGGTCCCGCCAACGAGCCTCTACGCTCTGGCGTTGCAGATACCCTCCTCGCCGCCCTCTCCACCTCATTCCGTCACTCTTTCACCGATCGCTCTGGTCCCTCAATCTTCATCGAAGGCCACGGTCGCGATACCCAAGCCCTGGACATCAACTACGATCTCTCCGACACTGTCGGTTGGTTCACAACCGTCACGCCCCTCAACATCTCTGACGACAGCACCTTCATCTCCACCCTTCGCCAAGTCAAGGATGTTCGCAAACTCAACTCCGGTCGTGAAGTCCTCGACTTTGCAGCCCAGCGCTCTAGACCAATTGAAGTTCTCTTTAATTACCACGGTCAATTCCAGCAACTTCAGCGCTCAGACGGTCTCCTCACTCTTGACAAGCTTCATCAATCTGTTGGACAACTCGATGCTTCTGTTGGTGGGAAGGTCCGTCAACATGCTGCTCTCAGTGTTGAGGTGTCGATTGACGATGCGGGCAAGACTCACCTCATGGTTGGCTATCCACGACAAAGTCCCAAGAGTCAGGCCATTCGCGATTGGCTTGGGGAGTATGCCCTTGCCATCACTCGGGGTGTTGAGGAGCTGGTCGGAGCTGAGCCGATGTGCACGATCAGTGACTTCCCTCTCGCTCAATTGACCAACGATGATCTCGACACGCTGTATCAATACTGTCTCACACCAGGTTCTATCTCGTGGGCCAATGTTGAGAACGTTCTTCCATGCTCGCCGATCCAACAGGGTATTCTTCTCAGTCAATTGAGGGCACCATCACGCTACCGTCTCAAACAGACCTGTCGCATCCTCCCTGCCGATCCATCATCACCAGTTGACATTGCGCGGCTCGCAAATGCCTGGCGCCAAGTCGTGGGACAGCACTCCATCATGCGAACCATCTTCACTGGAGCTTTGTCACACCACGATCGCTTCTACCAAGTCGTTCTCAAGGCGCTTGAAGCTGACATTCAGATCATTGAGCCATGTTCTAGCTATGAGGAAGTCCAGCGCTTCATCAAGCATCACGCTCTACTTCACGACCCCGTTGGCCGTCCTTCACACCGCTTCCTCATCATTCCTACAGTCGATGGTCATGTTTTCGGTCACTTCGAGATCAGCCACGCTCTCGTTGATGCTTCTTCTGTCCAACTCCTCGTAAATGACCTTCTCGAAGCTTATGAGTCTCTTTCCCCAACCAAGACATCGATCTCACTGTCGCGCAACTCCGACTACGGCAGCTACGTCTCCTTCCTCGAACAACACCGTCACTCCGAACAAGAAGATCTCCAATACTGGAAAGATCTTCTCGAGACTGCAGAGCCATGCCATCTCCAACTCGGCCAACAGCACCACGACACTTCAGAAATGGAGACAGGCCACGCCGTCACAGCTCACATCCCCGACATCTCTGTCCTTCGCGACATGTGTCGCAACTACAACGTCACCGCCGCAAACGTAGCTCAATTAGCTTGGGCTTTGGTGCTAGCTTCTCGCGTGGAATTGAACCAGATTTGCTTCGGATATCTTTCCAGCGGTCGCGACATTCCCATCGATGGGGTTGAGAGGCTCGTCGGACCTATGATCAACATGATGATCTGTTATGTGCAATTGGACTACACCTCTACGACTGTCGATGTCATCCGACAGATTCAAGACCGTTTCTTCAAAGGTTTTGATCACCAGCGTGCTTCTCTAGCCTCAATCCAGCACTCTCTTCAAGGGACACAGCAGCAAACGCTCTTCAACACCACTGTTTCATACACCCGCGCACTTAACATGGACGGCGCGACAGAGAATAACTCTATCAAGCTTGAGCGCGCTTCGGCCGATGAATCAACTGAGTATGACTTCAACCTAAGCATCCTCGAGAATGATCAGAGCCTCGATCTTGTTCTTCAATACATCCCCGGTGTTGCAAGCCACGAAGTCGCCCAGCGTCTGCTCAACCAGCTCAAGCATGTCATCCAAGTCCTCAGCCAGCACACAACCTCTACCCTCGCTGATCTAGACCTCGTCCCAACGGAGGAGAAGCACGCTATCGTCGCTAAGAACAGAGACGTTCCCAAACCCGTGGCTTCAACCATCCACGCTCTGTTCCACGAGGTTTATGAGCGTCGACCAGAGGAGATGGCCGTCTACGCATGGGACGGCAACATGACCTTCCGACAATTAGAAGTCGCTGCTGGCAATCTCGCCGGCTATCTGATGGACCTTGGTGTCGGGCCTGAGATCATGGTCGGTATCTGCATGGATAAATCCCGCTGGGCCGTCGTCGCTATGTTAGCCGTGCTCAAAGCAGGTGGTGTCGTCCTCCCCATGGGGGTGCAGCAGCCATTACCCCGAGTCCAGACTATCATCGCAGACACCAAAGCCCCAATCATCCTAGTCGACGATAAACAACTATCGCGTCTCGCAGAAACAGGTCCTCGTCTCATCAAAGTCGACGCCGCACTCCAAGACACCCTCAAGCCCAGCACAAGAGTCTGCTCTAGCGTCACAACCGACAACGCAGCTTGGGTAGTCTATACCTCGGGAAGTACAGGAACACCCAAGGGCGTCGTTCTTCAGCACTCAGCTTTATGTTCTAGTATCCGCTCGCACGGCGACGCGTTCGGTGTACGTGATGGATCGAGGGTTCTTCAATTCGCGTCGCATACCTTTGACGTGACGATTCAAGAAGTTTTCACGACGCTGTGCCAGGGCGGATGTACTTGCATTCCCTCTGAAGACGAGCGCATCAATCAGTTACAGTCCTTCATCGTAAAAGCAGAGGTCAACTTCTTATCTCTCACCTCGACGGTCGCAGGGCTGTTAGACCCCGCGCAGCTCCCGCTCGTCAAAACAGTTATTCTCATGGGAGAGCCCGTCAAGCCAGCAGTCATGGACTTGTGGAAAGACCAAGCTATCGTGTTGGAGTCATATGCGCCCTCAGAATGTTCCATCTACGCGACTGTTTCACCAAGACCCATGAGGCACATCAGCCAAGTTCCTGTGCTGGGTATCCCACTCGCAAGCTGCTTCTGGGTCGTCGATCCAAAGGACTTCAACCGTCTTGTGCCCATCGGTGCACCTGGTGAGTTACTCATCGAGGGACCACTGTTAGCACGCGGTTATCTCGGCGACGAAGAGAAGACTGCGAAATCCTTCCTGATTGACCCTGACTTCACCAAGCATCATGGTCTTCAGCCTGGAAGAAGGATGTACCGAACAGGCGATCTCGTCCGTCAAAACAGCGACGGTTCGTATACCACGCTAGGACGCAGAGACACACAGATCAAGATCCGTGGTCAACGTGTCGAATTTGGGGAGATTGAATACTGGGTTGTGCGCTCAGCACCTGAGATCACTCAAGCGGCTGTCATGCTACTCGATGGCCCTGTCGGTCAATCTTCAGTGCTGGCTGTAGCGCTGGAAATTGCTGATGGCGGGGAAAACAGCGCTGTGGATAACAATCTACAGGGCTTGTCGCCGGCTGATTTACTGGAGCCTACCATCGCCATGCGAGAGTCATTTGAGGAAGTCCGAGGCCATCTCATATCTGTTCTACCACGATACATGGTCCCTGATATCTTCATCCCCATGTCTCGACTACCTCTCAACTCTTCTGGAAAACTTGATCGTCGCGCGATTGACCTGTTCCTGAAGGGCATGAAGCCAGAAGAGCTCGACATTTACCGCCCCAACGCAGCGGCAAAGGCAGATGTATCTACCGAGACCGAACGACAGCTCCAACACCTCTGGGCCAGCGTTCTCGGAAGACCAGCCAATACCGTCGGAGCCAAGGACAGTTTCTTCCACCTCGGCGGCGACTCCATCACCGCGATGCGTCTCGTCGAAGCATCCCGCAGCACAAACATGCTACTCCGCGTCGCCGACGTCTTCGAACACCCTCGTCTCTCCGAACTCGCTAGCATTCTAGATGCACGAATGGCTGAAGGACACGACCAATCATCGCTGGCGTCAATCCCGGCGCCGTTTTCTCTCTGGCCCGAATACGGCGCCGAGAAAGGAGTGGGTCTCCGGGCCGAGATTGCGGAGCGGTGCGGTGTCATGGCGGAGCAGATTGAGGATGTTTATCCGTGCACGCCACTTCAAGAGGGATTGCTTATCGCGACTGCTCGGCAACCGAGTGCGTATGTCAGCCGAAGAATCTTTTCTTTGAGCGATGAGATCAATGTGGCGAGATTGCAGGCTGCTTGGCAGAAGATGGCTGAGGCGGCGCCCGTTTTGCGAACTCGTATCCTTCTGGGTCTTGCCTCTGGTTCAGTGCAAGTTGTTGTCAACGAACCACTAGAATGGCACACTGCCTCTTCACTGGAAGAGTACATCGACCACGATAGTGCATTGAGCATGGCCGAAAGCAAACCCCTCATGCGCTTTGGTCTCGTCGAGTCCAACGGCGAGCGTCTTCTCGTGTGGACAGCTCATCACAGCGTCTACGACGGCTGGAGCTTAACAATGATGTACCGCCAAGTCTCCAACATGTACTGGCACGACGCGACACCACTCTCAGCGCCCTACACACCTTTCATCGCCTATCTCGGCCAGGCTGATGCTACACAAGCAGCGAGCTATTGGCGCGAGCAGCTTCAGGGTAACCCCACTGCATTCCCTGCTCTGCCCTCTGTGCGATACCAGCCTCAGCCGCGACAGAAGATTGTGCAGAGCCTTGACTTTGTGAGACAAGGAAAGTCAGAGGTTTCGCTGTCGAATTTATTGCGTGCTGCTTGGGCGCTTATGGTTGCGAAGTATTCGGGTAGTAATGATGTTGTGTTTGCTGTGACGCTTTCGGGACGGAATGCACCTGTTCATGGGATCACGGAGATGCTTGCGCCGACTATCACTACTGTTCCTGTGAGGGTGCGCATCAATTCGTCCACTACCGCTCGGGAGTTCCTTCAAGAGGTGCAGCAACAGGCGACAGACATGATTCCATTCGAGCACACAGGTCTCCAACGCATCGCGGAACTTGTCCCCGATGCCGCCGCTGCCCTGGACATGCAGCACCTCTTCGTCGTTCAACCTGCTGCCGACAGCGACGATGCATCAGCCGAGTTCCCTGGTCTTGTGCACCGACAGGACATGTCTGAGCAATTCGATGACTACGCCCTCACCGTCGAGTGTAGCATCGGATCAAAGGGCATCTCGATTGAGTCCCGATTCGACGACGCAGTCATTTCGACCGCCCAGATGCAGCGCATGTTGCAGTCCTTCGCTCATATCGCTAGTCAATTGGAGCAAGCTGAGAGTGCATCGGAAGGCACAGCAATTTCCGACTTAGACACTCTAAGCCCTCAAGACCTGGATCGCATCCTCTCTGTCAATACCAGTCCCATCCCCAGCGTCGAGCGTTGTGTGCACGAGCTCATCTTCGACATGGTATCCCACCAACCAGACGCAACAGCCATCAGCGCATGGGACGGCACCCTCACCTATAAACAACTCAAGCATCTCTCCGGCAAGCTCTCCGACCATCTCGTCAGTCTTGGTGTCCGTCACGGCACCAGCGTCGGCGTGTGCATGGATAAATCTCAGTGGGCTGCTGTTTCGATGCTCGCCATTTTACGCGCCGGCGGTGTCGTCGTTCCACTGGGCGTCCAGCTCCCTCTTGGCCGTCTCAAGCTCATTATTGATGATGCAAAGGTCAGTGTTGTACTGGCTGATCAGAAGCAAACTGAACGGCTGGCTGGTCTGGGCCCCGAGACTTTTACTGTTGATGAGTCGCTGCGCAAGAGGGTTTCTTTCAGTGATGTTGGCATCCCAGATAAATGGTATACTCGCGTCACAGAGATCAACGTCAATCAGCCGGCCTGGATCGTGTATACTTCCGGCAGTACAGGTACACCAAAGGGCGTGGTCCTTACCCATGCTGGTATCTCGTCTAGTCTGAACAGTCAGAAGAAGGTCTTTGGTCTGAGCAAGATGTCTCGAGTGCTCCAATTCGCAGCGCATACCTTTGATGCTGCTATCCAAGAGATCTTCACCACTCTGTCTGCTGGAGGCTGTGTCTGTGTGCCTTCTGAGGATGAGAGGATGAGCGACCTGCAGCATTTCATCATTGAGAGGGCTGTCAATTTCCTGTCCATCACGCCCACGGTCGCTGAGCTACTCAAGCCATCTCAGCTACCTAACATCAACACAGTCGTGTTACTCGGTGAGCCTGTCAAGCCGTCAGTTCTCGACTTGTGGATGAACCACCACGCGGACATTATCGGTGGATACGGCCCAACTGAATGTTCCATCTACGCCATCGTGTCAGCGGCTCCATTCACAGACAGGAAGCAAGCCAACATCCTTGGCGCCCCTCTACCAAGCTGCCGTGTTTGGGTCGTCGAGCCCGATGATTACAACAAAATCTGCCCAATTGGCGCCCCGGGTGAGCTTCTCATTGAAGGACCCCAGGTCTCGCAAGGCTATTTGAACGACGCTGCCAAAACAGATGGCGCGTTTATCACAGATCCTGGCTTTACATCGCGTTACGGCTTGGGCAGCGGACATCGCATGTATCGCACAGGTGACTTGGTTCAACAGAATGATGATGGGACATACACCAATCTCGGTCGGCGAGATAGTCAGGTCAAGATTCGCGGTCAGAGGATTGAGTTGGGAGAGATTGAGTACTCGGTGGTACAATCGTCGGAGGATATTAGATCAGCTGCGGCTGTGTTTGTCAAGAGGGAGGATAGATCTACGATTGCAGTAGCGGTGGAAATTGCAGGGGAACAGGTTGGAGATGGAGTATTGGCTCCGTCAGAGACTTTACGAAAGGCGTCGGAGGAGATTCGTGTCAAGCTCGCCGAGGTTCTGCCTCAGTACATGATTCCCGATTTCTTTATTCCTATGGGTAAGTTGCCGGTCAATTCATCAGGCAAGCTTGACCGTCGGGCAATCAGATCGGTGTTGGAGGATATGGATGACGACAAATTGGAGGAGTATCGCCTTACGACAGGCGCTCAATTGGTTCCTGTCTCGACAGACATGGAGAAACAGGTTCAGCAGCTCTGGAGTCAAGTGCTCAGGCGACCTGCGGAGTCAATCGGCGCAAGCCACAACTTCTTCCACCTCAATGGAGATTCACTAGCTGCTATCCAGCTCGTCGCGGCTGCGAGGGCAGTTGATCTTAAGATGACTGTCGCCCAGATCTTCCAGAGCCCTGTCTTGAGAGATCTTGCCAGCCATCTCGAGCAAAATAGTCATCCTCACGATACGACAAGCCATCATGTTGAGGGAGTTGACGAAGCAACAGAAGCCGCGATCAAGGCTACTCTCCCAAGCCACTTCAGCGTTGAGAAGGTTCTCGAAACAACCGAGTTCCAATCCATTGTTCTTCATGAGCATACACAGGGTCGATGGCTCATGCACGCGACTATAACATATAACCAAAAAGTCGACAAGCAGCGCGTCCACTCAGCGCTCCAAACCACAGTCGCCAAGAACGAAATTCTCCGAACAGTCTTCACCCAGCAAGCTGGAAAACATTACCAAGCCATCCTAACCAACTTCGCGGTTCCCTTCCAAGAACACACTACGTCTGCAGACCTCCCTACCTTCTGCAAGTCTCTTGTACAAGATGATCAGAAGAATCATCTTGAGCTTCACGAACCTCCCTTCAAGACATGGTTCGTCCAAGGCGAGCACAAGGATAGTCTTGTGGTGAGGATCTCCCACGCGCAGTATGATGGGATGTCGCTGCCGATCTTCTTCCAGCAGCTTCAGGCGTGGGGTGAGCCAGATGTTGAGGTCGAGGCGCCAAGACAGATGTCGTATTACATTGATGCGTTGAGGGCCATTGATACGAAGCCCACGATGAAGTTCTGGGGTGACTTGCTGGAGGGCTCGAGTATGACTGGTCTACCTGGTGTTTCGCAAGCAAGCAAGGCTGTGTCGGGCTCTTATATCGTCAAGACGGTGCCATCGCCAAAGGTTGAAGGGTCGGGACTCACGGTGTCATCGTATCTCAAGGCCGCGTGGGCAATGGTCCTCGCCAAAGCAACCGGAACATCCGACGTCGTCTTCGCCCATCTTGTATCAGGCCGCTCCCTCCCAATCGACGACATCGAAAAGGTCAACGGTCCATGCGTAAACCTCATCCCCATCCGCGTCAACACCGCTCAACCCCACGGCACCATTCTTCACCAAGTCCACCAGCAGCACATCGCAGCTCTACCACACGAACATCTCGGCTGGGAGACTATTTTCCGCAAATGCACAAACTGGCCTACTTCCACAAAAGTGCCGCGCTTCTCTTCTATTCTACAGTATCAGAATCTGCCTGAGGCGCAGAAGAGCTTTGGCATGCATGGTGCTGAGTGTAGTGTTGACTATACTGTTGTGCCGCCTGATGTTACGGATGTTTGGGTTACGGTTGAGCCTAAGGGCGGTGAGATGAGTATTGTGGCGGGATACTCTGAGGAAGTTATTGCGAAGGAGGTGGTGGAGAGATTGATGGAGGATCTTTGTGCGGTGTTGAAGAGCATTGAGGCTTGAGAGTCATAGTGCACGATTTTCCTAGTGTTAGTGCTTTTATGTTGGAGTTTGGAGTCTGGAGTTGGCTTTGGTGCTATTTCTTGACCTTAAAATTGGACTTGCTAGGCTTTCATAGAAATTAGTTATCTTTCTTCTCTTCAATAATGCACTTGGAGAATATTTATATCATTTAGTTCGTCTGTGGCTGGATGATCGCGCCTCACAGCAGCCCTATGCCCCGAAACCTAGAGAGCTACAGTTGATTACAAGCGCTAAGACCACTATAGCCAGAACCTGTATTTATGAACACAGACACGGTCATAAACCCTGGCTCATCACATTCGCATGTCTCCTTACGATTGGCATGTGTATTCATCACCAGCCATTTTATGCTCTGTATTTAATTTTTTGTTCAATTTAACAATGGATGAATATGCCATTGAACTAGATCTGCTATCCCGGGCTAAAACGTCCAATTGCTCCCTCACTCCCTCCATCAAAGCCATCATGAATCAAGTCAAGATGGTTCGGCTTGCTAATTAACTTAATTCCCCTCCGTCTTTGAGCTTCAACCCGTCTCCAATCCCACTCGCCATCTTTACTGATACCAATACTCGAACCATCAGGCTCCACTGCTTCCGGGTCCCGCTCGTCAATTGCCCATCCTCCCGGTCTTGTCGGCAATAGTCCAGCCTGTTCCAACACAGTTGACGGCGGCACCGTAAGACGCTTCAACTTGAACACGTACTTGCTCAAAGCAGTAGCGTATATCTTCTTACTCAAGTCGCCCGAGTCTTTGAGCAGTGGCCTTGTGGGTGTTCTCGCAAACCGTGGATCCAGCCACTCCGTCGGAAGCGCCGTACCTTTCGACACGAAATGCGTCACGATGTATAACCACTTCCGATCCCAAGCCAAGACATAACTCCACATCTCGACCTGTTTGAAAGCTGTAATTTCACGGCGGAAACAAGTTTCAACACCACCCAGATTTATCCCGAGTCTTCCGCCCATTGGTGTACCGGTCTTTGGATCAAGAACAATTCCAAGCTTGGTGTTGTTGGATAATCGATGGAAGCCATGTCGGAAGAGGTATGCAATTAGATGCGCACGGCCAACGTCAAGGTCGGCGAAATATGTCGAGTTGGACTTGTGGAGGTAATAATCGACCTCCAGGAGGGATGTAGAAGTTGTGGCGATGATAGGCTTGAAGAGCGCTTTGGGACCTAATTGGGGTGATTTACGGAGGACTGTATGATACGAGATTGTGTACAGAACGCGCAGCTACATCTTATTAGCGCATGCCCTGGTAGCAAGATGTCTGGTGACTCACTGTCCAGACGAATGGCATCGACTTGAAGTTTGATGCGATGAATAAGACAGTGAGCAAACCCAAGATTCGCGGGCCTGGAATGCTGAACTGGAAGCGCTGTTTTGTCTCATCCGTCTTGTCAAAGGCCGCGACCAGTATCGCAAAGATCAGGACACTGAGGCCCAGTGTCTTTAACTTACTCAAGCCAAACGCCATCGTCACTCCCAAACGAGATTCGGCTTGATAATTGAGGCAAAAAGTTGTGATACAGACGTGTGAGAATGACTGAACGGAAGATTTCGTCTCATTGCAGCAACTGTCATGTTGTCTTACATGGAGGCTTTGAGGATCAGCGGCGCAATTGAGTTCCGGCTGCGGGGCATGCACTAACTATGAATTGCAATTGGGTCACTGTAACGCCTGTAGGATCTGACATCGGGATTGCAGGATCAGGATCGCTGGGGAGATTGCGATTGGTGTTGAGCTTGAAGCCGCTCCAGACCACTAACATCGAAGCAGCCAATAGGCCACGATGTTCAGCTATCAAAGCCACGAGGGGAAGGATCACAGATGACACTACGACATGAGCAAGATGCTCGCTTCAACACTGCAGCTTGAATTGTGAGATTTATATCACTATGTTTCGCCGCTCTCTTAATACATACAGCGGCCAATTTATGGTCAATCAAGATTCAATGGCCGAGTGAAGCGCTAAAGATGTCCTAAGCTCACTGAACCAGGCACCACAGTACAGTTAGTGGTTAGGCCACGCTGAAGAGTCTAACTGGAGAGCATTACTGTAACATCAGTGTTCCATATCAACACGATTGCAATTGGGATAGCCTTCAAGGCCCTTTCGTAGGATTATTCAAGCTATATACCAATTTTCTCTTCTAAACATTTGACAAACGCAAGTATATCATCTCCGGCCGATGCGCAACACCAGGGAAAGGCTTAAAGCTCGACAGCGGCTTCGGCGTCGGCTCCAAATTAAAGTGCCAAACAATAAGCGCCATCATGATCTTGACCTCCAGCGCAGCCCACTTCCGCCCTATGACCTCAATGAGTAACTATATCACAGTGATTCAATAGAGGAAACTTACCGAAACAAGCTCTAGGTCCAGCACCGAATGAATGTCGTGGTCCAGCATTGGGATTAAACGTCAATCGCCCCTCTTCATCTTCGACGAGCCATCGCTCTGGGTCAAAGTCTCTCATGCCCTTGACGTTCCACTGACCGATCTTACCAGCTGTTCCCTTTGAGCTCTCTGATCTCTTTTCTTCGTCGACGGACAGTGGAGGCATGAAACTTCCAGGGCCATTGTTCAGCATCAGAATCTCTGTATGCTTGGGAACCATGTGACCGAGAATATTAACCTCTTGCATCGTCGTGCGGATGTTGGTCTGGGTAACTGAACCACATCGCGTAGATTCCTCAATCATAGCCTCAAAGTATGGGAGGCGAGCGGACATGATCTCTGAAACAGTGGGTGCGTCGCCTCTCTCAACCGCAGCACTGCATTGTTCTCTGAGTTCATCCCGGACCTTCTTCTGGACATTCTGATGCGTAGTGAGAAACTTAAGAGTCCAGGCAGTCAGAGTGAAGATCTCGTTTCCAGCGAGCATGAAACTGAACAGCTCATCTTGAACGGTGCGGCTCATCAGCTCCGGCGTACGACCTTCCTTTCGTGCGCTGTCAATTTCTCGGGCGATGACAATGTCGACGGCACTCTTCATGTGTCGCTTCAGATTACCTTGATCCTCCCAATTGAGATCAGTCTGGTTGGAGAATTTGTTGATCGCTTGCTTGATCATGTCTTGGATGACAGCTTCTTTGAGGCTTCGGGCTGCACGTAGAGATGGCATTAGGTTGTAAGCCAACCATAAATGCAGTCCGGGTACAAGCGATTGAACACCAATGTTCATGGCGTCGTTCAGTGCAAGGCCAGCCTTGAAGACGGGAGGATCAGGTGCAACGGGGAAGTGGACTTCATGGTCCATGTCGGGTAGATTGGTGAACTCAGGCAGTGTCTCAAGAAGCTCAGTCTGCGCAGTTGTCGAACCAGAGTCAAAGCCAAATGTCGCAGCCCAGATGATCTCAAAAGCCGCCTTGCGAATATCCGTCGACACAGAAAAAGGTCTCCCTTTTGCCAATCTCTCCTTAACTCTCCAAAGATCAATCAGCTTCATAGTAGACTTCCACATCTGCGGCCCAGCAACACCGCCCAGAAACGCAGGCGACATCGTATCAGCCACCAACTTCCGATGAGCCTTCCACCGATCCCCAGTCGGCATATGGAAGTGAAACTCCGGCACAAGCGGCATGAACAAACTCCTCAGAAACCTCGAGCGATCAAACTCCTTTGGTGTGCGTCTCGACAAAATGTCAAAAGCCTCGCGGTTATCAGCGACAATGACCCAAGGCTTGCCGAGCGGGTGCACAAAGATCTGAAACACGGGCTCGTTGAGTTCCACGGCGAGGTTGGCGAGGTAGCCAAACATTTCGCCGTGCTTTTTCTTCCATTGCAGGAGTTCCCAGGCGTTGCCGAGGATCTTTTTGGCGTTGGCTTCGCGGTAGACGATGCCGGGGATGGGCTTTGGGAGGAGGGCGCGGCGGATGAGGAGGGTTGTTAGGATGAAGATTGCGATGATTATGCTGAGGGTTTGGGGTGTTGGGGAGAACATGATGGCGGTGTTTCGGGGGGAATTTAGCGAGAGTGCCACTAAGATTGTTGGAATGTAGTGGATGTAATAGTCTATATAAGCCGTGAGGCCAATTGCGTTTAGTGCTTACGAGTGCTGAGTCCAGCCCAGGATCAGAGGATTGCGGGATCGGGAATGTCGAATCACATGTAGGTTATCAACGATATAGTAAAATGGCATGTTTATTATCTCTCGATGGCCCGAGATCTTGATGATTCTCTGCAGGAAGATGCAAGTAAGATAAAGTGCGGCGAAACGTTCATAATCAGTGTTGTTGAATTGGTCAATCCACGAGTCTGGTGATCCTTCAATCCTGTAATCCTCCGACCCCGCGATCCCCAAGCTGGCAGTGACATTCTGGTTACACAAGCTCATTTCATGGTACGATGTTGTTATTATAATTGGACATGGCTCTGTTCGATGGAGTATCGGTTCTTCGGTCTTCATCTGTTATCCGACTTCATCCACTCTCCGTCTATTTAGAGGTCTCCGTTGGGTCAACATACTGTTGATACCGACACTACGGATAGCCCTGTACACTCTGTCAAGATGGTCTTTCAACCTCCCTCGTGGGTCCCTGACATCACTACCCAGATCCATCCCAATGCGAATGTCGCTGAGTGGGCACTTGAGAGCCGACGTGCGTCTGGTAGTGTTCGTGCACCTTTCATCTGCGCCTTGACGGGTAAGAAGTATACCCTCAAGGAAGTCAGAGAGAAGGTCAACGCTTTGGCGAGAGCCTTGTGTAATGAACTTGGCTGGTCGCCTAACAGAGGCACTACTGAAGAAAAGGTCATTGGCGTTTTGGCTGTCAACTCGGTAAGCATCTTAGAATCCATTGTGTGAATAATACTAATCCATCATAGCTTGACTTTCTTGTTGTCTGCTGGGCCATCCATCGCATTGGTGGTATCTGTTTACTTCTCCAACCAACTACCTCACCAGTTGAGATTTCGTCACATATGACCAAAGCCAAATGTGACATCCTCATCACATGCGAAGAGTTACTGCCCTCTTGCAAAGAGATCTTGAACCGTCTTCCCAAGGCTCCCCGACGAATGTTCTCCATCAACACCAGCAACACCCAATTGCCCAACTTTGATGGAGAGATCAAGTGCCTACCCCAGCTTTACCAGGAGGGCAGTGAGCTTCCTGAGCTTGAGCAGCTTCAGCCAAAGGATGCTCACACCACGGTTGCGTTCTACCTTACTACAAGTGGAACTTCAGGACCCCAGGTATGATAAGGACTCCCATCTGTGTTGACGTCGTTGAGGCTAATGTGATTAGAAACTTGCCATAATCACGCATGCTAACCTCATCGCTAATGTCACCCAAGCAGCTGTCTTTGAGAGCTCAGCTGGGTACAAACACCCTGACATCGGCCTTGCTGTCCTCCCGCTCAACCACGGCTATGGCCTCGTCACTACACATGCTATGTTCGTGAGAGGCGACTCGGCTGTTCTCCACCCGAACTTTAACATGCAGTTGGTACTCAAGTCGATTCAAGAGCACCGCATTTCGCGTCTATACCTTGTGAGCCAGACTGTCTCAAGGTTCTGAATGAATACTGATTGAGAAATAGGTTCCACCTGTCATTGCAGCGCTAGCAGCAAACCCCGTCCTGTTCGAGATCTTTGACCTATCGTCTGTGCAAGATGTCGTTCTTGGCGCTGCAGCATGCAGTGATAGTGTGACCAAGAAGATGAAGGCTTTGATGCCTAGCTGGAGTCTCCTGGTCGGATATGGTAAGTCAACACCGAAACTTGAGCAATATGCCTAGCTCTGACTGACACCCCTCGAATAGGCCTGACGGAGTGTGTATCCATTGTGACTTTCAGTCGTGCGGCTGATATCATGCCCGGTTCGAGCGGTTGTTTGTTCCCGTCCAACCAAGGCCGTCTCATCGACCAGGATGGAAATGAGATCACGTCCTACGACACTGCTGGAGAGTTATATCTCAAATCAGCTGCCATGATCCCAGGATACTTGGGTGAAGATGATGCAATGAGGGCCAAGTTCACCGTTGATGGGTGGCTACCCACTGGCGACATCGGTTTCTTCAGAAGAAGTCCACATGGCGATGACCATCTCTATCTGGTCGACCGACTCAAGGACATGATCAAGGTCAAAGTAAGTCTCCCCCAGTCTTTCCACAACTCATCACTAACCGTTATCCAGGGCCTTCAAGTCAACCCCGCTGAGATTGAAGAGCTACTTCGAGTACAGCCTGGCATTCTGGACGCAGCGGTCATTGGCGTCGTGGACGATGAAGCAGGTGAACGACCACTTGCCTTTGTCGTACCAACCAAGCAGGACATGACGGCTCAAGAGCAGAAGGAACTTATCCTACAGTTGGACGAAGCTATCAAGGCCCAGCTTGATGAGACCCACTGGCTACGTAAGCAGATTCGTTTCATCGAAGAGCTTCCACGTGGTCAGAGTGGTAAGGTGCTGAAGAAGATTCTAAGAGAAAAGGCAAAGCAGAAGGACCAGGCAACTATGAATGGAGCCAGTGGGACAAATGGCAGCCTCCCAGAGAAGAGGATCGAGGGGGCGAACGGGATTCATGCACAAAACGGAACAAGCGAAGCGGCACGGGTTTAAGGCATCTTTCTTTATAAGTAGTCAACTCAGTTTAACGATCAAATTGTAATTACTTCAACTGAGATCAAAACTTCGAACTTGTAGAGAATACAAACAAGGAGTGCGACGTAAGTAATCCAACACGGTGGAAGGGTGCTAGCAACAAAAAGGTATCTAGAACATGAACAGGTAAGAGAAGTTCGGATCTTCGCTCTAACCGACAGGAGCACCAGGGTAAATTTGATCCAGTGGATGAGCCCTTAGGGCACTCACACTTAGCACGTCTTGCTCCCTAGAGCGTCAACCAAGGGACCCCAGACCTGATCGTTATTCAGGGCGGTATAGATGATCGAAACCCAAGACCCTATAGTTCGTTTCTCTCGTCCATTGATCTTGGCCCCAGGACCTCTACCAGGATGCTCCACCAGGCCTTGATGAAAAGGCACACCCAGTTCTTCTCTTACAAATAAGTATAATCTCAGAGAAGCGCGGCCGAGTAACTGCTTCGTGGTAGGCTTGACAAAGAACTCGCTCCGTATCTTAATAAAGGTCAAGTGAGCCAGCTTCTCCAGATCCATTTGAAGCGGCCGTGTTGATTCAAGATGCATCTCGTGCTCCTCCAGATGATCCCAGAGTACTGATACTGTTGCTTTTGAGAGGGCCTTGCATCGATCTTCAACATCGTAGCACGCCGAGGCATTCCAGGATTTTACGATAGTCTCATGGAGGCTCTCATAGATCCCTTGCGACACTTGGTCGTCAAATACATCAAGGAACGGCTGCAATATAGAGACCAAGCTGCTTCTGAGCGATTCGAGATACGTCATGTGGAGCACTCGCAGATCCAACGCCTGACAAACAGCGAATAGATGCGCCGCACACATTTGCGTGACAACTTCAGCAGCTTGAAGAGTATATCTTCCCGAGATCAGCGCTAGAGAGTTGATCGACTGATTGTGCATCTCTGCAGACTGGACATGAGGAGTGACAGGATTTGCGAGAAAGCCAAGCTCTGACAGGTATGCAGCCATACTGATGTCGATACCCTTCATAGTGAAGGATAGACTGGGGTCGTCGGCGACGAGATTCGGAGGAAGACCTCTGTTCATGGTCGGGTTGATGAGTTCGGAGGAGAGGCTGAAGAGAAGTTTGCCCACCATCTGAAGAGCGAGGCGTGTCTTCTCCATTCCGTTGGCCACTGAGCTAGAGATGAAGTTGGCGCCGGAGTAAACCTCGCCAGAATTCACATCGATGATGGGGTTGTCGGAAGTTGAGTTGAGTTCCACAGTGATCTGAGATAGTACAGAGCAGGCATCCTCACTTTGAGGACCGAGCCACTGTGGAGCTCCTCGCAAGGCATATCTATCCTGAGCAAGACCAGGTCTGAACTTGTCCTCTTCCTTGAGGCATTGAAGGAGTGAAGATCCCTGGAGGAAGTGCCGAATAGTTGCAGAGCACTCGATCTGTCCGGGATGAGGACAAACAGAAGGAATAAAAGGATGGTAGTTCTCAGCCTTGCCGAGTAACGCCTCGCATGACATTGCTACGAGGCCCTGAGCTAACAGCAAGAGCTTGTTTGTGTCGTGAACGGCCAGACATCCCAATGCAGCTGAGGGAGCTGTGCCGTTGACCAGACCAAGACCTTCTTTGGGCCCAAGGGCAATTGGCTCTAGGCCAGCGAGCTCAAGGGCCTTATCAGCGGAGAGAACAAACGAGGTCGTTGTGCGGACGCGAATGTCGGAGTTGCCTTCGAGCAAACCGGCGATATACGATAGAGGGATCAAGTCACCAGATGCAGAGATTGACCCCCGCAGCGGAACGATAGGTGTCATGCCTTTTCGGAGTAAGAGAAGGAGGGCTTGAACGACCTCCAGACGGACACCTGAGTGGCCACGAAGCAGTGTATTGCAGCGAATCAGCATTGCTGCTCGGACCCAGGTTACAGGCATGCTGCCATTTTCGGGTTCATCATTCAAGATGCCCGCTTGGGTGAGCTGCAGTAATGCTGACTGCAGAGCGGGGAGGTCCTTTGTTCGCGTATCAGCGCTTCCGCCAAACCCTGTATTGACACCTAGCACTCAGTCAGACTCAAGTATTGAGATATTAAGGGCAGGTGATCTACCGTATACAAAGTAGCCTTTGGCGAGGTACCCTTCGAGCAGCACGACACTTTTGTCCATGGCGTCTGCAATATCGTCTCTCTTTGCCACGTAAGCATTGCAGTTATACCTGGTACGGTTGTAAGCTTAATGGACTGTAACACGGGTGGTGACTTACTTGGCGACTGCAATCACCGAAGCGACATCAAGGTCGGATCCGTCGAGAACAATAAAACCGGAGTCCTTGATACTCTGGATCTTTTTCCAGACATCGCAAGATTGGGAAGCATGAGTGGGTGAAAGGCCTGAAGGGTCAGTAGGCTTGGTACTTCTCGAGGCATCGTGCTCCTGGTCCGAGACTGCAGTCACATGGTGACCACTGCCAGAAAGATGATCAGTATCTCGAAGTGGCATTTCAGACACTTGAGCATTGGCTTTTGCTCAGTAGGATATTTGGGATTTCGATTCCTCTGCAGGAGCTGGTAACAATAAGGTATTTAAGCAGTTCACGTAGGACAATCTCTGTGTATCAAAATCGGCATCCGAACCCCCGAAGTCCCTTTTGCTCTTTATCTCCGCTGAGGTCAGATCTGTATCTGTACAAGAGGTCTCTCCAACAACTTGAGCCCGCTTACATCTGTGACAATCCGTCGTGGAGACACCGGTTGAATTGTGACTCGTTATCTGCGGCGATTCCCGCAATCTATTCCCTTTTAGACATGACAAGCCTTCTAGTGATATTTTGACTTCAGTTAGCTCAGTTGGAACATCAAAGTTCAGGGGGTTGCCGTTTTAATTATATGACTTGTATCGTAAACAGAAGGATCTCTTCTCTTGGCAAGTCTCTGTGACATGGTAGCATACGATATTGTTACTCTAGAGAAATGCTAGCCGAGACAAAACGCCAAGTTCTCGTGGCCATTTAGTTCTAAGCCACAAGTCCCGAGATAAAACACATCTAAACGCGTATATTACCCACTATCGCTGATCCCGAGCTCCCGGATCTACGGTTAGCCCTGCAATTGGATGAGAAACCGTTGGAATTAAAGTTCAGGAGGCTCCTTATCTCGGTAAGTCGTATATTAACGCCATGTCAAACTATTTTGGCTTAGTATAAACAAGACCTTGTTCACTACTCCAGATCGCAGATCTCCAGCTCGGTGTTCTCACCGTAGATGTGGCCAAGGTGATTAAGCTTTAATAGTTATTCCCGCTAACGAACTGTTCGTATATCTAATCTACACTTCTTCGCGTGTTGATGCAAGTCACTAGCAAAAACATCGGCACCTAAGCTAATAGGCGAGCCACGCATATTAGTTGACCCACAGGCACGAACCTTTCTTTCCAATGGCGCCAAGACAAAAGATTGATCTTCACTCGTGTCCAAGCTCCATTGCGCCCTGTGATCACGCCCTGTAACTTAACCACAGGACGCCGGACCAAAGCTTGAGCCCTTATCATAAGTGACAGAAATGATACCCATCAAACCCCCCTGAGTTTCTACTATCCGTCGTGGAGACACCAGTTGAATTGTGACTCGTTATCTACTACTATTAATACAACTTATTCCTTTTCTAGGCAAAGCCGGTCAAAGTTAAATCTGAGAGTGAAGTGGTAAGAGGGCCTTCCGGCTTTATATCTGTAAGATATGGCCGGTTGCAAACACGCTAGTAGAAATACTCTTTAGCTATCGGCTAAATCCCACGTGTTTATAGACCTATAGGGTCCTTCTAACTGAAAAGTGAAGCTACTTATATATCACTTAAGCATGTCAGTCGGAAGAAGGTCCTTCCGGAGCCGCAGGCGACAGATTGGGTTGTCCTTCTCTCAAGGATGTCCCCGGCAGGGTCGTCGAAAGCAAGTCGGCTGCCGGCCCCCCGGAAGGTAGCCATGAAATCGCCTCTATGAAGATGAAAGAAAACCTCCTCTTTTAGCAGAAGATTTCCTTTTTTGGCAGTCAAGATAGCTTCAATTAGAGGCACAGCAAGAAGAACGCAAGGTCAAGCTAGGCGGAGACATTTGCTTCGCCTAAGATGACAGCCTGTCAGCATCATCGTCCTGTAGCTATGAGTAGCCTTACAGTAATATTTCCACTTCACCTATTAGTTCAGTTGGAAGATCAAAGCTTCAGGGATTGCCGTTTTAGTTTTTTAACCTATATTATCAGTAGAGGGATTGCTCGTCTTGGCAAGTTCATGTAACGCGTGGACCATTGGTCAACTAAATCTTTCAATGTATTTAGAAATGCTACCCGAGACAAAACAGATCTGCCCCAGTGTTAGCTATTATCGCCGTTCCCGACCTCCCGGTTTTGTTTAAACCATATCGGTGGGATGAAGGGCTTTGATGTTTAAAGTTCAAGGGATTGCTTATTTCGGCAAGTCGTGTAACGCTATGTGAAACTATTTTAGCTCTGTAGTAAGAATACCAGTGTCGTTGCAACTTACCACGCTAGCAGTGGAGCTACCGAAACCTAGGGAAGTCATTTCTCCATCTGGCGTCAAACCTTCATTCCAATATTGTCAAGGTGAAAGAGAGATCTTCACACGTGTGGAAGCTTCATTGCGCCCTGCAGCTCACAGGGGGCAATACAACTCGAGGCGGTTATCCTGATAACAGAAATGAGCAATTCGATGCCCTTCTAAGTTTGTGCTAAGACTTACTACGCTGGCTCTGTTACATGGGAGACAAGAATCTATAAATTGGAATGTTGGGCCTGCCCATTTTATCCAACTTCTCTTCAACAATATCTTTCCATTCGGCTCGCTTTAATACTGTCAAACATTACAAATCTTGAGAACCATGAAGTCTAACGACATGTCTATGCAGGGCGGAGGGTACTATAACGACCATAGCGCCCTCCAGGGTCTCGCAATTGATAAGGCATTATCTCTGCTGGAGCCTCCTCAATTTAAAGGTCCGCCAATTTCAGTCCCTTTCAATGTTGCCTCCTCTCCGCAGCTCCTTTCCCCATTATTCTGAAACTTCTTTTGATACCTCAACTGTATTACAGCAGGTCCTTGGATAGGGTGATGCTTACGTATCGTACAGGAAAGACTATTATCCTCGCAGATTATGGGTCCTCTGAGGGCAAGAATGCGTGAGTTACTGCTTCTATATCCTCACAACTCAGATGAAGCTAAATTGCCTTAGGGTCCGGCTTTTTGTCAACTATCTTTCCAGCTTGCGCGGGATTTCGTCTGCAACCCTCGTGTTCAACGATACAGCATTCAATGACTATTCCAGCCTTTCGAAAATCATTGACACCAACTGGTCATCACTATCGCAAGATGGCCGACTATCCATCAGCCCCCTGATGGCTCCCAGGTCATTTTATGGACAAGTCCTGCCTGATGACTTTGTCGATGCAGGATTCTCTTTTACCGCCCTCCACTGGCTGCAGCACATGCCATCTTCATTTGAGCCATCAGATCTATCTAGATCCGCTCACGAAGACTTGGTGTCTTTCTTGGCAGCTCGCCATAAGGAAATTCGGCCAAACGGTGCCTTGACACTCTTCATTCCCTGCCATGCCCAGATTGGAGTTGGTCCGGGACTTGCGTGCTTGCAGGCCAGCGTTCGTAGACTCGCAAGCGCCTATCATGTCGATCCCTCATTCACACTACGATTACCTGTCTACTGGCGTACGATGGAGGAGATACTGGCTTCCATCAATGTCGAACAACATACATGGACCGTGAAATCCCATGTAACTATTCCAATGATGCACCCGTCACGGACTTCAGCCGTGTTGGATCCTGCCAATATGGAAGCCAGGGCTAGGTATGCTGCTACCATTGCCGGTTTCGTGACTGCGGCATGTGCCCGGTTCATAATGGATGACACGGGCACTTACCCCAAGAAAAGAGAGCAGAATGGGCCTGCTTTACAATCGGCAGTTGTCGCAGAGACGACTTTCCTTGAGGACTTGTTAGATTGCTTCAAGGATGAATGGCTGCGCTCATTTGTCACGGAAGAGATTGGATTAACCTATGCATTTGTGCAGCTCGAGCGACTATAGAAGAATGGATTTCATGTTGCAGGCCCTAGTTTCGAATTTTGTTACCCTAATCAATCACAGTCCTTACTCAAGTAGCCATTTATCTATTCAGTTATACGGGATATGGGACGATGATCGTGAATCTTGGCGTCACAAAAAAATGCTACTGTATCTCAAAAACCATAATCAAATGCATCCCAAAGCAAATTGAGATCTTACCTAAGCCGGGGTACTTGGCGGAAAACATTTCTCAATGCGCAAACCAGCCAGACGCAAATTGTTGAGTCTGGCGTGCGTACGTAAGTCGGTGAGGCGGACTCTGGCGAAGATGGTGGGCGGAATATGAGGGTGATTGGTGAGATGCTTGTGCATCTGGGCCTTTGAAAATGCGCAATGCGAAATTCTGTTACCGCGCGTATTCTCCCACTCGAAATTGAAAAGCTACGTCAATTGTGGCGGCAATCAATGCATAACATGTATTTTACCAGCAAATCACTTGAAAGAAGGATGACTTTGATACATGAAATAGCTTGGCTGGACATGGTGATTGGACCACGATCATTTTCTCACTTGACTACGGGTGAAAATGAGGCTCTCGCTCCATAGGTCAGTCAACTGACAAATGTCAAGCCATTATTTATGAGGAGACGTCACATTGTTCAAGAAAGGGGGCTTGTCAAAGAAAATTGGACCTTTTCTCTCTTGCATCCTGTACGTTCCTTAACCCGCAAACACCAACGCTGCGCCATGTCAATGTCAATTTACGCTGGAGCTTATGGCTATATGCCGAAACCGGAACTTGAAGGAATTCTCACTGATCCGCACTTTAGAATCATCTTCATTCATGGTCTGAATTCGCCTTGCACTGGGGTTGGTGGCACACACGACGACAGCGAAGCAGTGGGATTGAAGCCCATCAAATCGCCCTTCGAGCTACCGCTGGCGATAGAAGCATATACCTTCTATCACGAAGGCAATCTTTTAGAAGACGTGGACCGTATCGCCAGTGCTGCAGCGTCGCTACGTTCAGCGCTTTGTAACAAAGGCAATTGGCCTCCCTTTCCATACTCGACGTACTGCGACAGCTAATAATCAAGACAGAAACGGGATTCTCCCACGGCTCTTCCAGCGATCAGGTATTTTTTATTTTTTTTAACTTTATTGGGGCTCAACAGTGCACTAATTTCTACAGAGCGATAGGCGAACTATTCTCATTTGCCACGGTTCAGGGGGACTCATTGTCAAAGAAGCCCTACTGAGATCTGTCATTCAATCTGATCCAGAGCAGGCGTTTCATCAGTTGATTCTAGGTCTTATCTTCATTGGTACACCTCATTCAACCGCGGATGAGAGGTTGCCGTATCAATTGAACCTAATGCGAAACAATCAAGGTCCTGACTCGCCCGCCCTCAGCATGAAGATAATCGCTTCAATCACGACACTTCTTCGAGGTTTCAATAGCCTAGATTGGTCTCGCCTTGGTTTCAAGCCGGTTTCTCTCTTCGAGGAGGTCGGTCTCCCTGATGCACCAGAAGCCTTTGGTCCTGTAAGTAATTTGGCTTTTGAGAATCTTGGTATGTACTAAATGCGTCACACTAGGTTGTAAACTGTGAAGATGTCTTCATCCGTGGCCAAAGGCAGATCGGGCTTCACGCCAACCATTGGGTACGTGTGTTGAGTTTGCCTTGTATAATTTAGTACCTAATCATTCATTTTAGAGTACCTGGAACTTCTCCGATCCTTCCAGCTCTACGTATAAAGCTATCTCAACAATCATACAGAGCTTTTGCCACGATCTAACTTCCAGTAAATGCGAGGGCTCTTACCCACAAATGGATCCCGACATCTCTGGTAGGTTCATGTCTTCGCTGGGATCAGTGCAGTATTACTCATAATGACTAGGACTCCTTCGGTCTCTTCAAGTCACCAGCACTGAGAGCTTCTCAACTCCTATGCAAGGCACTTGTTTATGGATCTTTCAACATGAAGCCTTCGGATCCTGGCTTGAACAACCCTCAGGTCTTTTGTGGATCAAGGGCAAGCCAGGAAGTGGTAAATCAACACTTTTGCGCTTTATCCATCAGACTGTTAAGTTCTCAGAGCCTACGTCTCTCTTCTTTTTCCAGTTCAACACCTCTGGTCACTCTTCAACAAACGCCATGCTTCGATCTCTCATATTTCAGTTACTTGCCAGGCGTCCCTGTTACCAACTTCAGGGAATGAGGGATACCTATGCCATAAGAACAGAGGTACACGGAGATTATGGTGCCGATTGGCAGTGGGGAGACCCTGAGCTGCTCTCATATCTGCGAGAATCGCTCCTGCAAGCTACCAAAGAAGATTTACATCTGGTGATCTTTCTGGATGCCTTGGATGAAGCGACTGAGGATATGCCTATCGACTCTATCATTCTCAACATCCTTACTATTCCCTCTATCCGAATTTGTGCTGCGTCACGTTCCGGCCCTAACCTCTCGAACGTTGAACCACGTACTATTATCTTGGACGATCTCAACACAGCGGATATTATATACTACACCAAATCCATGGTCTCATCAGTTGATTATAAGGGTGCTGATATACAGCGACGCATAATTCCCAGCTTGATTGAGGCTTCAGATGGCATGTTTTTATATGTCCATCTAGTCCTTTCGAATCTCGAGATATGGATCGATCAGCTGGAAGGCCAGGATCAAAGTCGGGCTGGCCATATTGACTTCCCTAAAGGCCTTGACGACTTGTATTGCTTAATTGTCTCCCGCATCGAATCCAGTCTAGAGAATCGAGATCTAGTTCGGCATATTTTCCAATGGGTCGCCTTTGCGACGAGACCCTTAATTGTCACGGAACTCACAGATGCAATGGCCTTGGGAAGCCTAGACGGGTACGACTTTTGCAGGCATAGCCGCAAAAATATCGGCGCACTATCTGGCCAACTTGCGGAAGATTGCGACTGCGCTCAGAAAATCACCTCCTTATGCAGAGGCTTGGTTTCAATCCAATATTCTGCAACTGATCCAGAGCAATCTGTCGTCAGCTTTATCCATCAAAGTGTGGTCGACTTCTTGGTTGAATACAAGCCGTGTGAGGCGCGTGATGTGAGCCATCAGCTGTGGGGTCGATCAACTCAAAACAACACTCTTATCAAAGTCAGTCCGGGCGGTATACCAGCTACCCAATTAGTCCTTCAAGAACCGGTTTTCAAAGGCCAAGGGCATAAGGCACTTGCGCGGTCTTGCTGTAGGGCTATCTTGTCAGCGACACGTTCTCGCCGTGAAGGCTTTACAGACTCGTATTCTTTTACGTTCTCATTCTTGTCTTACGCTGCGGAGAACTGGATGCTACATCTAAGGATAGCTCTGGAACTTGAACCGTCTTCCTCAGAGCTCCTGTTAGACCTGTCACAGAACGCTTTCTTTGAGAACTCACTCGCATTGTATGAAAGGATTATTTCCAGTCACAAGAAATGTCCACGTCTGACTCACATAAGCACAACCAACACCTTATGGGAAGCGAAACAGTCGGAGACCTCAAACCCACTTCTTTTGGCATCTGCCATAGGCCATGTCGAAACGTGTAAAAGATATATCTACGCAGGCAAGAACTACGACGATCGAGACCACCTCTACGGTATGACAGCGCTTGGATGGGCTGCAGTATACGGCCATTTAGAGGTTGTAAGGCTACTTCTTAACGCTGGGGCGGATGTTAACCTCGTTTCAAACGGTGAAACGCCCCTGCTTCTCGCGGTACGGTCTGGTCGCAATGGTGTTTTGGAACAACTTCTCAAGGAAAGGCCAGTTATTAACTCTCAAGCCACCATCACCACTCAGTCAGCGTTGTTTCGGGCAGCCTCCCTCGGCAGGACTTCCATGATCAATCTGCTCATCTCCCACGGAGCCGATGCTCTGACGGCTGATGGTTCAGGTTGGACCCCTCTTCACTATGCTATAGCAGCAGGCAAACGGGCCACACTGGCACAGCTCCTCTCTACCATACCGAGGACGTCATTCGAAAGGCTCAAAGACCTTCCGCCTCGCAACCTTCCAGGATGGGTACATCGCATCTTGTTGGCATTCGGGCTTGGGCTCTGTTGTCGTAGTTCGGGTTGTTCTTCATCGTCTGCGAAAAACAGTGGTTCGAAGAATTCCGAAAATGCCAGAAAACGTGGTCGCCAAGGTTCAAAGAAACGCGGTCGAGAGTCAACTGAGAATATGGACGAAAACGATGAGCAGAGCATGGCGCCTCCACCACAGAAACAATCGCGGCATGCTTTTGGATTAAGATTTGCATGCCCTTACAACAAGAGATGCCCAAACAGATTTGGAGGTGCCTGCTCTAATTTTGGGTTTCCAGATATGCATCGATTGAAGTGAGTACACATTGCTAAATACTGCATTATCCATGGCTTTTTCACTTACACCTTCACAGGGAACATCTATTTAGATGCCATTTCCTAGGCTGTGATAAGCGTACTCGCTGCGGAAGGTGCAAGTTAATCTTCCCAGAAAGCGAAATTCAGGATCACTTGATTTTGGAGGTGGCTTGTGAGCCCACAAGAGTTGCTGTCAACTATGAGGATGGTTTTGACACGAATCAAAGCGACGCGTTGAAGTCTCTCAAGCCTAAGCAGTTCAAGACACCAGTCCTTCAGTGGGAGAAGACCTTCAACACAGTGTTTCCCGACTGGACTGCCGACTTGCCTAGCCCTTGTAAGTAGTTCCGCCAGCACGTCTATTTTGATCTCCTTCGCTGACAAGATACAGACCACGAGACATCAGAAACCGAATGTCGCATCAGAGTTGCTCAGACTCTACGCAGTGAGGAGTTTAGGCAGGAAGTCTGGAGTACAAGCGATATGGGCAGGGAGGTTTTCGAGGGATTAGCTAACATTCTCGATCCCTTGCCAAGGGCATCAACGAGACCTGACAGCCAGCCATTGAGGATTCCCAACGAACTACCTATGCGTCCTGCACTGGCACGGGAGAACGGGCAAACAGCATTGAATGCATTCGTTGCCAATCTCTTGCCCACCGATCCACAAAGAGGGACTGTTGCCACAGAATCCCTTCCAGCGATACCTGCGCCTAATCCATCACCTCACCCTTTTCGCCCAATTCCCCCGCAAGCTCACTTTCCCCCTCAGTTTTCTGATACTCCGTCTCATTCTATTTTCAGTGGGGCTGGTTCAATCAGCAGCTTTTGTCCAGGCCAAGAATCAATGTACGGAGATGGCAATGATGCTTCTATTAGTTCTCTGGACTGGTCTTATCTCGACGTCCAGATGACACAGAGCTCCATGCATCCTGTGGAATTCAATTTCGATGCCCCCACTTCTATCAATGCTTCCCATTCTTCGAGACACGAGAATCAGCCGAAGCGCAACCCGGGCACATCCACTTCAGTCAACATCCAACCAGCAGAATACGGAGATGCCACTCCTACAATTTGGTTTCCTTCTAGGAGGGATAATTAAAGATGGATTGAACATTTAGTGTATATTCTTCTTTCTCTCCTTCAGCAGAAACTGTAATGGTCACTGGATACAGTGTCATATTAGATGTGTATTATAGTTTAGCACAAAACACAAATGACATTCTTTACTGTAGCGATACCTAACCCGCTGATTTCGGAATGTTCACGGTATCCTAAGATGCAGCAGGCCTGAGCCAGGCTGACAGCGAGAGGTCATGTGTTTCTTCTCTATTGGTGCAAGTGATTGGGGGGTTGAAAATAAGGCTTCGCCCGCCTGCAGGTTTTACTTCATGTGTAATTGGTGGTCCATATGCCACAGACCGAATGAGGCGCAGTTCATTTTATCAATGTCTTCACCGACAAAGCATATTTCATGCTCTCTTTCCAAAACTTTCACTCTTATTGCGCGCATTCAAACCAACCCCTTTATTTATTTATCCCTTGTTACTTTTTATTTGCAGACCCAGCGCACGAACCGCGAAATGGCTGAGCCAGTTGGCATAACAGGCACGGCTGTCGGAATCGTTTCCTTTGGCCTTCAGCTGTATACAGGGATTTCAGAATACCTCGATGCCGTCAAGGGGCGTGACGAGGACCTGCAGACTGCGAAGCAATATGCCAAGATACTGCGGGATAATCTCGGATCAATCGAAGAGACCATCGGCGCGATCGGTAGCGAATACGCAGTGGCTAGATATGCTATTGAACAGTGTAAATCTTCGTGTGAAACTCAGCTCAAGGACTTAGAGGTACTGCTGAAAGACTTGAAAGGTCCGATGGTGGATCCCACCAATCGCACGGAACAAGTAAAGAAATGTTTGCGGAAACTCAGCTATCCTTTCAAGAAGAAGGACATCACCAGGCTTCAGGATAGATTGAGCCTAACCAACAATGTTCTTCACACGGCCGCGTTGGCTTTACAGTTGTATGTGCTGTCCCTTAGTAACAGCTTTCAGAGAATCTTACTTCTCATCAGGGCCATTTCTAACAATACGTGCGCTACCATCGTCAATCTGCAAAAGATGGCCAACGTAATATACAAAACAACTGAAGATACCGCCAGTCACATCGCCAAACAGAATATAGCTCTAGAGCAGGCAAGCCAGACCATGTCAAAATCCCACCAGGAGTTTCAGCTTATCTCTCAACGCATATCGACGTCTCTGGATACAAGGATCGATGACCTCGTTACACATCTACGCAACTCGGAAAGTCCCCGCTCTCAAATCATTCATCTTCTCGAATATCCGGATGATCTACGACGACTCTGCGATGCTGTTTCTAACCTACACCAAAGCTCAAAGGCCAATGCTAGGACGCCAGCAATTCACTCGGGAGCGACGAGTAGTAGAACCCTTGCAGATTATAAGCCCTGTGCTTGCACAACGCGAAAAGATCTTCGACGCCATGGACGCCGTTTGGGATTTACGTTCTACGAGATAGAGGCCGAAAAGACTGCCTATCATGCACCAGAATGCCACTTGTCGGGAATAATTCCAACAGCCGAGGAAAGTAGGCGAACTGTTGGAATGTGTATACCTGATATGCTCAGATTTTTGAGTCGAACTATTCAATTCTCCTTTTCCCTCAGAACTGGTGCCGGTGGGCTCACCATATGCCAAAGTATAAACTATACTGCTACTGTGGATGAGACCTCTTCGTTATCTTTCAGGATCACCAACATGTAAATCCAGCTTATCAATGAAAAAGCACATGGATTATGCAATGAAGACTTTTCTCTCATTGCTGGGTCGTGTATTAGACGCCTCTCACTGTGTTATCGCAACAAACAAGCCTCCCCAAGAGATGTCAACGAACATGGAGAGTCTATACTCGATCTCCTTGCCTGGCAACTACATGTAGGTATTATCGACTGTCCCTGGCAGCTTGCAGACTGACACTGAAGCGCTACAGTCCTTAGGTGATCTCTCAATACCAGCAGACGTTGTTTCTTATGTCTTACGATCTTTTGCCACCGCTAAGATCCCTTTCACAAATAGCTCCCGAGCGAGGTATGGTTTTCCCCGCAATTACTGCAATCCCACTGTTTCACTTTTTAATATCAAGTGATAGAACTGCTGGAATACCCTTCTTTATACTAGTTGGAACCTCTAGCTGGTTATCTAAAGCTGGCGAAGATCATGAGACAATAGCGGCGCTGTTATCATGCTGTGATGTACCGACAGGACAGGATCACCGTGTCCAACATTTCTTATTTGGGCAGATGAAGCAATTGGAGGTTTTCCAGATCTTCCCAGAAATTGCAAATAGTAAGTAGCAAGATACGGCGTGATTCAGAGACATGAAAGTTAGTTGCTAAACGATAAATAGACCTAGGTTTCAACCCACTTCATATAGCGATCATCGAACAGGATGAGGATAGAGTTCAGTCTTTCCTGAACCGATATCCTTCTTATGTAAACGAGGTCAACTACTGTGGCCAGTCGCCAGTCCATGTTGCTATCCAGACTAAGAACCTTCACATTATAACAGCCGTTGTGCTGGCGGCTAATGCCGACATCCTTAACGCTGCAGATAACGGAGGGGAGTCCCCGATTCATATGGCGGTTTCCATGGCATGTCCCCTCCATCACTTTTTGAACCCAAATCGCCAGCAGCCCTGCGCTCAAGCCAGAATAGTAGATCGTCTTCTTAAGTCGAAGGCAATGCTTCTGAACAGCTTGATGGGTGAGCGGTTCAACGCTGCATGCCAGCCTACGCAAATGATTATTCTTGGTCATCTGGCACAAAGGAGAAGAGATCTCGAACTTCTAGCCGTTTCCGAACTTTCGGCTGTAGAACTACAAGGTCTTGGCTTATGTAATGGCCACACATTGGACCGCAACACTGCAACGGTACAGCATTATCTCGCAAATCATTGTCGTGTACCAGCTGAACTCCTGTTCTACCGAGAGGATGACGTGTCTACACATCTCGACCACTCTGAATCTATATATCAATATATATATAATCTAGATGTTGCTGAATACGCAATGTCATTGGGGTTTCATACTGGAACAATGCTCTCTGAGTTCTTTTCCGATCTGATACATGATATAGCTTTTAATGGTTGTTTTGGGGACTACGGGGTTACTTTTGGCTACAGAAGTTTTCCAATGCGTGTCAACTGGATGATTGATCATGGTGCAGATATCGCGACAGCTATCCCGACGGGCTCTACCTTTGGAGTTGTTCCCAAATCGACATGGGCACATTATCTCATGGCTTTATTTGGGTTTGGGGCAAGGTGGGGTCGCAATTTGAGCTGGGAATTGCCGCGGAATGTTGCAGAAATCGGGGCCTCAGAAGTTGTCGTCGACGGATGCTTATGTTGGTGTTCTAGGCAGGGTTGTATGCCATTGGTGAAGTTCTTAGCAGCACTGGACTTCCCCCGAGTGCCTGGGCGGAGTCCTGAGGATCTTGGAGCTTACGCTATGAGGGCATCAAAGGTCCTTGAGAAACTGCTACCGGGATACAGGCTTGGTGAGCTTCACTATGGCTGGATATACCATGCCATCCTACGGTACATCACGTTCTCGGCCCTGGATCTTCGTCATACATGTTGTGAGATGGCAAACAAAGGGTCTAATCCCATCATGGATGCGGAAGAAGTTCGCGAGATTCACGAGGCGGATGCAGTCCAACTGCAGATGCTGGAGGAGCTCGTCTCGGACTTTGAGATAGAACATGAAAGCGATTTTGACCTGGTTTCGTTCCTTCGAGGAACTTGGGTCCCAAAGATGCAACATGTTTGTGCAGAGCTCTACTCAAGCCAACTCACTTACCAAGAAACTACAAGCGCTGAAAGAATCGGAGTGGTATGGCAGGTCCGCGAGAGTGAGGTTACTTGCTACTCGGGGGTGGGTCACTATGGCGATCGTGAAGGCCGGAGACTGATCAATGGCTCAATACCTCAAATCGATCGAACCGAAGATGATAAGCCCACTACTCTGGCGGAGTGGATGAGACAATTAGATGATACAGCCATAGACCCTGAGCGGCCTGTCATTACTATGTAGTGATGGGCAGTGGTGATTAGATAAGATATGGACGATAAGATAAGATAGGATATAAAGCGGAAGTGGAAAACTCCGTCCTACCCCTGCACCAATGTGGCGCCACCCAAAAGCTTACCAACATCTCTAAATCTTCTGTCAGAGTCGACTTGACTAAATCTGTAGATCTCCAACATAATGGAACCTTCCTCATCCTCAACAACCCCCCGAACAATCCTACCCCGTCCAGGAGCAACGCCCACCGACCCATCAGCCCCCAGGTCCACCAGCGACCTTGGCATCCCGCGGAAATCAAAGGTCATCTCAGCCTGCCAACCATGCAAGCTGAAAAAGACAAAATGCGACGGCGACCGCCCGGAATGCGGGCCCTGCATGTCAAAAGGCCGGAGCTGCGAGTACACTGCCCAGGGCAACAGGAACGAGGTCCTCATGAGGCGGCAGTATGCTCTGCAGGAGAACGTCGAGTCGTTCGTGGCGCTGTATCGGTATCTTCAGGACCGGCCTGCGAGTGAAGCTAGTGGTCTGTTTGGCCGGATCCGCGATGGTTTTGGTGTCGAAGCGGCGCTGGAGTTTGTGAAGAGTGAGGACAGTGGTTCTGCATCAGCTTGTAGAGATCCACCGAGTGCCAGGGTGAGATGGAGCCAGCAGATCTACCAATGCAATCTTCTCTTCGAGAACGAGCTCTTGGCAGCGGAGATATCGGATGTCGCTATCCAAGCCCTGCGAGAGGGCGTCGACTGCTACTTCTTGTACATGGGCAACATGTTTCCTATCTACACAAGAAAGGAAGCCAATGCGATCCTCGATACTTTCCTAGAAGCCAAGCCAGATCAGGTTGGTAGCAGAAAAGTTGCATACGGTGAGTTGCTGGCTATTTGTGCATTGGGCTTTCAATATGATCGGCAAACTCTCCCCAATGGCAACGCATCGATATGCACGCCGTTCTACCAGAAAGCTCGGCTGTTTCTTGATTATGTGGTGGAGCAGGCTCCTCTGCGTGCGATGCGGATATGTTGTTGCTTAGGGATCTACAACGTTATCGCCAAGTCATCATTGGCAATATCTTACACAGGTAGGCCTACTCCTTCCTCCCCGAAAAGTGCTCGCAATGCTGAATGGTTTTTGAAGATTGGGGAATCTTGCTTGGTTCCTCGAGCGGCCTCTCTGTTGGCAACAAACCGCCAGGTCTCTCGGAACAAGAATACAACGGATATATCAAGACTTTCACGGCACTTATCACGATACGGAGTTGGGTTACAGCTACTCTCGGGAATATTCCCAGCCCCGAGATCTCTCGATGTATCCACGTAGGTCAATCGGAGGATATGTAACTACTGCTTTTGCTGATGACTTTACTAGGATACAAGAGAGCAGATCGACAATACCGGCGCTCTTGACTCCGCAGCCGAGGACCCCGTTCTCGGAGTCTTACAGCAGAAGATGGCCCAGATCACAGTCCTCAAAGCCAACGTTGTGCGGACAGTGGCATCCTTCAGAGTGTTATCCCCCATGATCCTGCGACAGATGCATGACGATCTTGAGTTATGGCGATCTAGCCTCCCGGCTTACATGCATCTCGAGTCATTGGTTCACACGCCAGCGATATCTCCTGACCAGCGCCGTGTGACGTTCTACATGCACCTGTTCTACATGTCAGCGCTGATTCTCAAAACTCGGGCTGTGCTTGCAACTCAGAGGGGGGATATAGCCACGTGTACCTGGGATCCAGAAGCCAAGGCTGCTATCTTCGATGGCATACACGGTGCTCGGAGCTCAGCGCGACTTCTTGGACTGATACTCGAAGAGAAAGCTGTGGTGAAGAACTGTTGGCTCACCATGTAAGATGCCAGTCTTTTCTACCTTATCTTGGTTTTCCTTACCATTTCCCCGCAACACTTGTATTAAGCTGATGAAACTATCAGGTATCAATGCTATGTCACTTTCTTGATGCTGAACTTTACGGCTATCAAGAGTTTCCTTGTCGGGGGTAGTGCAGCATTCAGGAAGCAAGATGTGACTCTTTCAAGGATTTGTATCGAGATTCTTGCGTTATGCGCTACAAAGGACAGGATAGCGCACAGCTTCCATACTCGACTGACGCGATATCAGGAGATTATAAAAGGCCACCTGCCAGAATCTTCAGATAACATAACCCAGGATTCGAGCCTGTACGAAGATGGACCGCTGGACGACGACTCTTACCTATTCATCGAATCCACCGGCGACCCCAGACTTCATCACTTGTTGCATGAGCTCCGGGAGTTACTATGCTATCCTCTGACCCTATTGAAGGGAGGTTCTGATGCGAATCTGCCTTATCCTACTATTGTCGAAGCATCCGTCAATGCGGATATCAACTTTGCGCATCACCTTGCCTCGCCGTTTAACATGGCTGAAGATGAGGTTCCGAGTGGATTATTTCCTCCTGAAGATAGTCTCAATGATTATGAGGCGGGGACAGAGGGTTATATAAGCGGCTCTGTGCCTTTTGGATGGGATGTCTCTGCGTGGAGACGAGATCCCGGAGTCGGAAGCCTGGATAATAATTGAGCAAAGGAAATTACGTTTTATTTTCTGTGTATTTCTATTTATCTTCCACTCTTACCATAGCTTCATCGTTTTGTGATGATGTTCTGTAAAGTATCTATGACAGTTTGAATCTCTTCGCCTGGCAACAGTTAGTAGTGCAGTATCTCATTTCAATGGGACTTACGGGTATTGTAATGCGCCATGCTCACTCGAACGACGCCATCAGTTGTATCAAGATCGAGAACTTGTTTTACCAAACGATGGGAGTAAAAGTGGCCATGTTTGAGGCCGAGATTCGAGTTTGCTTCGATAGCTGCTACGACACTTCGAGAGTTCCATCCATTAATGGTAAAGCTGACGATAGGCAGCCGCTTGCTCGGATCCGAATCAGGTTCTCCGTAGATGTTCGCGTCATCTCGTTCGGTCAGGTAGTCGAGGAGTAATTTTTGGATCTCCGTCTCTTGCGCGATACTATTATCCCAGCTTTCAGCGAGTAGATGTTCAACCACGACTGATATACTTGCTATCAGCTCATAGCTTCCAGCGGAGAATCCAGCCTTGTCGGATAGACTATCAGCGGGGTTGAAGTAGTGGCCCAACGGACGGAGCTGCTTCTGAGCTTCACGGCTACCGTAGAGCATTGCGATGTGAGGGCCAAACACTTTGTACCATGAAAGGCAGTAGAAGTCAACACCAAGATCGTTAACGTCAATGGGCCGGTGAGGTGCATAAGCCACGCCATCGACACATACAAAAACATCCGGATACTCGTGAGCCGCTGCAGCGATGGCCTTGACATCGTGGATTGATCCAAGCAGGTTGGTGCAATGAGTCAAGGCCAGGAATCTGGTCCTGTCGGATAAGAGCGGCTTTAGGCTCTCGACTGTGAGCTTGGGGTTGTTGCCTTGACCTTCTGGAGTCCACCATTTGATGTTTAGTCCTTGTCTCTCAGCTAGATCTAGCCATGGTGCGATGTTTGCCTCGTGGTCGAGGGTTGATACGATGATCTCATCTCCTTGAGCAAAAGTGAGACCCAGTGCGAGGTTGCGTAGCAATTGGGTTGAAGAAGCGCCGTAGACTAATTTTCTCGTAAGTTGAGTATCCTTTGATATTTTCGCGGATATTTCGAGTACCAATTTCATCGGGCAGTGCATTGATGTATCGTGCAGCCGCTTCGTAGCCCTTGTTCACTTTTGATGCTGATAGCTTGCCGACACCATACGACGCGCCCATCTGCACATTCGAGGTAATAAGGTAATCTCGTATCCTGGAACAACAGTCAGAACAAAAGAAGCCCAAATTAATAGCAAAACGCACGAGTCGGCTGCAGCCCCAAGAATCTGACTTCCACCCGCATTGTCGAGGAAGACCTGGTCTTGGTGAAGAGCCGGGAACTTTGCCCGAAGTGCCTTGATGTCAAGCTGTGATTGGGACATGTTCGAATTTTGAGACGCTACTCGTGTTCAAAGCACAATAAACTATTTGTCTAGCTGAGATGCACTGGAATGAACGAAAATGAGGTCAGGTTGAAGCTTGGGGAGATAAGGCGGAGCGGGGTAGACTATCTCGGCCCCCGGTAATTATGATGCAATTGTTCGGAGGGGATAATGCAGGCAAAAGAGGAAGGTGAGACAACAGCCGCAGCTAGTATTAGTAACTTGGAGATATTGAATACTGAAATAGGGCAAGGAAAGCCGCAAGTATGCATAGCTTTGAGCTACTCATTTTGGGTTGCGAAAAAATCCCGGAGATCAACGAGATTGTAAGGGATTTCAGTGCTGGATATGCATTTTGACAGGCCCTCATTTCGCAAGTAGAAAGGAGCTTAAGTTGGAGGTTATGCGTGAAGTGACAACCAGGGGAATGGGGCTTTCAGATGTATCCTCACTGAGATACCTAGCGTCTCAGTGATGGAGTCAACTTCAGCCAAACGACTGTGAGACATTAGTCGCACATTCAATCAGTGGAGGACAGAGCCTCGTATCACGGCGCGTTTTTGTGTGTGATGATTTGTGCTGAGTAGCAACCACTGTCGCTGTCGACAAGGTATCACTATCCCAGAGTAGATTCACAAGCCTTTTGGAGCTCATGATTCAAATCCCTCACCCCTCTGATTATGTATACAATTGAATGTAGTGTAGATATAAGACCGAGGATTAGACACGAGGATTGGGACCTCAGATCAACCACCTTGAGACAACCGAGACAACAAGAACGAGCCCAACAAATTATAATCTATTACGAAGCTCACAAGCGACTGTTCTCACCCCACACAATGTGTCATATTGAAAACAATATCATCAAATGCGACGTGTGCAAGAAGGAGCTTGACGTAGAAAGTCCGACGATATCTTGCCCTGATGTCAAGAATGGTCGTCCATGCAAAGGAAAGAAGAAGGATCCGGTCACAAATATCAAACATGTTGATTCAGAGACTTGTCCGAGATGCACACAACCGGAGGAAGAAGAGCCTGCAGCGTAGGGAGGACAGTGAGGAGGTTATCCGGAAGGTTGTGGTGGAACAGACGTAACGTCAAGGTCGAAAAGAACCCATCTGGAAGATGGTGTGACTCCTCTCTTACTGTTGCTCTACTATGAATTAGATGTAGACATTGTTTCCACTTGTGAGGTACATTGCCTCTTCCTTACTACACTAGAACAATGAGACATCTTTTCGAGCCCAACCCCAATCACTCCATTCGGGACATGGTCCAGCGCACATTCACGGAGCACATCAACATATAAATTGAAAATTCTGAACTGGAATAATCCTACAAATTAAAACTAGCATAAAGTACAAATCAACACCTTCATATAATAGCTAACGTACAGAAACTCCCTTCAAGATGTGTCAGTGGACTAAGACAATCACCAAGTGCAAGAAATGCGGCTATGAACTTGACGCAGAGCGATCTCAGGCAAGATGCGACGGCCTGGTCAAGAAGGGGAAATGCAGCGGAGAGAAGCCAGAAATCAAAGTCGAGAAGACAAGGGATACTGATGCATGCCCGGAGTGCACAAAGCCTAAGCCTTATGCTGCAACTGCGGCTTGAACCAAGATGGCGAGAAGCGGTCAGCGAAAGCTTGCTTTTTGTGGTAGCTTAGGTCAGATATCCAAGTGAGGCACAAGGAGTGTAGCTACATTATCATGCGTGGAAAAAAGCTGTATCAAGGACAATGTGATAAATCGCCAAGCGAGATGGGCGCCTAAGCAAACTTCAAACGACACGACTCAACTCCATGTATTCCCTTGTCACAGGCGTCCAGTTCTGCGTGATAAAGATAGGGAAGTCCACCTCTTCTAGACTCTGAATTTAGGTACTGTGAAAATGTCAGTGCAACATCATGTGATCCCTCTCTGACTGACAAACATCAACGATAATTCAGATGCACTACTCATTCGTCAATCAGCCTGAAGGAACTTAGAGATCCCGGGGCTGTGATCATTACCGCTTTTGCTACTGTGAATGCTGAGACACGATATCCTCTGTCACATGCCTGCCTTGTTCAGTTTCACGTACAAAGACTGATTCAGGCCCAAATGGAACGAATTCTCTTGGTCAAGGCAGGCATTCACAATGGACTCCGATCCGGTCACATCTGTACTTAAGGAAGACAACAGATCGAACAACACGGGCACCTCATTCTTAAAAACCATCATTCAAGAACCCTGATATTCACACAGTCAACAACATCACTGAGCAACCCTTTCAACACCAAAGCATGTGCAACGTCAAAATCACTGTCGAGAGATGCAGATTGTGCGAGATGACAATCAAGGAGAAACTCACTGTAACTGAACCCTGCGATAGCCTCTTACAAGAGGGAAGGTTTTGTCGCTGGTTGAGTTGCTGGCCCAAGAAATGTCGCTGGCGTAGCAGGAGGCATTGCAGTCGTTGTACTCCTCCGAGGTACAAGGGCGGTGATTGTGGTGATGGAGGATATTTGCTTTGCTTCTTGTGTGGCATGTGTGCTCAGTGTTGAAGCTTGTCTTCATCACAAAAGCTCATAAACATTTTTGCAGCAAATCACAAAACAATGTTCCGCTTCATGGGTCACTGTAATGAAGGATGAATAGTTCAACGTTATTCAATGGACATTCTTCTTCTTGTAGCACTGTTCCACAGGGCGACAAAGCCACGTGGAGGGTTGTACAAGTATATAAAGAGAACGAGAGACTTGATCTTTCTCTCCTACCATTTTCCATATCATCATTCCAAGCAACGCAATACTTACACTACCAATACTCCAACAATAAGCCCTTTCAGCGCAACAATGTGCCTCGTTCATATTACAATCAAAGAGTGCAGAGATTGCTATTTTGAGATCAACAAGACTCATGCTGTACCTATACCTTGCAAGGAAGTGACGGAGGGGAAAGCCTGTAAAGGTACAAGATACCGATCCCATAAGGAGAGGACACATGAGAGTCTCTGCCCTGTGTGCTTGAGGAAGAAGCTTGCTGCCAGGTAGAGGAAGACAGATCGGTGGACGCTGAACTTGGTAGGCAGGGTACTGCATGTTGGGTTCTAGCTAGTATATAAAAACCGTTTTAAACAATCTCGGCCTTCCTATTCAACGGTTTCCGTCTCGCTATATAACTAGCCTTTGATTAACTCCGCTAGAGACTATTTGCAACATTGTAGAACCGGAGCATATAACACTGTTCCAACTAGCATGACTTTGATTTCCCGATGGCTATATTTTCCTCTGTACCAAGTTCTCTGTGCTGATGTAAACTCTCAGTCGTAGGTTCCAACTGCAAATCACTGCTCTACTTACGACCTAGACTTGATGTCAAATTCCCTGAACAATTGCTACTCCGTTAAGCTGATCCATCAATGGTATGCCTGCCTTGTTCACCTTGACGCCGGTTGACTCATTCATTGCATTGCAATACTTAGTGATTTACCATGTCTGAACAGCATTCTCACACATTCACATGGCGCGGCGAACGATTTGAGTACATAATGAGACCCAGGGACAGCAATCTGGTCTCCTTTCATTCTCCCAGGACATACACTTCCAATCAAACCAACACTGACTCCACCACACACCACAAACTACACACTACAAACTACACACTACAAACTACACACTACAAATTACACCCTACAAATTACACCCTACAAACTACACACTACAAACTACACATTACATTCCACCGCAGAAATTTTCAAATCGCCAATATGTGCACAGTCAATCGCATAATCAAGAAGTGCGGGACATGCATGAATCAAATTGGGGAGGTCCACAAAGAGTCTATAAAATGCAATGACTTCAATGAAGGAAAAGGCTGCAATAAGACCGATTACCCCGAACCAGATTACAGGTGGCTTGTAAAGAAGCACTGCCCTATCTGCCGGAAGAAGGATAAGAAGTGAGAGGCGCAAAGTTGGCGAGTTGATTTAAAGGGCCGACTACTACGCGTTAGCATCAGCTACTAAATCAAATACCGTTATTAAACCGCATCTATAATATCTATGTGAAAGTGGTCTCCAATCAGCGCCATTAAAAGTCTTTTCAGTGCACCACATAACCAGTCTCGCCTCGCAAGTCTTCCCGTTGTGAATAGCCGATGTTAGAAGGCTTAGATGCTCACTGGTGTTGAATAAACAATACCTAAGCACAGGACAGTTGCAACATGTTCGAGAAGTGCAACTCATAAGTGTCCAGAATGACGCACCTCATATGTTCACCACCAGACTGATAATAGAACAACCAGGCTATTTAAATAGAGCGCAACTCCCCGAGCCTCCACTTTCCTCCACCGTTACTTCCCCAGTACCTCATTTTCAACCAAATCATCAACATCGAGCTCAATCTTCACCTTCAGGATGTGTAACGTTCCGGGCACCGTTGTGATCTGCAAAACATGCGGTGAGGAGATCACAAGAACAATACACACGCTTCAACCATGCCAGAGATATCTGGAAAGGGGACGGACCGCTTGTCTTGGGGTAAAACATCAATTGACAGCTGATATGTTTCATGAATGCAGTCTTTGCATCCAAGGGAAGAGGGAAGACAAGTGTATTGTCTGTGAACCTGATAGCTAATCTGTCTCGTAAGGGGGTGAGACATGGAATGGAATAGCTCAGCAGTGGTTAGATATTTACGTAAATATGAATACCGACTGAATAAGGCCTGATAGCAAGTCGTAACTGATGTGATTTCGATGTACTAAGAGCTGTGATGGGCTACGTCCAAAATACCTTCTTCAACTATTCACTGCCACACAAGGACTATATATTGCATCAACGGAATTTCGAAGGCTCTGCTCTTTTCTTCGCTTGCCTTAATAATGTCAGTAATAACACAGCCTGAACTAATCCGCATACCACAGCCAGGTATCTTTTACATCCTCACTCGACATGTGCACCACCAAACGAGACGTATACAAGTGTAGTAAATGCTTTTACGTTCTCAACACAACTTTCGCAGCTACAGTAATGTGTGAGGGCTACAAAAACAACGGTCAATGTACCGGGGTTCACTATCCTACTTCAGTGGAGTACAAGAACAGTGACCAGTGCCCGATTTGTATTGCCAACATGAACAAGGATAAGAAATAGGGTGAAGCAAGTAGCAAGATTTGGACATCTGCTGAGGTAGAAAGGGCCAAGCTATTACTTTACTTCCAGGGTAGAGAAACACCATACGTTAGATACGTAGTATACTTCTATCTATTTAACATTTAATTATACCTCAAGTTATCTGACCGCTGCAGTGAGCCTTGAGACCTTCTCCTCTATCTATGTTCTTGATTCTATCCAACCGTTATTTGAGTGACGGCCTAGACCTTTGCCATCAACTTCTTATTAATTCTCAGCCTTAGGATAACAGTCAGAACAGTGGCGATGGCTGACATGGAGCCAGCGTAGAACATGGCAGGTCGATATGCACCCAGCCCCTCATCTGCACCTCCATGAGCTTGGAGGAGGGAACCAGCGATAGGAGATCCCTGCAGATACCGTTAGTCTTCTCTAGAGAGGTAGATGAGTACTGAACTTACAAAGAGGTAGCCAGCAACCCAGCCAACAATCACCATGCCCATAGCTGTTGACACTCTAGCAGAACCAAAGACGTTACCGACAACGGTTGGCATGGAAGAAAAGAATCCACCGTTCATCAGCCCATTGAGCACTGCGAAGACAGCTAAAGGTGCGAGAGTGGTTGATGCAGGCCAGAGAGCAAGCATGGTAAGTGAGTTACCGAGGAAGAATGCCGCGAGGGTATTCAACGGCCCGAATTTATCGCAGAGATATCCACTCATGATTCGTCCTACGGCAGATGCAAAACTGAAGCCTGCGACAAGTCCTGCACCAGTACTTGTACTGAGACCCATAGATCGAGAGTAGAGGGGTAGGAAATAAGGTGGAACGAGAAGAGGGAAGATACCAATGCCAGCGGCGAAGAAGAGAATCGCAAAGTTGAGCTGTCGAAAGAGTCTCCAGTCAACGATTCCGGTCTTGGCCAAAGGTACCCTCTCTTTGATCAGAAGCGCAGCCGGGAGTCCCGAAACAGCGATGAGGATGCCAGTGATGCGAAAGGCCCATTCAACGCTATGCTTCTCAATAAGAGAGTTTGTCGCGATACTCATAATCGCACCTCCAAAGCCACCGCCTGCATAGACTACGCCGTTGGCCAGACCCCTCTTCTTCGAGAAGTACTGAGCTGGAACGAGGGAGAACGACATGAAGCAACCAGCCATCCCAAGACCAAGGGGAATACCGGGGAGAAAGATCAACCCAATAAGATGATCCGTAACGAAACTCGCGCCAATGAGCGAAAGCGCCATGAGGATGATTCCGACAGAGCTTAGTTTCCGTGTCCCAAAAGTCCGTAGCATTCTCGACACGATGACCCCAACAGTCGCCATCAAAGCAGGCGATAACGAACCGCAGAATGACAGAGCAAGTGGGGATCCGACGTTTCGCTCCACGAGGGCGTTTTGGTACACGCCCCAGACGTAGCTTAGTCCGATGACCCACCATGCTACGACGGCACAGGCACCGATCACGACCCAGCCGTAGCCGCCGTCGGGGACGGTGCTATCAGCGATGCGTGAAGCTTCGAGTGCTGGGTCATCTGAGTCATGATTGCTTGGGGAGGTGTTTTCAGCGAGGCCGGCTCTTGTTGGGCGGAGGGTTGAGGTGGTAGTGGGTTCGTAGGTTGTGCCGTTGCCGTAGGCTTCGAGTTGGACGGCTGTAGTTGTCGACATGATGTCGTCGCAGCCGGGTACTTCAATCAATAGCGAAGCTTTATCACCATAAGCTCTTTTGTGACCAAGTGATGTGTCAAGTGATGGAGGAGGAGAGGGAACTTGGTGGCTAGGAGGATATTTATCTTTAGTGTCAACTGAAGGGCGCGGGTTACATCATCAATCGCGCCCAAAACTGCCAAGACTGCCGACAGAGCTTGAACGCATCACGTTTGCCCGATCTGTCTAATATATGAATTCGATTTTTTCTCGTCATACATAATCATTATCAACGCAGTTACAGTAAGCGGACGCGACGATCAATTGCGTTATCTTCATGTGCTCGGTTGAAGCACGGTTTTCGTGCCTCTGATGCGGCGTCAAAATAAGGGCGTGGGGTCATTCACTGATTGGCTCAGCTATGCATCCGGCCCTATGGTTTCAAAACACTGTTCTCATACCTTGGAGCAAGCGGGACATGGAGGCTATTGAAGTCGCAATCATATATCCATAACTTGTACCTATCTTCCCGAATCTTTGCGGGGTACTGTATCGTTCGCGAGTAGTAACAAGATGCGTCTCATCTACCTGCCCCAGAGAGATAGCTTGGCCGTGAGGGTGCGGAGGACATGGGAGTTGTTGGTGAATCCCCGTTTCACTGTTGTAAGACCAGCTCATCGGTCTTTCCGTCCTTGCTCGGAGGCCGTGAAGCGCGCCACGTAGTATATGGTGGGTTGGTGGTACAGTTGACGCACTCCATCCTGTCGGCAGTCTGTTTGTTAGACGTTACCCGAGGCCGCCTGATTTAATGCCGTATGAGGCCTTCAAACTCATGAAAGTTGCTAATACGTCATGGTATGTTGTACGTGCGAGTGATGCACTGTATCTCACTGCTTATTGCGTAATGCAATGGAAAATCGGCAATCTAATCGCAATGTCTTGGATTGATGTATTACAAGTCACACATACGTCCCCCTCAGCTGCAGTATAAAACGATCTATTCCTCTGCCCAGCTTAGCTTCTTAAAACATACGACAAACTCAAAAGCATTACTAAAACCCCTTCTTAGAGATATCCAACATGGATACTATAGAAAAGACAGCCTCGGAGAAGTATCATCAGCGTGATGGTCTATCCGATAGCTCTCAAGCTCTGATTCCCTTGTCTCAGTTGTACAACCCACCATCTCCTCACAAAGTCGACCCAAGAGCAGACTGGGCCATCGAGCAGGTTCGGCAATGGCTCTACCCGCATCTTGAGCAAATGGGCGCTGGGAAGCTCATCAAGGGCATCGTCAACAAGGCGGCGTCCATGTGCGCCTATCTCTACCCAAACGCCGACGATGAAGGCATCTTTCTCGCCACAGACTTCGCGACTGTGCAATGCGTCAGCGACGACATCTTTGACAGTGCTGCTATTCTCAAGACGATCCAGGCGACTCCGTCGGGGCAACATCTGGCTAGGGATCTTCAGAAGTTGCGCGATACTCCACAGCGGGTGGCAGACGGGATCGTATCCGTTGCGGTATAATGGAGAATCCCAACGCATATGAAGAGTGCCGCGAAGTGGTTTCGGACTTGGAGACAGGCCCATTTCTCCTGGGAGCTATCCACGAGCTTCCGACGCGCATGCACATCCGCGGCCGACGCATCAACAAGGAGCGCTTTGAGGCATGGCTGGCCAAGACATGCGCTGCCATGAAGGACTTTGGCAAGTCTCATGCCCTGATCTACAGCGAAGCGAAAAACATGACCGTCGAAGAATACGCAGATCATAAACTCCGCAACTGCGGAATGATCTATACCGTTCTCTTCGTCGAGATGGCAATGGGTACTTTTCTCTCTGATGAGCACAATGCTATCTCACGAATCCGTCAGATCCAGCAGCATAGCGAAAAGATTGGCTCATTATTAAATGAGATATTCTCATATGAGAAAGAGACGTTTCTGGAGGATACAAATTATCTGCTTGCCGTGTTGGTACGTACGGAGAAGATTAGTCTATATGAGGCTGCGCGACGAGTCGGTGCGATGTCGCAGAGACATGCCCAGGAGGTCAAACGGATTCAGATTGAGATTGAAGCTGAGTGTGACGATGGTGGAGAGGACACTTGCCTTGGAACGTACGTGGCGGACATGGAGCTATTCGGCGCAGCGTGTTGGTACTGGTAACTTCAGGGCACGAGGCGATATTTCTCCAAGACGTCGCCATTTGCTGAGCTGCGACTAGAGGCAGAAGCTGAGAAGGCATAGTGAAAGTAGCACCTACTTACTCAAACAATACAATAAACTAGCCACTATCATTATACACACGGCCAAGAGACACCAAGGTCATTTCATTTCATTCTCGCGTCTCTTTGACATTGTTTGTCTTGGAACTTCTCGAAGCAGGGTTTTGTGGTTTAGTGAGTCGTCAAAATAAAGGCGCGGGTGCGTCATCTCACTTATCTCACCCTCCATTTAACTTGAGTGTCATCATATTCTGCATCAATTGGCCACCTGCTATGTATAAATAAGGCGCGATAGTTCATTTCAAATCTTATTCACTTTTCCCTTTTAATTTGCTCAACCCATCTCACATCCCCCTTTCACCTTGACGCTGCAACACTCAAACTCACCTACTCTCAGAATGACCTCATCACACGACCCTACAGCTTTGACTCAAAGCTTTCACTACAAAACCTCAACACACAGCTACGATGTGAAATGGGGTTCATTAGGTGATCCTAAATCTCCTCCTCTCATTCTTATCCATGGAACTCCGTGGTCGTCTCGCGTCTGGGTGCCTTTTGCCCTCTCACTGTCGCGTCAGTTTCACGTGTATCTCTTCGATAGACCTGGTTTCGGCGACACGCCAGCAGAGAAGAAATTAGATCCGACAAAGGCCAGCTCAAGCGCAATTGAGGAGTATGACAGCAACCTTGCGCGACAAGCAGAGGTGTTTGCTGCGCTCTTCAAGTCCTGGCAGGCAGATTGGGCTCACGAGAAGGCTCACATCGTCGCTCACGACAATGCCGGTCTTGTGAGCTTACGAGGCTATCTTCTCCATGACTTGCCATATGCAAGCCTCTGTCTCATTGACGTTGTCGCGATCGGCCCATTTGGCCAACCGCTCTTCAAAGTCATCGCTGAAAACCCCCAACTCTTCGAACAACTCCCCGACACGGCCTTTGAGGGCATACTAGAGAGCTATATCAGTGACGCAGCATACTACGAACTGCCAAAAGAGACAATGCAGATGCTCAAAGAGCCTTGGCTGCGAGAAGGTGGAAAGCGAGGCTTCATTCGTGAATTGTGCCAAGCCAACTCCAGATCGACGGAGGAAGTGGAGCCGAGATATGGAGAGGTCGGGCCGAAGCTGCTAATCAAGATCATCTGGGGAGCTGATGATAAGTGGCTCCCTGTCGAGGTTGCGCACAGATTGGGGAACGCGTTGAAGGCCAGCGAGATTATCGTTATCGATAAGGCTGGTCATCTGAGTATGATTGATCAGGGAGCGCGTGTTGGAGTTGAGCTGGGCTTGTGGCTTAGTACAGCTTTGAATAAATAGTAATACAGAAATTAAATAATAATAATTTAGATAGTGTTCTATATCTTTTTTTCACAGAGAATGCTCTCGTGGTCAAACTTGTGGTTTGCGTAAAACAATGCAAGTTCACAGTAAGTCAATAGTTAGGGTTATACTACGCACTTTTGAAATAAGAAGATAAGAACCAGATCGAAAATAGTCAGGTACCGAACAACAGAAACATCTTAGCATCACTCATACTTCATACCGCATCATAATGATAGAAGGAAATGTAAATGCAAAATATACAACATGATTTTATCATGGTATTATTTGTCCCCCGTCTGTTGTAACTTTGAATGTGCCTCCTCATCGCGATTTCTAGAACATTACCCTACACCAACTGACTCAGCGGCCTTGCCAGCATTAGGTCTAGCGCCAGCTATTTTTACTCCAAAGACACCAAGTCTCGGGCTCCCGGACACTCATCGAACGTACCCGAAGCCATGTGTCGCACTTCGATCCGTGCTACGTAAATCTCGCACTACGCCAACAAGGCTACGGCTCAATACAACAGTTGCGAAAGCTTCAAAGTGGTATTTATCGTGTTGCAATAAAAGAACGTTCTCGCGAGATCATGACCCCTTGCTCAGGTTCACAATTTTATCCGAAACAAACCTTCTTTACGAGCCGACAGGAGGATTCTTCGTGTGCCTGACTAAAATAATCAGAGCCCACTGTGATCGTCAGGGCAGAAAAAGTCAATGATGCGTCTCGATTCCATTAATGGTTGAACATTCTCAGCTATGCCGATAACACGGCTCAACTCATCCGATCTTGAGGAAATCAGCTGAAGTGTTCCCCATAGAGAGTGACGACTTACCCACCGGGTAATTACGCGTCAGAGAACCCGTTCTCCACTGGCAAGGATTGCGTTACGCAACGGTACCCAGTATTACCGGGTCAATCTTCATCTCCCCCCCCTTTCGATTGCCTTATCAGTAACAGAAACTGGGTTCTGAACCAACACTCATGGGCTCACTAGCTGAAAAAAAAAAGTTTGCCAGGCGCAGCAAGATAACGCAGTCGCTTTTTATATACCCACCACAGCCTACCATACCATTCTCTCCCACTTACCTAAAGTTTGCTTGCGCATCTTTTGTTTTCCATTTTCGCTTTTTTGAACTCGTGGTAGGCCAACGTCGCATTCTTTAAAAGTCACTCGTTCTTTTTTGTTGTGACCTGCTACGACTTTCCCTCGTTTTTTCATTAATTAATATTAATCCAAATTTTTCTTACTTTCTTCACGATGTATTGGTCCAAGATCGCCCTTGCGGGTCTTGTTGCTTCAGCTGCTGCTCAGACCTACAGCGAGTGCAACCCTATGAAGAAGAGTACGTGAACAGTATCCGCTTTGTTTTTCTTAACAGACACTGATTATAGCCTAGCATGCTCTGCTGATAAAGGTCTTGCTTCTTCATCATACTCGGTCGATTTCACGAAGGGCGCTGATGATGACAATTGGGAAGGAACTGGCCATGGCACTGTCAAGTATACTTCTGATGGTGCTGAGTTCACTGTTTCTAAGCAGGGTGACTCGCCTACCATTCAGAGCAAGTGGTACATGTTCTTCGGTCGCATGGAGGTTCACTTGAAGGCCGCGCCCGGAACCGGTATCGTCTCATCTGTCGTGCTTCTTTCCGATGTTCTCGACGAGGTTGATTGGGAGTGGCTTGGAGGTAAAGACGGCGACGTTCAGACCAATTACTACGGCAAAGGAAACTCCGAATCCGATACTCGAAGCGCTACTTATGCAGTCACCCAAGCCCAGGAGGAGTTCCACAACTACACCATCCACTGGACCAAGGACTCATGCGAGTGGTACATCAACGGCGTCGCTGTCCGCACACTCAATTATGCCGATGCTCTTGGAGGAGAGAACTATCCTCAGACTCCCATGCGTGTCAAGCTTGGTATCTGGGCCGGTGGCGATCCTGACAACGCTGAGGGAACTATCGAGTGGGCTGGCGGAGAGACTGATTACACTAAAGGTCCTTACACCATGACAGTTCAGAAGATTGCGATTGAGAACCTTAACCCTGCGGATAGCTACACCTACAGCGATGAGACAGGTTCATACAAGAGCATCAAGTTTGATGAGAAGGACAGTGGCAGCGACGACGACGATGACTCCTCATCAACTGCTTCCGAAACCGCCTCAAAGACATCTTCCAAGGGTACTACTTCCAAGACATCTTCCGAATCTACATTCACCACCAAGGCAACCACCGAGACTGACTCCGAATCCTCAACAACAGCTTCATCCGACGCTTCTAGCGAGACTGAGAGCGCCGACTTCAAGAACAACAACGCAGAGACAACTAGCGCTGGTGCAAACTCGTCCGCGAGCAGTGCTGCAGCTACGCCCTCGACTACTGATGGTTCAACAAACAGCGCTGCTGGAAACTGGCCTAAGATGTGGTTTGCGCTTGGATCGACTTTCGCTGCTATGGTCATGATGTAAACCTGGGATCTTATCGTATATAGAGTGGCGAAGTTGTTGATTAGGCTTGGATAAGTCTTGTCGTAATACATACTTTGACTCTGTATTGCTCTTGTGATGGATGATAGTGACGCGTTTGTAGAACTAAAATGGCCCGTTACATTCAGCCTTGATGATAGCATGTCTATTTCGTACCAGATGACGACCAATGAGCTTGGCGCCTGGCTATCGACGAACGCGCGGCCACTTACTGAGCAGATAAGTTGATCATAGCCGTCGTGAATGTAACAGGGAATGGAATGATTGATGATCTCCTAAATTTGGAATGTAACTGTAACCCTACTCCACAGCTAGTAAGTCAAGCATCCACTGCTTCATGTCCTGAGTACACTCTCCATCTTCGTTCTCGATTACTATAAAGTCATGCGCACAGTTCTCGTAGTACTGAAATCGCAAGTTCAAATCAGGATTCAAAAGCTGGACCCTTTCCTTGAAAGTAAGCACCTGGTCTCGAAAGATCTCGTGTGCTCCGGCAGTGATATAGATCTGGCTCAAGACAGATGTAATTCCGGCCAAACTAGACTCTTCTCTGTCAAGTGGAAATGCTGATAGGGTGGGTTTGGCATCAGGACCCAGCAGTTCTTTGGTAAACGACACAATGCCTGTTGTTGGAAGCATATCAATCCATGCATTCTCTCTGTATGAAGCATCGTCGGTCGACTGGGCTACCCATGGAGAAACCAGAAAGGCACCAGCGAGAGGTTTGACTAATGTGATTTCCGGGATTGTTGGTTGGGATTGGATGAGGTGACAGAGCAATTGGGCTGTCAGTTGTCCTCCAGCAGAATCCCCTCCAATTATAATGTCCTGAGGTGAAATGCCCTTGTTTAGAAGATAAGCCAGTCCGCTGGCTGCTTGTTGAAGTTGTACTGGGTATCTCGCCTCGGGAATCAGGGTGTACTCAAGAACAGCCACTGCGACCTCAACGTCCTTTTCGATTCCTGCAAGGACGAACGATCGCCAGCACCAATCCAAATGTCCCGTCGTTATCGGTGCCGCATAGCCACCACCGTGGAAGAACAGAACGACCTTCTTTGCCTGCTTTCGATCGCCTATCCAAAGCAGCGACGACTTCCCATCTTCCAGGACCTCTCGGTCATATACAAGTCTCGTGACATGTTGCTGGTGTCCGAGCTTCTCCGCTTCCTTACTTTGCTGTTGTATCCATTTTTTGTATGCGTCTCGGGTTGGTAGAGACAAGTACTGAATCTGTCGAGGGGAGAATCCGAGAGCTACTTTTAAAACGGCGCAAACGATGAATAAGCGTGATGGGAGACTTCTGCGCTTTGTAATAAGGATAGATCGTAATATGTAAGTGAGAGTGAGGGGAGCTAAGGAACAGATAAATCAGTTACTTGTACTGTGACTAGGCCACTGTTATTACTGTACCGGCGTATGATAGGCGTAGAGCTAGCTTGAGCTTTTCCCACTTTGAGAATGGAGGAATCATGGCTTATGCAATATGATATTATACGGATTGACTGAGGTGTTGTTGAGTACTTTGGCCATAGGTTCTAGGTGTCGATTGAATGAACTTGAGGAACAGGGTCCAGTATTTGTGTCACTCCGGTAGCCCATGCCGAGGAATTCCCCACGGGGTATTGGTGCTCCAGAATCCAGACCTCGGCATGGCATAGGCCGGTTTGATCATACTAAGACACTTGGCGTGATAGAACCAAAAGTTCATGACCCCTCCACGAATAACAAGCCTAGGTACGGAATCAAGCCGTCGGTGCTAACGGAAGCTCTCCGCATTTTGGCAAGGCAGGCTCTAATCATTGGCTCGCAGCTTCACCCGGCACATCTATCGATGCTTTGGGACTAGCTTGCGAAGATCTGCGGAGGCGAGTGCGTCTGTCAGGATCTGCATCGTGAGAAAACATCAAGATTCTGAATGGCCTCGATCTGATGGAAAATATTGATGCGACTTCTAACAGACACGAATCGGCCAGGAAAACATCAATTATCAAGATTCAACATGGAATTCGTTCACACTCTCTTGGGAAACTGTTTTACTCTCAAGAACGCGGCCACGGGTCCGTTCCGACCTTTGCAGATTCTCGTCGGAACAGTTCCAACAATGAGCTAACGACGTAGGCTAGTGTCCAATAAATACGAATAATGAGGGGTAAACCTGGGGTTAGCTTCTACCCCATAGTGGCATGTGATGGTCCCGAGAAACTTAAAGATGTCTGCCGCCTTGTCCTGGGATCTGTAAGTGCTAGATCCTCGCATTTCACTCTTCCCAGAGCCACGGCAGCACCAAGACCATCACAATGACTGAACGTACGGCAGTTGGCCTTCCTACAGGTCCCAGCTCAGGGCCTCTTACAGATGCGCAATGGAAGGTTATGATGGCTATTATGGACACCATCATTGCTCCTTGTCCTGAGAGCGCGATACCTGTGGGTCAGAAGAGTGCTCTCCTCAACAACTGTGATGATTCTACACTCAGGGCTTTTCTTGACGAAAAGCCTTCTAATATGCCACTGTTCCAGGAGATTTTGAAGCGTCTGCTGGCGAATCTTCATGCTGATAAACTGTCTGCGCTTGCTACAGTATGCTCACTTCTCGGGTAAGCCTTTTCTTCTTCGAACTTGCCTTTAATATGGGGTTGCTGATATCGTGAAATGATAGAAATCGAGCTGCTATCCTCCCTCTGACTGGTTACTTCACATTATTCTGTGATCTGTCTCCCCAAGACAGAACATTAGTACTTAACTCTTGGCAAACGAGCTCTCTAGCTACCTTTCGCGTCCTCTTCAAACAGCTCTCAATCATCGGGAAGCATGTTTATCTCCGATCAAGTACGCTTTTCAATGAAGTCGTTGGCTTCCCATCCACTCCTGTTGGATGGCATCCAGTCGAATCATACCCCTTTGAGTTCATGCAGTTCAACGACTCCGAAACCCATGTTCAACTAGAAACCGATGTTGTAATTGTGGGCTCTGGCTGTGGTGCAGGAGTTGTCGCAAGGACTATGGCCATAGCAGGCCATCGCGTCTTGGTAGTCGACAAAGGACAGCATTTTGAAACCACGTCGATGCCCCTCGATCAAAGCGCAGGATATTTCCACCTTTTTGAGGGAGGAGGTCTAGTATCCTCTGAGGACGGGTCTATCTCTACACTTGCAGGCTCATGCTTTGGTGGAGGTGGAACAGTCAACTGGAGCGCGTGTTTACAGCCCCAGAACACAGTCCGCGATGAATGGGCGGACCAGAGGGGTCTCAGCTTCTTCAAATCGGCCAAATTCCAAGAACATCTTGATTCAGTTTGCAGGCGTATGGGCGTCAGCAACGAGCCTATCAATCATAACTACGGGAATAATGTTTTGCTGGAGGGTGGACGCAGACTCGGATACAGCGCTAAACAGGTGCCTCAGAACACGGGCCATGGCGAGCATTTGGATGGATATTGTTCTATGGGTTGCTGGAAGGGCCAGAAGAATGGGCCTGTTAATGGCTGGCTGCCTGATGCTGCTAGATGCGGAGCCAAGTTCATAACAGGCTTTTACGTCAATAAGGTCCTTTTTAAGAAGCGTGGTGGTAAGAATGTCGCCTATGGTGTGACTGGAACTTGGAGACCAAAAGACGGCCCCGATGCCGCGGCCAGAACGGTAACGATCAGAGCGAAGAGGGTTGTGATTTCAGCTGGTAGTCTGTGCAGTCCTATCATCTTGAAAAACAGCGGACTCAAGGTAAGCAACCAAGACTATTTTTTGAATGCAAAGGTGCAATTTACTGATATGTCTATATAGAATAAGCATATCGGACGCAACCTCCATCTACACCCAACATCGTTCGTGTCAGCAATCTTTGAACAGGAGACACGGCCATGGGAAGGTACGTCGATGCTTTCTAGACTTTCATATTATAGCAGGCCCCATACTAATATATGACAGGCGGAATTCTCACGTCTGTAGTTTCGAGCTTCGATAACGTCGACGGAAATGGCCATGGCGTGAGGCTTGAGCGTCCTGCAATGCTGGTAAGTCTCTCCAATAACTGACGTATGAAACACAATTGACCTCGCGACAGCCTTCTATGTGTCTAACATGGTGCAATTGGACCTCAGGAGCTGACTACAAAGCCACAATATCGAAATACAGGAACATGGAAGCATACATCGCTATTACTCGAGATCGCGACAGCGGCCATGTCACTGCGGACCCCATAAATGGCACGCCTCGATTGGTCTACACACCCTCCAAGTTCGATGCCAGCAACAACATGAAGGGTATGCTAGGCTTGGCCAAGATTCTCTATGTACAAGGTGCCATAGAGATTCATCCTATACTTCCCGGTCTTGAGCCATTTATCCGTGAGCCAGACAGTTTGACAAACGGTGTCGATAACTCTTCAGGAGTCACAGATGCTAAGTTTTCGCAATGGCTGAAGAAAATGGAAGCTCATGGGAACAAGACACCAGATACACCGTATGGATCTGCTCATCAGATGGGCACGTGTCGAATGAGCACCAAGGAATCTGACGGCGTCGTGGATGAGTTTGGAAGGGTCTGGGGCTGTGAGAACCTGATCGTCGCGGATGCAAGTGTCTTTCCTAGTGCGAGTGGTGTTAACCCTATGGTCACTACCATGGCGATCTCTGAACACATTGCCTTGGCCATGGCTGAGGAGCTGGCTCGGGATACACAAGAGCGTCCAAGATTGTAATATGTGTTTCCCCAGAAACTTACTGTGTAATAATACATAGCGTTAGTTCCCTTCGTGCATTCTGTACTTCGGGTATTGTTTTCCGTTGTCGTCATTCTTTCCTGCTCTGGCATAGACCTCACTTAAGGAGCTGAATCACCCGTCATCGTACATGAGATCTTCAATCTAATAGGCGCATAGCAGGCGCAGACAAGGCAGACTAAGGGGGAAACTGAAACACGGACCCCAAATTGGTGAACCCCCAACGAACTTGGATGTAAGACAAGCCCGTCGAGGGCCGTATATTTAGCAGATTACAGCTATCCCGTCTTACTGCCGATCTCTGGGAGGGGGGATCTGCAAATAGATCTACAAAGCTGATATCTAGGGCTTGGCACCCGCCAATCCCTCCTTGGCAGTATGAACCGCACTACCCACCTTGTACATAGATTAGGATAGTAACTATCTACTCTAGTATAATTGTAATTTATAAAAAAACTGCTAACTTGGCTAACAAAATAAGCCTCGGCTCTATTTAATCAGTACTGGCCAAGGAGGAATATAAAAGACAAGGTCTAGTTTAGTTGGTTAATAATAAGTTATATAGTGAACCTATTCAGAGAGGTAATAGAAGAAGTCTTGAATACGTCCTATGTGCTTGGCTTGCGTAATGTGATCTAAGTATAGGCCTTTTCAGCTTTGTGTTATGATAGGGGCTACTGTCTTGGTATTTGTGGCATAGAGAAGAATTGGGGGCCTTGATCTCTGTAGCCTGTATACTGTGCAGATGGCCAAGCCGTGCCTGTAAAGCTATAGATATAAAAGACTCTCTATCACCCATCTCAAGTCTAGAAACTACACTTAACTTTAGAACACTATCTTCCAGTCTATCTTCAAGTCAACATTGATTTTTCATCTACCCTCCACAGCATGCACGTCTCAAAGCTCTTCATCGTCGGTGCCATCGTGACGGCCGCTGAAGCCTTTACATGTGCCAGAGAGCTTTTCGGACAATGCTACTTTGTCGATGGCAACCCAGTTGGCCAGCAACAGCGTTGTGCTATCAAGTGCGAAGACAAGTTTGGCCACGTCAACTGTGTCTGCCCGGACTACTACCCCAAGAACGACGAAGGATGGCCTTATTCTGGCAAGCATGAGTGCATTCCTGTTGGTAAATATAATGGCCGACATAAGTGCTATTAAGTAGCTCTCTATGTATCCCCCATCGGAAGTGAGTAAGAACTATCTTCAGGCATGGCGTTTAATGTATAAATTTGTTCTTATGCTAACTCAACAGACCTTTGTATTGTTGTAGTCATAGGGAATAGTTGGGTCGGGCCGTGATAGAGAAATCGAAGAGCTAGTAGCTAGGATGCTACTGGTCCAGAAGCGGATAGTTAACCTTATAACTACATTCAGGACAGAATTTCAGACATTTCTACCTTGAGTCACCCCCACGGGATCCTGGCACAGCGATCTCTGTCTTATCCCTCCTCTCTTCTCGTATATGTGATGTAGTTACGTTACGCCCCATTTAAAATGTGACTGTTGGTTGCACAGGTACATGCGAGCTAACAATACGGCACCCAGCTGCATATTCTCAGCCATGCTGGCAACGCGATTATAGGTAGACTGCAACGCTGTGACGGCCCAACTGAACTCTGCAGCTATGCCTAAATCGATCTGTCAAGCTGTCACACAGCGCGGGGTAGTGAGGCTGTGGGCCAGTTGTTATTGGTGCCTGTTAAGCGTGACAGCATCCAATACAATGCTGGAAAGTAAAATGGGGAGCCGCAGTTCCAGCCCTCGGGCGGCTGGCACATGCAGGGGTACCCTCAGGGGGTAAGAAAATACTGAACCTTGACATAGGGTGTTAAATAAACTTAGTAAAGAGTCCCCTAAATTTAGGCTAAGTTTACCTAAGTATTTTCATCCCTTAGGACCAAGGTCCTGGTTTTCTCTCCTCCCCTAGGATACATGTCAAAAGGTCCTGACGTTGCTGCTGTTGGTTGAAAGAGCACGGCCCTCGAACCCACCAGCCTGCCAGGTCAAAGCACCACGTTCCACAGAGTTCGATCCACTGTCCTTTACAAACAGATCGATTTCTCAAATTCACCGCATCATTTCTTTCCCAACCTGGTCTCCTTTACAACGCCGTTTCATTACACTCACCAATTAACCTGAGACCTCCCTACACAATGAAAGATCTCCGCGAAGCTCTACTAGCTCCTTCTCCGAAAGGTATTTCCGAAAACACCCTGTCGGAAACCGTAGCTCGAGATGAGGAGAGTGTGCGCCAAAGCATTGCCCGAGGGGAGGATCTTGAAGAACTTCGAGGAGCGGCATTCCACAATCGAACATGGATCATCAGCGACCGCTTTTGCAATGTTGGAGATGGTGTCGACTCTCTTGAGGGCTATCTTCATGATCTTTGGCACATGTACTACCAAGTCGCCCGCCATTCATCCCATGAAACGCCTGAGCATGACCGAGTTGTTCTAGACATACTCAAGATCCAGGGACGCGGAGTTTTAATCAGGCCCGCGCCGGGTGTTTTTGGGGTCGACATTGCACGAACAGTTGAAGGCACGCTGTGGAATGATCTACCCTTCTTGGTCACTGATATGACCAAATTCTGGATCGACAACGCTGCAAAGCTTTCCAGCGCCCATCGCGTCAACTTTGCATTTTTCCTAGCCAAGCTGGCAGCAACACGCGTCAGTAAGGATAGGATGTGCCAGGTTGCCCTCGTTCTCTTCCGGTCTGCACTTGAGGAGCCTCGAGAGCTTAACACGGGTCAAGGATCTGACCAAGAGGACAGAAGCAGAGACATGAGTGAGCTCGACCTTGTCCACCTGCTGCCGTCTGTCTCGGTTTGGATCAAGGAGGCGGGCTACAATCTGATCCAACTGTCAGATGTGTCGTGGAACGATTGTCCCAGCGCTATCGGCGAGGGTGGCACCATGTTCGCCGAGTCAGAGCTTGGGAAACGATGCCCATATGGATTCACACCTTGGCGCTGGATGTACTGGCTCAAACGTTTGTACGAGATCAGGGATGAGGCAAAGGAGGCCAAAGAGGAACGCCTAGAGGAGTATGCTGCTGATGCCATTGAATCAATGCTTGGGGCGGTGGTAGAGCGTAACTCTGAAATTCTGAGAGCTTATAAGAGTGCTGGGAAGGACGTGCTTGAGGATAAATATCTGTCTTGCTTAAAGGATCCAGCTCAGAGCTTGGAAGAGCTGGCTATGAGCCGGATGGATGAGACTGAAGATACCGAATAGTAGTTTCTAGACTTTAGCTTTTGAGAGCAGACACTCTTTTGATCATATATGCCTTCTACGAAAAGTATTTTACAAAGGGTCTTGAGGATGACCACGAGTTCAACACTGTAGTAGAAGGTCTAGCTTACACATAAGAAGAGTACCGAATAGTCCTTTTTCATATGCACGAAAAGCGCCCGTCAGCATGTTCTCAGCTGCCGATCGTTTATATACATCCAAGACTTATACCTTGAGAGTCTCAAGTCAAAGTACCTGCTCCGTGTTTGATGTAGGAGTTAGCATTTTGGGACCACGGCATGTGAGCAGTAGCGGAAGCTGTGCTACATCTATCATTTGTTTCAGCTTGGCAGAAGAATTCCAGGCCGGAGTGAGACCACGATGCTGCCCAGCAAAAGCTTCGCCACTCTCACTTCAACGTATGGGGCCCTCTTCCTTTCCCAGATACAGTAAACGCCGAACCGGGCCACGCGTTACGTTATGTAGATCACGGCCCGCATCTGTCCGGCTGAGGGATCAATCGAATGATACGGCGAAACACAGCACAGAGTTTTCCTCACGAAAATACATATCCGTACAGGTGGATTAATCTGGGCTGACGTGGGTCTAACAGCATCCGTCTAGCGTTGTTCTCCTTGTCAGAGTGCCCACGATTGTTTCCGTAGATACGCATAAACCAATCGGACTCTCTGCCGTATAGAACGCTATGACACGTTCCTAGACATCCCTGTTGAGGCCTGCCGCCCGCGAAGGCCCGACCCCATAACAGTTCAGAGCGGAGCTGATGGGTTTCTGTTTCGAGTCAACTTACCATTAATGCCTTTCAGAGATGGTATGTATGTGTATCTCCATGATACATTTCTCCACCAAGGAATGGATTTCATCAGCGGTCAAATGACTCAAAGTGGTTGGGGCGTATGCTTGAGGAGTATCTTGAGGGTTGCATAGGCAGTCTTGGCATCCTTTCGGCAAATATATTCAAGTGGCCGCGACTGCCGAAGAGCTTGGCGCCCAGCGGGTCAGGTTGTATGTCCAAGTTTGGTGCGGTCTTGAATTACCTGTCTTTAAACTAGGCAGTCATTTAGGCTGTTGGGATACCCACAATCTGGCTCTAATACTTTCAAGTGAACTAGGAAACATTTCAGGCTTTAGTGCCAAGCCATTTGCGGCATGGGGATGATATGCTTGCCATCTGTCAATCAGATTAAGTGAACGTGACTATTCAGGAACTATTTACTATTGTGTATTAGCCCGTGATTTCCTTCAATATGTTGGCTCGATATTATATTACACCAATGGACGCTATAATTCAGCGATATCCGTTTGACTCGCATCTGAATCAGGTGAGCTGCCAGTTGTTCCCTGGACCACTTATGTCCAGATAAGTTGAGTTGTTTGTTGGTTCTAGCAGTTCGTGCATTGCATATACGAAGTAACACATGTAACTTCCATCACATTCAATGAGATGATGTAACAAGACAAGATCAGCATTTATAAAATTTCATTGCCAGACAAGAAGTACATAAGAGTGTGTTCGAGCTGCTATCGTCCTAGGAGAATCAAGCACTCACAGCACTTCTACCTGGATACTCAGATACAAACTTCCTAGCCCTCCCCAGATTGCCGTCACCCACTACGATATGCAGTTCTCCACCATCACTCTTTTGCTTGTTGCCGCCATGGGCGTAGCAGCCACTCCCATTGACTCTCCAGCCGTGGCCCTTGATGCGAGAGGAAACTTGGAGAAACGCCTCGATTATAAAGGAGTGGGTCAACAACACTACACCCCTTGATACCGGGGAAGAATTCTCTACTAATCACACTCAATCTCTTTTTAGACATGCACCAAGTCCAGCAATACGTGTAGATACAAGGGCCCGAACGGCAGGACCACGTTCAAGAAGTGCGGCACCTTCGCCAACCAGAAGGTACAGTTTCGCTTATTCCCAGCTATGCTAAACTGACATTTTACCTTTTAGTGCACTAAGGATGGAGCTCCCTGCGTATGGGAGAGTGACAAAGGCGTTGGTGGTAAGGTCACCTGTAAATAGACGGTTTGAGAACCTGGCTGGGTTTTATATGTCTTTAAACTTGACTGTGATGGGGACAAGCAAGATTGTATAAAGCTTGAGGCCAACCTGGTTACACATAGGAATCTAGGTTTGTGCAATAATGTCCATCCCCGATATAATTATACCGAAAGAAGTGATGTGTCTTATCAGTTACGTAGTGTTGGTGTAGGACGAGAAGGGAACATCTGTGACTCCTGAGCTATCCTCCCTAGTTTGCTGCCTCCCAATACGGAAAGACTATCGCATCAGGATCAAGGGGGAAACATGTTGTCAAAGCGTTCTGTAGAGACAAATCACCTTCTAAGAGTGTATCTAGTAGCCCATGCCTCTGGTGTTCCTGAGAGTATGCAGTCGATTCGTCTTCCACTTGAAACAATTAGCAAGGATGTGCTTATAGACTGGTATACTAAGGACTAACCTTGTTGCCTCCCTGTGATGGTTTGGTGCATTTTGGTAAGTAGATCGAAGGACTTGCGAATGGACAGGCTGAACGAAGAGATGACCTCTAGGACTGAGTGGCATTTATTTGATGCCTCAATCACGTTAGATTGATCCAGGGTGGCCCATAGGGAGGGACAGAGACGGCACGTCATAAGCACCAGGCTGGCGGTGCAAGCATCTGCAAACCAGTATTAACCTATGCCTGTGTATCTGATAGAAATACTTACATAAGCTGTTCCACCACCATGCCTCGGCAGTCTCTGTGCGAAAGGTCTCGTGAACTAAGTTGATGAGCTGTATTGAAGAGCGTACGCATGCTCTAGCGCCGTCGTGCTTGAAGGATGAGTGCAAGTCATCACTGGCATCTTGTGAGGTGTTTAGAGCCAAGAGCTGACTTAAGATTGGGCGGTACAGCATGACTTGTAGATAAGTAAACCTGATGTCGTTTTATAAGCAATCGAGGGATGTCAGTATTGTTTATATCGGATATCTTACCGTGACTGTAGCACATTTCTCTGAATCGCGATAATTGTAGCTTCCTGTGGGAGGATTGTCTCTGTAGCTATAGGTTCATGCCAGGACAGAAACTTTGGAAGTCCAAGCTCGAAAACCCGAAGCTTCCCTTGTAGCTCGGCAAAGACGTCCATGCTTTGACTACTGATATCTGTGTGAAAGACAGCACTCTGATCGTCGTGAGGCAGTTTACATTGCCACGGTCTGTACACCTTTGACAGCATGCTATCTAGGATCATACTTAGACGAACACTCTCAATCTGGAACTGTAGTTTGACACCTTCGTAATTCTCGGTGTTCTGAAGATTGGAAACAGTCCTTTCTGGTAGGGAAAGTGTTGAGATATTGGTGATCATCGTGGGCCGACCGAACGTCATGCTCACCAGCCTATAACTATTAGCGACCCTAGAAGAAAATTCTTGATATATCCTTACGTATCCAGAACAATACAGCCGTGCCATGTCCGTCTTCTAATTCGCTGTACTCGCGACTCTTGCTGGTTATACGGCGGCAAACTATGCAGTCCCAGACCCTGCGCCACTCGACAAGCCAATCCGGTAGTATTCCAGCAGCGATCTGGAAACGAAGTACCTTGTAGAACTAGAGCAACGAGCACAAGAGTTTGCACAACGCTCAGATCGTTTATGTCCAGTAGCTCAAGGTTAACTTTATCCTTGGCTCGACTGAAGAAGACTTCATAAGCCTTCGTCTTGGCTGCCGTGGAAAGGTTTGAGAATATGCACCCCAATGCAAAGATGGCATTCAGGGAAGAGAAGAAAGCAACAGTGGTGGCATCTTCGCCTAGGCCCAGGTTACGGTACTCTTCTGTGCATGTAGTCTGCCCACTTGGTGACCAAAGTGAGTTGTAGCCATGCTCAAAAGCTTGCTTGTCGAACACGGGGTATATCCAGTATATGCGCTCGAAATATCTCTCTACAAGGTGATCTGCAAGTCGGCGTGGAGGAAGAGCAAACTTGTCAACATCACCAAAAAGACATGTGGGCTGTGAAGAACAAGCTGGAGGGATTGACTGATGGGCTGATGGGGGTATCGCAGTGCCACAAGTCTCTTTTAAGAATGAAGCGGCTGAAGAGGATCCGTAGAAGCCCTCGCGTGTGTCACGGTGATGTCCAATGTCCTCTTCGGACGTGGTGGTACCCATGGCAGTGACGCGTCTTGCATGGCTGGAATTCTCAATACTTTCCGTTGCAGTGGTAGACAGTGGGGTGAGTAGTTGGGTATGAGATATGCCCATGACGAGAGCATCCAGCTCAACCTGGCTGTCCGTATCAGGTGTACTCTCCGGCCAGGCTCGTCTATTGTTGGCCCCATCGTGAAGAGGGTTTGGAATAGGTGCGTTCAGTGCTGAAGCTTGTCGTAGCTGGCGTTCCAGATAGCGGATACGATCGTGCAGAGCTCTCGTGTAACTTGAGCCACTCGTCAGTAAACGTTCGATTTGCTTGCTGGATTTGTGTTACTTACTCATCACTGCACTCTGTACGAGCATTCCCAGCCCTGTAGACGCACTGTTCGATCCCCAGCGCCCGACGTCGACATGTGGAGCAGATCGGCTTGATCCCGTCGCAACGAGACTTGCGTTCCCGACAAGGGTCACATGCCAGTGTCACTTTGCGGCGACGTTGCCGCGATTGCTGCTCTGCCATATCTTGCGTATGCAAGTCACTGATGTCGGAGATAGCGGAAGAGTCAACTGTACAATAATGCGTAGTCCGGGTGCCCTCCTTCTGATGTTGGAACTCGGCTTGGTTGGGGCGGAGGAGAAGAGCGGAAGCCAGCCACCCTGAGTGCCCGTTCCGCGATCCACGGGGTCCGAGCAATTTACAGATCCCGAGGTTGTGGGTCTATGACTCTGTGAACTCAAGACTAACTCATGCACGCGTCGGAATGGTTCCGTCTCAGCTGAAAAGCTAGTGGAGCCACCCAAGCTTGTGGGTGACAAAAATACCTGGGTAGACCAGCCATGAATTTCGCCAGATGGTGGCTGGGTTAAATATGGCACCTAAGCTTGGTGTCAACGACTTTCTGACTACCTATCAGCAGGGCAGGAATGACAAGTGCGGCTGTAGTACAAGGAATGCACCCGACCTATTGCGGCACCTTTGTTTCACGGAGACAACCCGACCCGGGCAGTTGTGGCGTTCACAGGACACAGCATGTATGAGCTGTCATATGGCCCGACTACCTACCCCATGGGGAAAAGAAAGACAAGCACATGTGACGACTATAAGATAAGTCACCGTTCATAGACGTCAGTCCGCACCGATTGTGAGACTTGGAACAGCTCTCCCTCTTTTTCTCAACATGGCGTCGAATAAAGAATCAACCTCGAGCTACAGCCAGTTTGCTTGTATTGGCGCTGGATTCTCAGGCATTGCTCTGGGTGTCACGCTCAAACGATGGTACGGGATCACTGACATTCGTTTCTTCGAACGGCACAGCGACCTCGGTGGGACATGGTATGCAAATAAATATCCCGGTACGTTCTCACACTATTCTCAAAATCTTGCGCCTAGCTAAACTTGTAGGCGCTGCTTGCGATGTCCCAAGTGTCCTCTACAGCTACTCTTTCGAGCCCAATCCCAATTGGTCTCGGGTTCTGCCTTCACAAGAGGAGCTTTGGAAGTACCAGAAACACGTCGCGGATAAGTACAATCTACCGTCAAAGATGACATTTGGCGTGGAAGTCCAAAAGTGTCAATGGAATGAACAACACAAGAGATGGGTTCTTGATGTTCTCGACTGCAAAACTGGTACCAAGTTTCAGCACGAATGCAGGTTTCTGTTTGCGGGCTCTGGTATTCTGGTCACACCTCGAGAGATTGACATTCCCGGCTCTGAAGACTTCAAAGGATCCATATTCCATACATCACAGTGGAGGAGCGACGTTGATGTCGAGGGCAAGAATGTCGTTGTCATTGGAAACGGCTGTACAGCTGCCCAAATAGTCCCCTCGATTGTCGACAAGACAAAGCATCTGACCCAGATAGTCCGTGCCAAACACTGGATGCTTCCGCCTATTGATGGCGTGTATACCGATTACATGAAGTCTATCTTCAAATATCTACCAGGAACTATGATGATTCAACGACTGCTCATATTCTTATTCGCCGAGATTGAGTTGAAGGCGGTTCCTATGACTACCTCTGCAGCCAAGTTCCGTCAGAAGCGACGAGCTTATGCGGAGAGGTTCATGAGGGATACTGCTCCCGCCAAGTATCATGACCTCTTGATTCCAGATTTCGAAATCGGCTGTAAGAGACGGATTTACGATTCTGGATATTTGGCATCCCTTCACTCCAAGAATCTGACTCTGACCAACGAGCGAGCTCTGAAAATTGTCGAGAACGGAGTCGAGACAGATCGTGGCTTTGTTGAAGCTGATGTCATCGTGCTGGCCAATGGGTTTTCTACCAATACATTCCTCGAAGGTGTCGAGGTTGTTGGACGAGATGAAACGTTGACTCAACATTGGGAGTCGTTTGGGGGAGCCGAGGCTTACAATTGCTCTGCTATGAGTGGCTTTCCCAACTTCTTCATGCTCCTAGGTAAGTACTTGAATAGCATGCCTCACATAACTGACTAACTGCTGGCCAGGCCCCAATGCAACAACCGGCCACACTTCAGCTATCATGGCTATCGAGAACAGTGTCAACTTTGCACTGCGCATCCTCAAGCCTGTCCTTGGCAGCCCCAACGGAGTCGTTGAACTTGACAAAGATGCTGAAGAGCGTTACGTCAATCGCATCCAGGATGACTTGTCCAGGACAGTTTGGAACTCAGGGTGCCAGAGCTGGTACATCCAGCCTCATTCTGAAAACAGCCGGGTCTGGAATGCCATGGTTTATCCGTATTCCCAGGGATATCTGTGGTACAGAAGCTTGTTTCCTGTTTGGCGCGACTGGAAGATTACTGTAAGTCATAGGTGCATGGTTTTGTATCTTGGTAGAGGCTAACGCTGTGTTCAGGGTCGTACTCGTAATTGGAAATCTGTGCTACGGCTCTTGTTAAAGACACTATTAGTTGCCACAGGAAGCTCAGCTGCTACGGCTTGTATTTATTTGGTCTGGAGATCGCAGTGGACAGGGAAAGGGCTGTATGCAACTCTCAGCACAGCTTCACAGTTGATAGCTAAGTGATGTAAATAAATCTAGACCCTAAAACTCAGGGTTAAACCCTGCTTCATTATCTAGACTATTAAATAAAAACATAGGCATAGTAGGTGTTGATAGGAAATTAAAGACATGCTCATCTAAAGAACCCTCCACAAGATCCAGGGGCAATATCATCTCTGCTGCCTCTTCAAGCCCACTGCAATGTTCCTGTTGTTCTGCAAAAGCTCTAGTTAGCTCTGAGTCTTGTGCTATATAGAGATAAGGTGCATTACCATCTGTTTCACTTTCGCGACTCGACGAGGTTTTAAGAAGTTTTTCCAGTAAGTGTCGAATATAAAGTACGTTAGGCCAGGCATCTTGAAACCCTCTCAAGATACTCAGCTCTAAACGGGCTCTGTGCTCTGAGAGAACACCGACATGCATTCCATTCTTTCGACTTTGGAGGATGTGGATTGTGGTTGAAGAGAAAATTGCGGGCAAGCTTTGAGCCGTTGTCAGTGTTGAATTTATCAGAAAATGGGTGTTGAGACTTTACATATGATATGGGGCACGGTATAAGGTGCCTGAGGCAAGCATGTCTTCTAGAATACGTGTGACCTTTCCTGCGAGAGTAACCAGGTTGCTATGATCGGCGCGGTCAGCAAGGCCTCGATAAAACACGACTTGGTATTCCCTAAGTTGTTTCAGTCAATGATGATAACAGTTCTATGGAAGAGGGCAGTACAGATGATATAGCTGCAATACCGAGGGCCAGAAGCCTCGGTCCAACGTGACTTGATGTGGCAGCGTGGTGAAGCGAGGCGGTAAAGTATTTTGAAAATTGACCAACTCGTCGTACCATCTCCGTTTAGTATCGGGATCATCATTGGAGGAATACTTCGCGATTATGCATCGAGCCACTATATATGAAGAATGAACCAAAGTTATTGCCTAGTAATTAGGAGTAGACCATACCTCGGCATGAAAGCCCGACCAGGTTAATGAGATAAAGCTTGCTCTCATATAATAAGGGTTCATCAACAACAGTGAAGGGTGAATATTCGTAATCTTGGAAGTCTGCCTCCGTTGATGGACCTATGTCACTAAAGTCAGGGTTGATATGAGGAGGTCTGCCATAGATTGCTGCATGATGTACGTCGTTGATCTGCGATTAGGGAGATTAGTACAGTCATGAAGAAATCGTTCTCGAGACTTACATAAAGAACCCACCATATCCTCCGCCAAAGTATACAGCAGGAAGACTGTAGGACCGAGTAAGACTTGCTAAATCATCCATCAGCAACCCATAAAGAACTGTCGATTGGAAGACTAACCGTCGATGCATGCCAAGAGACTGGGCCAGCCCGGTAGCGATTCCCAGCCAGTGCCATGTGTCCTTTTGCTCCGTTGGCCCATCCCATCGGTGGGAGAGCAATATTGCTGCTTGAACAGTGACAATGCCGTCAGACTCGTAGTCTGCATCGTACAGGGCTTTAGCACGTCGATAGAATGTGAGACCCGCAAGGTAGCGATTTGGAAAGCCCATTCCTGCCAGAAGCGCCTCCGAACAATGTAAAGTAGCCATGAAGAAGACAGCATTCAAAATCAACGGTGAAAGACTGTCAGCTTTGTACAACCTCATGAATTCGACTTGATAGAAGATTGGACAGGCAAGACATGAGTAGTCAAAGAAGACCCGGATCAGCTCGTCTCTGATGGGTTTCTCCGGATATTGAAAGACGCCCTGATCTCTCAAACGTTCATCATCTTCTGAACGTATTTGCTGGAGAGCATCCTGGGTAGACGACCCTATCTGATCTAGCATAGATCGCTGCAGATTCTCAATCCAGTATTTGTTTTGATCCGAGCCTTTGAATGGATCCCCCACCTCATGAAGAACATATTGGTAATTGGCAGAGTCTCCGATGTAGATCACCCTCTCACTTGCGCGCTCAGGGTCTTTATGGACTGCTATCTCGGATAAGGAAGGACTGACATCTCTGCAAGGTTTCTTAGGTGGGCTTTGAGAGTGATCCCCGGCTGGGAACGGAAGCGATGAGGTCTCCCTCGGATTCGGTAGAGTAGGTGTTGGCGTTAAGGTTTCACGCGGTGATCGTTCAACGGGAAATCGTCTGTGTCTTTCCTCTGAGTCAGTGCTTGAAAAAGGACCCAACGCAACTTCAGTTCCATACTTGCCGCGTCGCGATACAATCAGTTCACATGTTGTGTTGGCAAGCTGACAGTTTGAGCAAGTAGCTCTACTTTCTGATCGGTCGCATCTGACACGCCGCGAATTGCAGAGCTTACAGGCGACCCTGGCCCTGCCCGCAGGAGGAGACATGACTGAAATGATCAAGGATGCCGAAAATTCCTCTTCGGCTTTATTTGAACTTCGGTGACTTGAAAGGTCATGTCGGGTTGGAAGTGAGGGGCAAGCTGTTGGAATAGTGAGGGGAATCGAGGCCTTATCAGAACGCGATGGTTGAGGCGCTAGAGGCCAAAAGATAAGTAAAGTTCATCCGCTAATATGAAACCGGTCTAGGGCTCGAGAGACTGGTACAATATCTAACCTCGTACGCAGCCACCCTCTCTGTCTGACCGACCGGTAATTACTATATTATTATTAAAGTAAAAGACATAGCATCTGGCTTTAGAGCCTACTGTATAGGGGCTACTTAAGTAATCTAGACTACCTTAGATATATATATTTAAGAATTCCGCTGGGAAATAGCCCTATATACTAAAAATTAGAATTATCCGGAACTTGCCTAAACACTGACTATTTTATAGAATGCGATTGTATAATTACCTATAGGAGCATTCTAGTTATTGAATATAATCTAAGTTTCTCACAACCGCCCCCTGACTTTTATCTCAGCAGCTCGCAGTGGCAAATAAAACAGAATAGCACTGACAGCTCCCAGTTCCCAAGCCAAATCTCCAACGCGAGCAGCAATCGGCCCAACATACCAAACAGTTGACATGGAGGGAACAATGAGACCCCACGGAGCCATGATCGAAATCACAGCCGGGATTCCAGAAGGCAGCGCAGATGGGTTGTCCCAGATTGCCGGATCCACGCTGGCAGGGTTCGCTTTGCGGAACACAAACCATTCGACAAGAAACACACTCACGCTCGGGGCTGTGATATAACCTGCGATGCTCACAAGAGTGCTGAGCGACGGGAGGAATGATCTTGACGCTGCGATTCCAACACCAATCATGACTCCGGAAGCGAAGACCAAGATCAGCACTCGAGGGACGTGACGGAGCCACGGAATGACTGCCACCGTGAAGAGAGAAATGCTATACATGTCTCGTGCAGAGGTGGTGACGATGGAGAATCCAAGAATGACCAGCAAGAAGCGTCCGAAACCACCAACGCGAGATGTCAATATCTGACCGAGAACACCGCCTAGACTACCTTCAGCATAAGCAGCGCCCCAGGAAGGAATAACCGTGATAGATCCACCGATAGCAGCACCAAGAAGCATGAACAGAGTGAATGGGACGTATAAGCCCATCACGCAATAGAACACTAAGCGGAGCTTGGGGGCCTTCGGAGGCATGTAGCAAGTATAATCGCCAATGATGGTGCCCCAGGTAGCCATATTGGAAGCACAGATTGATACTGTCGCCAACCAAGGCGCTGCACCCGAGGAGGAGGCCGGAGCCTGATTATGCAGCTGGCTCCCTGCGCAACCTACGAGCACAAGCAGGGCAATGATGTTTGGGATCCAGATATATTGGCAGACGAAATGAACCGCAGAGTAGCCGACAAAGGCAATGCAGAAAGCGACGGTAAAGATTATGGCAATTGCTGCTTCGACAGGAAGGGTGCCAGGACGGACTGCTGAGAGACACTCGGCTCCACCAACAGCAGCGATGATGGCGTATATTCCGATCTCGAGTATAATGATGATTGATAGAAGAGCATTTAGATATTTCCTTCATCTTTGATCAGTTCAACTCAGTACAGCTTTATCAGCAAACTTACCCAAAGACATAACGAAACTGGACAGACTGCCGCATGCCTAGCTGAGGAGCCAGAGTCAAGATGTAGAGCGTGGGAATGACGAATAGAGCCTGCATTGTCACGATCATAATTGCCGCATCGCGGAAACTTTGGCCAAAGACAAGTGTTGGCGTTGTGCCAATACTCAAACTGGATTTGAACAGGTCAGACTTGTGAATTTCTCCCGAGTCCTTTGATAGTACTCACGGCAGAATGGAAGTGAAGGATCCTCCAAAGAGTGTAAAGATGTTGTAATACTTGGTGTGAGTCCGTTTCTCTACTGGAACGGGCTCCAGTCCACGCATCTCGACTCCAGACACAGCAAGTTTCCGGAGCAAGCCGCCCAGACCGAGGGAGAAAACGAACTCTTCGGAGCTGCCTTCTTCCACCGTGACTTCTCGCCGTCCGTGGTCGGCAAACGACTCAATGTCGCTATTGGGTGTCTTTTTTTCATCCATGTTGAATGTATCTGCCATCATTGTTGTTTCGAGAGATGGGACGTCTGACGACGAGCTTCATCATATGTACAACATTTCAGTCGCACATGTTTCACAGTGACTTGGAGAGGTCTTGTTATCATTCAGCGGCCCATCGATTTGGGAAGCTTATTTAGTCGGCGACTTGAAGTGGGCCCTGACTAGCCTTATCTTTATTGCCTGTAAACTGTAAAGTCACCGTTCAGCGTTATCTGATAACGGAGGCCGCTGTTTTAGGTACTAGTACTCTAGCCTAGTGGCTTTGCGCAACATGTTCTAAGCATTTGCTAACCCGGGACACAATGCTGAAGAGATTCGAAAGATAAGGAGATACGGACAAGGGCGTCTATTCAAGTCCAACAGAACGCAATCTGCCACCAATATCCTTTCCTATCACTTGCAATGAAATTACTGGAGTTAACATTTATGAACAAAACCTAGTATTTGCATTGATTCTATGCTACCCCAAAAGTCGACTACCAGTTACTCTGACTTAAGAGATCTTCGATCTCGTGAGCTACTTTCTCGGGGATCTCGAGGCTCGGGAAGTGTGTCTCGCCCTCCAGATCTGTATAGGAGAACCATGAATTCTTCTTGGCAAACTCATCATGTAGCTGGCGGTATTCAGGCTGGCTCAAGGGATGAGAAAAGATATGCCGAATCAGTGGCGGCGCCTTCATCTTGCTCATTCGCCCCATAGGTGTTCCCCAATTCTCATAAGCGTTGGCAATTACGCGGCAAGATAACGACCACATATCGAAGCCAAAGCTGCTCAATGAGTACTGAATGTGGTCGCGTAGCGGTCTTATGTCGCTGTGTGCAATCCAGTCGTCAAAAAGAGCCCTGCGAGCTGCTCTCCATGTATCTTTGGATTGCATCTCTTGTAAGCAAGCTGCAAATGCTGGTGGTGGCGTTGTCATGATCTGGTCGATCATTAAGAGACCCTTGACCCTTTTCTTGCCCATTCTATCTGCAAGCTCCAGACCAACCCATCCTCCATGGGAGTGAGACACGAGCAGGCATTGGTCGACGTCGAGTAGGTCTAGAAGGGCCAGTGTGTCGGCTACTTGCTCCTCAACGCCGAAGTCATCAATTTTGTCACGGGATGGACCGTGGCCACGGTAGTTGACTCTGATGACCCAATGATTCTGGGACAAGTAGGGAAGCAATTCATCGTAGAGTCTCATATCATGGGCCCATCCTGTGAGAAGGACGATGGGTGGTCCTTCATCGAAACCGGACTCGTCATAGGCGATTTCTATACCGTTGATTTTCTTAGTGAAAAACATGTCCGCAAAATGATTGCCAGAGAGTATATGATGAGTTGAATCTGACCAAAGATAATATGATCTGGGAGAATCATACTGACACCGTTGTCTGATCATACTCCTTTGAACGTCGTGATACCTAAACCTTAAAGTGGATCTGCAGGCGGCCAACGGAGACTTCGGCTTTGGTGTCGCCGACTTGGTATCAAGAAGTAGCCGATGCCCTATGTCTCTCGGCGTTCAGCCTTCTCGGCGTTCATCCTTCTCGCCGTCCAGGTTGAATTCTCTAAAGGCAGACTATTTGAGATAAACATGGTCTGATATGCCCAATGCAGTCGGAGTATAGCAGGCTGTTAGCAAGTCCGATATCCTCTCCCTTGAAATTAGACGCACTCTACAGAAAATGTCTTCCGAACCCAAGCCTATCATCATCATTGGCGCTGGCCTCGTTGGGTTGACTCTGGCACAAGCCTTGAAGAAATCCGGCCACTCATTCCAGATCTATGATAGAGATGGAACCCTTGACGAGCGACCTGCAGGATGGGGAATCACAATGCATTGGGCATTGCCTGCATTGGCTGCTTGCCTCCCAGCTGAAGCTTTTGCCATGATACCGTCTATTCAAGTTGACCCTGTTGAGGGAGCCAAAGGTTTGCTATTAACCAGATCTATCACTGCTCTCGATATTTACACAGACTCTAGACCATGACAGCTACCGATTCCTCGACTTATCAACGGGTGTGGACAAATACAACATCAAAGCTTCTCTGCACTATCGTCTCAATCGAAAGAAATTTCGTCAACTGCTCAGTACCGACATCAACGTCAACTGGGGCAAGCGATTCACCGAATACCAAGTTAACGATGACGGTGTTACTGTATGTTTCGCTGACGGGACAAAAGTACAAGGCTCAATGCTCCTTGCTGTAGATGGCAAGAATAGCCGCATCAAGAAGGCGTTACTGGGTGATGAAAAGTCGCAGCTTAACCCGCTTCCTGTGGCATTCATGGGATTGACCTTGCGCCTCTCGCCCGAAAGAATGCATCCCTTCCGCGATATCCACCCGATCCTTTGGCAAGGGACGCATCCAGGTTCAGGCTACTATGTATTCTTCTCGATGCTATCAACGCCTCAGAGCAATGGAAGTGCCGGGTCGGACGGTGAATACTATGAAGGCCAGTTCAATATGAGCTGGCTGGTGGAACGCAACGGAGAATTACCAAAGACAAAGGCGGAGCAGCTGGCCAAGATGAAGAGCGCTGTAACGGCTGATACAGGGTTCTTCCCAAGTCTGAGGGATGCCATACTTGCTATCCCCGATGACGCTCCGCTGTTGGAGATTAAGTTAGAGGACTGGCCGGCTCAACAATGGCCTACCCAGGGTGGCAGGGTTTCTTTGCTGGGGGACGCCGCTCATACTATGACAATGTGTAAGTGTGTTGGGTGCGATACACGAAGTTTTTACTGACGTTTGGGGCTTACAGATCGTGGAGAGGCCGCCAATCATGGAATCTACGATGCGGTTACTCTTGTGTACGAGCTCAATTGCTGGAGAGACGGCACGAAAACTTTAAGGCAGGCTGTAGAGGATTACCAGACCGAGGTGACTAGCAGGACCTACGACGCCGTCCTCCTGAGCCGTTCAGCTTGCCTAGAATGCCATAACCTTGATACTCTCGGGCCAAACAGTTCAGTCTTTCAGGTATCAGGTTTCAACGCAAAGGTCACTGAAGAGAGACGTGTTTACGATCTTGCCAATCAGTCCATAGATAGGGCTGCCAGCGTGGTCACCGTTTCGCAGGCTTGAGATAGGAGGTAGATTTGAATTGAACCATGAAGCTCCAGTTAGGATTATATGTTATCAATTTGAGTAGGTCGAAGCACCCACAAGAGTGATAATGGCTAGTTCCCTTGCTCAAATCTGATAGTCAAGTCGTAATCAATGGTCTAAAAAGAGTTAGACTTGCCTTAATGAGTCTATAGTGACTTGGTAAAATCCACTTTATGTCATTTCCGCTACCTTCCAGTCTCAATTCCTGGAGACCTTGCTAAAGACTGTCATACAAATTGCTCGTGAAAGTCAATTGGTTGTCTGCATGTGGAGAAAGATAAGAGGGGAAAGGTTAACAGGGTACCCACAGCATATCGCCGACTCGACCATGTCGGCTATGGAACTCTTACCAATACGACTTACTAGTCTCAATGCGATGTAGCTCTATCTCGTCCTATATTGTCGTTTAAGCGTTCAATTAATTGGCTTTCAGCGTCTGTAGCGAGGTACTTGTCCAATGCTTCACGACCTGTCTTATTTATCGTAACTTGTGCCACTGCATTGGGTACCTCTCCTCTGAGCGTCAAGGTTCACTGTACTGCTTTCCCACCAAGTTTCTGCAACACACCATGACATATTCAGAAGTCAGTATCCAGCTGCCTGGAGGTACAATCGTCGGATCTCGAAAACAAAATGTCTTTCAAGCTCGTGGCATAAAGTATGCAGAAGCAAATCGATTTGAGATTCCAAGACCATTTACGAAATGGGAGGCGCCCATCGATGGGACGAGGCCAGCTTCAATCTGTCCGCAATTACCCTCACGCTTGAACTCTGTGACAGGAAATATTGTTCAGGGTCGAGTTATGGATGAGGACTGTCTCCATCTTACAATTACTGCACCGGCACGTGCTATCGATGAAGGACTCCAGCTTCCAGTCATGGTCTTCCTACACGGTGGCGCAAATATTTCCGGAGGCGGTGATCTCGATTGCTATCTACCTGACGCTCTGATCAGGAAAGATATCGTTGTCGTCAACGTTAGCTATCGCCTTGGCATCTTTGGTTGGGTTCCGATAGAGGGCATAGCGCCTGCGAATCTCGGATTACTAGATCAGATTGAAGCACTTCGTTGGGTACAGACAAATATATCTCACTTCGGCGGATGTCCTCAGCGTGTCACTGTCATTGGACATTCCGTCGGGGCATATGCTATATATTGTATGTTGGTAGCCGATACCGCCGCTGGTCTTTTCCATCGGGCTGTCCTTCAGAGCACGCCTTTCGAATGGCAAACAGTTTCCGTTACGACATCTGACGATCTGGCTAAAATTGCTCGAGAGTTGATACAGGGAGACCCGCGCACTATGTCAGCCGAAGAGCTTCTCCTTAACCAGCCCAAAATAATGCCCGAGGCTAGGAGACTAGGACTCCCTAGGAGATTTGCGTGGGCGCATTTCGGCAAACACCCCCTACCGGATATCTCCGAAGTCCCGAATAGAATCGCCCAGGCTGCAATGAACTACTCTATTATCCTGACATGGACGAAGAATGAAAGTGTGGCTTTCGTACCAATGCTTCCGAGCTATTCTCTTTGGGCTGACCTACCCATAATTGGCCCGGCGTGGAAGCAGATAGCTGCCTGGTGGTACTCCCACAAAGAATTCATCTGGCCATCGCAGAGATTCCACAAGAGCTTCATTGCTGCGGGCGGTAGTTCTTCCACCGTGAGCTTTTCCTGGAGTCCTGCAGGTAATACCTTAGGAGCAGTCCACTGCATAGAACTCCCATTTATCTGCGGAACGTGGGATGCTTGGAAAGATGCCCCCATGCTTCGGGGTTCTAATGTTAAGGAGGTCGGCAAGTTAGGCGAAGAGGTAATTAATGTATGGGCTGCTTTTATAGCCGGAAGTATAATAAGACCAATAGTACTTAATATAAGTTAGGGGTTTATCTGATTTATTAATTAACTTGATAATAGCTTATATTTCTTTAATAAACCTATAACTTAAGCTTATTATGTTACTAAGTAATATATAAAATATTAAGAAGGATATTTAACTTAGCTTACATAGCCTCTTGAAATAAAGCAGTACCTAGATATCTCTTAGATAGAACTTTCTCGATGCGTCGCTTGTGCTATATCTTTACCCTTCTCCTCATCACCGCTGGTAGACGGTGGGGCAACATGCTCACCTCGAATCATGACTGCACTCTCACGGACACCTTGGGTCAAAGCGCCAAAGCCATGCCCAACATCGCCAGCGAAGATGTTGTCAATCTTTTCCAGTGAAAGACCCTGTGTCTCGGGGTAGCAGAAATAGACCAGTGGCATGAAGGCAAAGTTCATGGCGATCCCTGTATGAGTGCCACGTCAGTACAGCACATTTACATGGTTATAGCAACAAGGAGTACTTACAGACAATCCAGTATCTCCAGCTAATCTGGGACAAAGCGATAGGTGTGATGGTAACAACAATTCCGTTGACTGGAACCGGTTAGTTTTTGGTGAATAAAGCTGCACACTAAAACTTACAAAGCCAATTGGATGCAGATGCTAAGGCTGATCCCTGCGCTCTCATCTGTAGGTTGTTGATCTCGGGGGCGTAGAGCCAAGGAATGTTGAGATAGCTGACAGCAAAGGCATCGTAGAAAAGGAAGAACATGGTTGTTACCAGGATACCTCCGCCTCGGCCTCCGATATTGAAGCCGGCTACGACGAAGATGAGAGTTACCATTTGAGCAAAAGCACCCCAGATCATCCATGTGCGACGACCGAGTCTTTCAATTACCCAGATGGGGACGAGAGAGACGATGAAGAATTGGACCGCTGCAGCTGCCGAGAGGATCAAGGCAAGGTCATGAGGAAGATCGACGTATTCTTGGAGGATGACGGGCATGTAATATGCAACAGCACTATTGGGAATGTCAGTATAAGCGCAAGGCTAAGAGGATGAGTCGAGCATACTTGATACCAGTCATTTGCTGCATAAACAGACCACCAACACCGAGCAACATTCTGCGGAAGTTCTGCTGTCCACCGTGTTTGAAGATGTCGAACATGCTCTTGGAAGTACCCTCTGCTTCCAAAGCCTGCTGAATGTCACCGATAACTTGTAAAACTGTAGGGTCGTCCTCACTCGAGCCGTTCAATCGAGCAGCCACCTCGCGTGCTTTCTGGATCGATACGTGATGTGCAGTCCATCGTGGCGACTCGACGAGGAAAGGAGCGATGCAGATGAGACTGAGCGCGAAGATACATTGGAAGGCAATGGGAAATTGCCATTGGAGGGAGCTTGTGGCATGGGACGCGCCGAAGCAGATCCAGTTCGAGATGGCGAGGCCGAAGATGATGAGGGCTGCTTCGACGGTGATGAGGGCGCCGCGGCTGTGAGCGGATGAGACTTCGGCTTGCCACTGTTGTCAAAGTATGTTAGGCCACTATAGCGTAAATAGACCAAGGGAGTCTTACGGAAGGGATGATGGCAGTGTTTGTACCGACTCCAATACCGGTGATGATTCGTCCAGCGATGAGTTGGCCTATGGTAGTAGCTGTGACTTGCAGGATGGTTCCGATGATGACGATAGATGCTCCTGCACACTTAAAAGAGGTCAGTTTAGGGGGATCATAGTTAGGATCAACTCTGGACTTACAATGCATGTACGACGGCGGAACTTGGACAAACCGAACGTTGCCAAAGATGCTATCAAGCATCCCAAATCGTAAAGGCCAACAATGAGACCCTGCTGAGTCGCCTGGGAACAAAATTAGATCGGGGACAAGTCAACGAAAGGAGGACTTCGCACGTTAGGGTCGTTGAATCGCTGTTTGAAGGTGGGTGATCCGATAACACCTCCCATGACACCTTGGTCATCTGTCATGATGCCTATTAGCTGTATCCTCCAATAGCTACTCAAGGATCACTTACATCCGAATAAAAGAAAGCCAAGACCACAAACAGCGGTAATGGCGCTCATGAGAGCCTTGCCTTGAAGATGCATGATGTCTCAGATGGTAACGATTGAAGTGTTTAATGGAAGAATGATAGACTTGAGCGATGCAAGATTGACCGCTGACTTTATACATCTCCCTGGCTAGCTTGAAGAATGACTCCAGCCCACAATCCAATCTCTCAATCTTGTCTTCCGCAATCGTACCCCAGGACTGTTAAGCTTTCCTGGGGGAATTCGGTAACTAAAGTGATTGGCCAATAAATCTAGGGGAGAAGCTTAGCGACCTTCGCTCGAGCTAGCCGCCGGAGAACTAAAAATGGCAATCTCGCGCGAAATTTCCCTCTTTGCTTGTCAACTTGTGCCAAACACACACACCCTGAATGTATCACGAGTCATTCCCAAACATGGGGTAGGATTGATCCACACAATGCATCAGAAAACAATCATCAGCTCCGCGAAAAGTGAAAACGTATCAGCAGCGGACATTTAGTCAGCATGGCGTCTGGGAAATATAAGAAAGGCTGCTGGCCAGGGCTGGTGTTGCAGTACACAAACTATCAACTGTACCCATTAAACCCGACACATAAGCCCTTCATCTTCTGTCACAATGGCCCCTTCAAAGACCCAAGATACTCCCGAGACTTCTTCTCAAAAGAGTGCCGACCTTTTAAAGCACTCTCAGGACGAGTCTCTCCTCACGGATAAAGACCGCAGAGAGCTTATCTTCACTGATAAGCATAGCTCTCCAGATGTCTATATTGGCCACAAAGATACCCTGTGGCACCCGTGGACTGGGACTTTAGAGCTCAAACCTCTGCGCTTTGAGACACGATCTGGCAGTTTTGTTGTATCCCTGCGAACACCTGTCGATGCTTGGCTTGGCAAGCATAGGCACCGCGGCACCGTTACAGCTGTTACACTATCTGGCAACTGGCGATATAAGGAGTGAGATTCAGCATCTATCTGACTAGAGTATTGCAAGAGGATTACCGGCTAATGACTATAGGTACGATTGGGTTGCTGGTCCGGGTGACTACGTCGTTGAGAATCCCGGGACAATCCATACGTTATTCATGGGCGCTGGATCGGAGGTAGTGTTTACTATTACAGGCAGTCTTGAGTTCTTCAATGATGATGATAGCCTGAGGGAGACGATGGATATCTTTAGCTTTGCACAGTTATACTATGACCACTGTGAGAAGGAAGGCATTGAGCCGAACTCGAAGTTGTGGTATTAAGAAGCATTTTGGACGTCATTAGGCAATAGTAACCTAGCTGGCAACTCAAATTGGCAACTTTATAGCACAAGAGTATGAACTTTGACGGCTCTGTTTAAAGTGCAAGTGAGAGCATGGCTTCGATATGAATAGGAAGTTCGCAGTAAGCTAATATCGGCAGTAGACATGATACTGAACATTATGCTAGTTATGATGTATGGCGACTGCTACAATAGCTGAAACTTTGGCCCTCCATAAACTATCACACTATGATAATTATGAGTCTTCACTATCTTGAGGTAGAAGCGTATAGGGACTCCCATATCAAGCAGGCGATTCACTTCCCCTATCCCAAGCTACATACAAATCACGAACTCGATACTTAGCAGCCCAACCAAGATCCTCCTCAATATCACAGAGCAATCTAGCACACAAATCCTGCTCTTGTAGGTCGGTCAAACATCGGCCAGCTACTGTAAATGAGCAGAAAAAGGTACACAGTGATGGGAGAGACATACCATAGTATATAGCTTGCACGGAGTGGACCCGAGCTCCTCCGTCCGGCAGGCCTAGAGCTACCCCGCAGATCTGCAATGCATGAGATCTGAGCTTGTTCTAAGCGGTCATGGGATCAATTTAGTTCAGCAGTGGCTTCACAGGGAGTAGACGAACCTCGATCTCTTGTCCACTCTGGCATCCTTGATGGAGGCTCGATGTGAGCAGGAGTATATTGCATAGATGGTACATCTGCCATGCTGAGGCTGCGGTGCCCAATGTGAAGTATATTGTGTCGAACGCGTCGTCTCCTTGTCTTGTTGTAGAGATCGGCTTGCATGTCGGAGGGAGAGTGTCCTTCCAGAACTGCAGCATGCTGGTCAATCTCTTACTCTCATGGTCTAGACGTTGGAATACTCGAAGTGAACCACTTCTGCCATCGGAGGAATGGACTAAATGGCATATTTTGGCCAGTATGGTAAGTATCCGATAGCGCGTCAGAACCTGTCACTGACCCGTTACCGAAATCCATACCTCCTGTTAGCCATGTCCTCTCGGCCAACCTCCGTTGTGTACCCCAGAATCTCGTACCATGCCTCTGGATCTATCCTCGGTTTGCTTCGATTGATCAAGCAGCACACCACTTCCTGACGAGCAAAGCACCAAAAAGCAGCTTCCTCTAACCCACCACAGGTCCCATTAATGCCTCGCATCTTACCAATCTGGGAAATCCCTTCAAGGTGAGCCTGCCAATCCGACCCAGTGGCATCTATCATTTCGTAGACGCTGCATAGTACAGTGGCGACGAAGGTTTCGGGTGAGGGGGCCGGACAGTCTATCGAAACGTGGCGGATCAGCTGCTCGATGGTGATACTGTAGGATGACTGTGCTTGTCTCATCCACTCTTCGGTTCTGGGACTTTGTGGGTTCGATAAAGCGAGTTGCTTGGCCGCGCAAGCGATGCAGCATTCCTTGACTAGACTAGCTCTGGTGGCGAAATGAGGGACGACCCTGGACCATGTTTGGCTGAGATCAGATAAATCCATCCATTGTCCAACGACCTGGGTGAATCTGTGGAGCAAGGTTGCTTCATTAGGTGTTAAGGAGACTGTCGGTGATTGATCGAGAAAGTCTCCCCACACGCTTCCTGGGGAGTTGGGTTGGTAGTAACCTGGGGAAATTCGGTCCCGGCTGGCCGGAGAGGCCAGGAGTCCAGGTACATGGTCGATTGCATCGCTTGCATGGTACTCATTCGGATTTAATTCCTGATCCTCAGGTTGCCCAGGAGCCGATGGGGATTGCGAGAAGACCGCTTGGCTCTCCAATCCATTTTCCGCGACATCTAGAGAAGACCTTGGGTCATCAGAAAGGATAAGATAGCCATCGAGTATCAGTTCTGTCTCGTCAATGAACTTGACTGTGTGACCGTTAGGATTGCCCGAACCATTGTGACGAGTTACTCACGGGGAGTACTACTCCGCACCCAGAAATGGTCTCTTTCAAAGTCCCATTTGCCTCTACGGGCATCCTTTCCCTGCACTGATTGTGCATGCCGAAACACCGTCCCATCGCCATAAAGGCACTCTCGCGATCCCTTGGCGCACTGCTCACATCTCGGAATTTGGCCCCCACATTTGACTCGACGGTCTCGGCATGTGAGGCTTCATTTGTTTTCTCGTTAGCAATTGCCATGGACGATTTCGTTGATTGACCCACCAGCGATGTGATGAGGTGTCCATGAGATAAACCTTGGTGCATAGATGGACTCGAAGAAATGCAGAGAAAAAGCCAAAAGCCGAACAAAAATGGCAAATTTTCCGAGGGGTTGATAGGTGCTTATATTGTTGCCCCGTGTAGCTTAGGCGTCAAGTGACAGCGGCAGGTACTCCTGGGGGCCAACCTGGATATGAGAAAAGAAAAAAGGCAATTTCCTGCGAGATCAGGACTGAAGCGCGAAGTTTAGCGTGCGGGGGAGGGTTCTCGGCATCTTGTCTAGCTCATCCCCCAGCCTTGACCCCACAGAGCTATGCCGCTATGGGGAGCATGATCTAGCGCTGTAGACAAGGTCACAAGGGGTCGGAGTACGTTCATAATGATTGGTATAAGTCATGGTATTCATGGCTTTCGCTGCCAGATATCCAAACGTTCTTTCTCACCTCGACCTTGGCCGCTTGCAACTCACAGCCATCTTCTACACCTCCACCCTGCTCATCCATCATGTCTCTGACTGCAAAGGCCCTAGCCGGCAAGGTTGCCATCGTTACAGGTGCGTCTTCAGGCAATGGCCGAGCTATATCCCTCGCTCTCGCAAAGGCTGGCTCCAAAGTCGTCTGCTCAGATCTCCAGCCCGAAGCACGGCAAGAGGGCTACGAGAAAGACCTTTCAGTTCCTACCCATGAGCTCATCAGGAAACTTGGAGGCGAAGCCATCTTCCAACGATGCGATGTGTCAAACAGCTCGCAGATTGAGGAGCTCGTGTCAAAGGCCGCATCCACATTTGGACGTCTTGACATTATGGTCAACAACGCGGGCATTTTCACAGGCCTCAAGAACATTCTTGAAGAAACGGATGATGATTTCGATCGTACCATGTCGATCAACACAAGAGGGACCTACTTCGGATGCAAATACGCCATCAAGCAGTTCCTTTCACAGTCTGAGCCCGCTGCAGACACATCTGAAGATGCTCAGTCCCACCCTTCTATTGGCAAGATTATCAACATTGCTTCCATGGGCGGCCTGATTGGTCTGGCCCGAGAACCTTCCTATTGCGCTTCAAAGGGAGCTGTCGTGAATCTCACACGTCAACTCGCTGTCGACTTTGGCCCGTCCCGTATCAATGTCAACTCTCTATGCCCTGGATTCCTGGCTACTGCTATGGTGAGGCCCTTTATCGAAGACAAGGCTCTTAATACGTCTCTCCATGATGCTACGCCGTGGCCACGGCTTGGATCTGCCAAGGATGTCTCGGATGCTGTTCTCTTCCTTGCTTCTCCACAAAGTGACTGGGTCACTGGAACAATCATGACGGTGGATGGAGGATTTACTTCGAAGTAGCGAGACGGGAGGATTTCTGTCATCATACCAGTTATAAGAAAAAAAGATATATATGCATCTCTGTCAATTCCATCTCTTCACGCTTTTCTGCTGTATCTGGAACTTTATTACAGCTATCAAACTCGCATTGAGGTATTGGTAATTGGAGCCAGGTACATCACATCTCTACCTCAAGCCGATAAAAAGTAGTATCCATGGCGCTTAATGCTGCAAGGTGATTGGCAGCTCGCATATTAGACGCACACGGTAAGACTGAGCAATCAGAGGGAGTGCCAAGGTGGCAGCCACGTAAGCAGCGGCCAGGCCAGGCTTACTGTAAGCTCAGAGTCATGTCGTCGGGCAGCACAGAAGAACATCAAGACGTAAGTTACACCTTCGTGCATCTCAGCGAACGTAGCTTGAGCTATGTCTCTCCAACAGCCTCTCTACCGTTACGCTCATCTGGCGGACAACAGTATCCGCTTGCTTCGTTTACTACCGCATCAAGACGAGCATGCCCCTATATAGTGTTAACTCTTTGACTGCGCCTTAGAGAACTCGCGTAGCACTCGCCTGTACGAGGCTCTATCCTACGTTTGGGGCGCAGATCATGGGTCTTAGTCTATCTCAATAGATAGCTGCTATCTGCCTGTCGGGGTAAACCTCTTCGCAGCGCTGTTATATCTTCGAGACCTCTCTATTGAGTGAATTTTGTGGATAGATGCTGTATGTATCAATCAATAAGATAACGAGGAGAAAGGACATTAAGTCCAGTCTATGGCGAAGATCTATGCCAGGGCGACTCGTGTGATTGTTTGGCTTGGAAAGGCGACGCGGGACATCGAACAAGCGCTGGAAGACATACGCGTCGCAGGGGTCGCGGAAAACCATAAAGTAGTGCCTGCCAGGAGCGAACGTGCAATCCTGGAGCTACTCGAGGCCGCTTGGTTTCGACGTGTCTGGGTAAGGAGATAAGCGCTTGTTGATATATACAGTCATTGCTAATTAGATGATTAGGTACTCCAGGAGGTTGCTGCAGCTCGATATATCGTGGTCAAATGTGGCCTTGCTGAGATCGATGGTTATGCATTCTTTTCAAGTCTAAGTTCGTTAGAATTGCCCTATGAGGACCACCCTGGCCTGCGACCGTTAGTCTTGTCGGTGGCCTACCTGGCAAAGGGCGCGGCCTTCCGGTCGAGGTGCGCAACCAATCAGGCATGTAGATTTTCTCTTGATATATGTCCACTTGCTTATCTAGTGGACATGTTTCACACTTGTTAAGCCAGTGATCGCTGCGATAAGATCTATGCCTTGCTTGGTATGAGCTCTGACGATCCCGGTAATTCGGGCTTGCTGGTCAATTATAATATTCCATGGGCAGAGCTCTTTAAGAAACTTGTCAGCTTTATCCTTGGAAATGTATTTGTCGCTACTTGGGATAGCAAACCAGTAGTAGTGATTAGGGCTAAGGGCAGCGTTCTTGGCCTAGTGTCTTCAGTCGACGCTGATGTTGATCGGAGAGAGAAACAGCGGCTGTGGATTACTTGGAATAGCCTGCTTAAATTCGAAGATAAAGGATTCTGGTGGATCTTAGAGGTATTAGCGGATCCAGTGGAGGAAGGCGATGTTATCTGCCTACTACAAGGAGCGACGTCGCTAACCATTATCCGGATACATAGCGATTACTGGAATATAATTGTTATTGCAGCTGATTGTCTAGAAGAACTATAGGCTGCAATGAGTGGTGATAGGTCTTAGCTTTTGTAACCGCTAATAGTCTTCCTGTATGATTTCCTCCTTGTGTGGTACTGGGAGATGTATCTAGATAAGTCCTTGATAGGGAATGAGTACGAGACTTTGATGGAACACCTGGAACCAAATAATCCGAAAGCGGGATTGAGAAATGACTGCGAGAAGATAACTAGACTCTGGAATAGCGGACTGGCATTATGAGATGCGGAAAGAGTGAGGGGGGAGCAGAATCTTTAAGAGACGATGGAGCTTCTTGAGCGTCTTTTGCGAAACATGGACAGTCTAGCAGTGGATGGCCTAGATCGCGATCATCGGATGATGAGAGATGGTATGGAGGGAATGCAAGGAACAGTTGACTTTATGATGAAGGGCAAAGGCGGATGGACACCACTTTGTTCGGCGGCAGAAGCTGGATGCGAGCTGGTCGCCAAGCTACTGCTTGATACCGGCAAAGTTGACCCGAATGCGCAAGACGATTTGAACGAAACGCCATTATCGAAAGCGGCGAGGAGGGGAAATGAGGGGATCGTCAAGCTGCTGCTTAACACCGATCAAATTGATCCTGATGCCAGAGGTGGTGATTTTAAACCAACGCCATTAATGGAAGCGGCTAAAAAAGGACACGAGACGATAGTCACGCTATTAGTCAATACTGGGAAGGTTGACGTGGATGCTATGGTCAAAGGTAAGTCCCCGCAAGCTGCAATAGTTAGCCTTTTACACCCCGGTGGCCCTGGTGGTGTGGATGCAGACTCTATATTCCGTCGAGGAGACCAACTGGACTCGGCACTATCACTTGCAGTAAGATATGGGCATGAGGCAATTGTTGAATTCCTGGTCGGCGTTAGTCATGTCCATTTGGATTTCAAGTATGGATCTTATAGGTATGGATATAACTCCACACTTTTATCAATGGCCGAAGAGACAGGGCACAAGGGAATCGTTGGGCTATTACAAAGAGCTGGAGAATTACAGAGAGTGAAGGAATCAGAGACCGATATAAAAAGCCGGGAGAAACGGAGTTTAGTATTACAGACAAGAAGGATGATTACTAAGATAATAAGAAAGTAAGCGAGGAACAGTTTATATCAATATCCTTACGAACCCGGGACTGGCTTAGAGCTGCCAGGTCCAAACTGTGCGCCGAAGCCGAGCAAGATCCTTTCCTGAGTGTTCTTCCCCCCTTCCTCCTTAGCGCTGAGTCTTCCCGTCTGAGAATGGATCGCAGGCTGTGTGGGTTGAGGAGAACCGCTGCGAGCCTTGGTGCTCCAGGTTTCGGCCTCGACACTGCCACCTGATATTAGTCTTCTGGGTTGAAAGAGTAATAATAACGATAGCCAGGAAGATGTTAATGGACACAAGTTCGTGGCATTTCGTGAAATGGCAGTGAATTTCCAAGAGATGGTTCGATAGCCAGAGACGCTGTGGAAAACGGTTTTACGTCGAAGGTGATGGGGTTGTGTAGCTAAGAGACAGGCGCAGAGTAGTGGGATCTAGTACTTGGAAAAAGTCTAGGGACGAGATGGACAACACAAGGAAACCAGACCGGTTCTCAATGGAGAGGAGGAAAATGGCATGGACTTGGTAATTCAAAAGTGAGATGAAAACCTTTCGGCTTGTTGTCAGTCTTGACAGTATGTAGTAAATAGCTTCAGACATCTAGAGGCGGTCATCTGCCTTCTAGGAACATCCAGATCATATCTCCTGACTTGGTCGGCAGACTAATAGGGAGCAGGCATTGCCAAATGGATCAAAGGTTGAAGCAGCAAGATATTATGATCAAACGAGGCCCCGGCTTTTGTCGTCAAAGAATGTCATTTGGCCAGTGAAGATTTGCTAAAAGCCGCGAGTGTAACTAATTGGTCTCTGTAAGACACACGACTCTGCATATCCAGCCTTCTACTTCTTCTTTTTGCCCTTTGTAGATACACTGGAGGGTGGTGTAAGTAAACCAGAAGCCATCAATTTCGAAAGTAGCTTCTTGTGCTTTCCCGTTAGGGAGCCAAAGTCTTTGATGTTGACGTTGAACTGTAACGACGACAGTTGGCTTGCAGTCCCACTCTCACTCGCTGCCGCATTGAAGCTCACTGAAGAAATCGTCTCCCAATCCTCATGATGCACCAGGTTGGCTGACTTGATCTGGCTCCGCTCCGAATCCTCCTTCATGTTCTGCACATAGTTGTAGTCGAGGAACTTTGGCTCGCCATCCTTGTGTAAGTGCCGCAGCCCATACTCGGCCATGATGATGCCGCAAATCGTGCGTGCAGAGGTCTGCAAGTTCATGCGCACCGCCTCCTTCGCCGCTGGCTTCAGCTTCTTGTAGCCTGTCATCTGAGCGTAGTAGCCTCTGCTCGGCTCGTGGAAGAAAAGCTCATCCCAGCGGTCGTTCCACTTGCCGAGCGTGGTGCCGTTGGCGGTGCCGCCGACAGTGCAAATGCGATGGACCTCGTCCGTCAGCGACACGGTGAAATTGTCCACGTCAATACCAATCTTGTTGAACTCAGCCCGATATTCTTGTGGGTAAACGTGATGCAACTGCGTGCGCTCCCAAGTCACAGATAGCAAGTTACGCATGCTTGCCTCCCCTTGCGCTATGGATGCTTCTGTAGCTTGGATGGGTGCCGTGGTCGCTGCAGCATCGCGCTTTTCATGGATCTTTTTATGGCGCAGTGCCTTCCTCCTATCGCCATTGTCTGGCTTTTGTATCTGCTTAGTGATTGGTTTGAGAAGGTTCTTCTTTGAGTTCTTAGTTTTGACTGTCTTTCCTAGACCGGTTGGATCCGAGTACGTGGTAGGCTTGCAGCTGACGTATGTAAAGACATTCATATCATCCTCGATGCCCGCGGGATCTGCGGAGATCCAGCGGCCGAGCCATGGTGCATAGTATCGAGCTTCTGAATAGTAGAATCCATTCTCTTTATCTCGCTCCTTGCTGGACCAACGGAATCGTTTTGGTCGCTGTGAATCTTGCATCTGAAAGGTTGTGTTACCGTAAGCGGAGTACTCCTCGTACGAGACCAAGATTCCATTCTCGTCCACTTCGATGCTCACTGCGTCCAGATGATCACTGATCTGGTATCTCACTAGACGACCAGGATTCCCTTCACCAGTCCAGTCTTCCAGTAGCGCGATCCGACCATTGGATCCACTGATATGATACGTCTCATTTTGCAAAACAGTGGTCGTTCCATCGCCAGCGTACTTGCAAAATAGCTCGTATTCGCCCATATAGAGCCATTCCTTCAGCTTCCTCGGGCTATCCGATCTCGCCGATCCGCCTTGGCTTTTCTGCCGCTCAATGACCTTGCGAATCCTTGTGCCTTGGCTGTCATAGACGTACCATGTTCGTTCTGGTATTGCACCAAGATCATCTCTCACAACTTGCCTAGTTGTAGTCCGAAGCTGTTGCATAGCGTCCCATTCCATGTTCGCGAGGTGCGGCATTGACGTGAGACATCCAAATTGGCCGCCTTTGCCATCATAACCGTACCTCTCGATGGTAGATCCCACTTGTGTACTACTAAGTCGATTGCCAAAGCGTTCGGGCTCAAGTGCACTCTTCTCGTCATAGACATATGTTCGAGTCCATGCCTTGCCTTCATCTTCAGAAGCATCATGCTGGATGGAGACAATGTTGTTGGTGGAGTCGTACTTGTAAGACTCAAGATAGCGACTCATGGGTATTCCATCTCTTGGCGCATCTGATGTGGCATCAAATGTCTGGAAGGCGCCTGGGCAAGCCAGCGCGACGTTTGAACCCCCAGGTCCAGATCCGTTGTCGAGTTGCTCGCGACCTGACGACTCGATGAGACGATATGTTGGGTCATAGGTATACTTGGCATCGGGGGAAACAACCCGGTTCCGAAAGAAAATATCTTGCTGCGCGTTGTTGCGTATGAGTGTGATGTTTCCAGTTGGGTCGTATGTGTACTCAAGGTTTTGCATCACTTTCGAAGCTCTTGTAGCGGATGGAGATACAGTCTGGCGCTTCCTCAACCTCAGTGTGAGAGTGTCGAACTCGTTGGTCATAATCTGTCCATTGCCATAGTGAATGGCCGTTGCGTACGACAGCTCGTTATAATCCACCCCAGTAACATATTTCTTCCACAAGAGGTCTCCAGCCGGGCCCTTTTCTCCTCTCACGTTAGCCTCTATCATGTCAAGAAGCCCGGCATCATTGTAACTGTATCGCGAGGCACTCCCGTCTGAAGCCTGGGAGTAGGTCACCTGGCTAAATGCATTTTGGTGAGTTCTGTCCGTGTAAGTATCTGGTAAAAGAGCGATGTCCGTTGGGAAATTCCAGTTCAGAGTCGATCTGTACTCGACCGCAAGCTGCCTCTGCCGGGTTATCGAAACATCTGCAAAGTCGTATTCAAGATACGTTTCAACTCCGGCTTGGTCGTAGATTCGGAAGAGTTGTCCTCTAAAATTCCTTTCTTCGGGTCTGGATTCGCTCTCTCCATAGGTTTTCATCTCATACAGAACCTCTGCCTTTTCTCCTTCAATAAGGAACTTCTTGGTCTCTCGACCTAGAGCGTCAAACTCCTTTCTCCACGTCTGATCTTGGCCCCGCCACATCAAAACAGCTCTGCCCATGACATCGTGAAGCGTCCACAAGCTTGAAGTGTCCATAGTCTCTTCCAGGACGTCGTTACCAGCCATGTCGTAGGATCTCCGTTCAATCAGCCGGCCCTTTGCGTCTCGTGTCTCTCGCGACAATCCTTTTGCATCGAAAAGGCGGTATGTAACGAATTTCTCATTGCCATTGTCCTTAATCCACAAGAATTCGTTACCCATGGAATCCAAGCAAACTGTCATTGGTGTGTTGCTATGTTTGGCCGTCTTGTCTGCCGCGTCTTTCTCTGCCGTTCCCAACGCTCCCATCTTCCTCTGGTCATACCAAGTGGGTAGATATTCGTTGTCAGGCAACCTTTGAAAATAGCTGCCAACATCCTCATCCCCCTTGGAATCCATCAGCACGGTATCGTTCGAATCGTAGTGTGTGGTATCCCACGATCCGTAAACTACCTTGGTCCATGTATGGCTCGGCGTTGCCGTTGCTACGAGTCTGTTCAGCGCATCAAACATGAAGTAGGGACTAACACCGGCTTTGTGTTCGCTCTTGAAGGCGTGTGATTCATCAAAAAACGGGTTGAAAACGCGTATGGCGTTGCCCTTGTTGTCGAGTACTTTCCACGCACTGCCAATCCAACGAGGAGATAATGGAGTGGATGAATCGCGCTCAGCAATGGTCTTGGTCTGGATCGATCGACCAAAGCCATCGAAATAGGTGAACGAACACGATATCCTAGATTGCGATCCCAGCGGGACTTCGTGAACATGCGTAGCCCTACTAATCGTGGAAGCGAAGTTTGGGGTTGATGGGCCCTTTCCTCTGTAGTACTGATCGAGGTCGTAGACATAACGCACGGTTGCGCCTTTGAGAAGACTCGAAGAGTACTTCAAAGGCTCTGCAGCAAAGTCTGCCGCCTCATGCTCAGACAGTTCCGGATGAATGCCTTCTAGGGAATCTCCAATGTTTTGTGAAATTTTCCCCATGAGTGCAGAAGCCACCAAGCGCGCAAAGCAGTCATAGATATAGCCAGTCCGGTTTCCATTTGGATCTGTCTCAAGAACTAGTTTCATAGCTCGGTAGTTATGCACATAGTGAGAAACGTTACCCAGAGCATCGGTACTGCTCGTTTGGTTGAGGCTATAGCTGTCAAGCTCAATGAGAGAGGAATTCCCAAAAGGATCTGTCAATCGTATCGGTGTAAAGAAGTGTTTTTGGGCAGACTCCAACTCAATACATGGTGTCGCAGCTGGGTCGATGTGGTAGTATAGCTGTGCAGTTGGTAGCCACCACTGACCTTCCTCCTGTAGGGATTCGTATTTGCATTTATTACGCAGGATGTCTTCTGGATTCGGGATCAAGGACTTTCCGTCACGCTGATATCTTTCGAGAAGCTCTGCCGTCAAGCACAGTGTATAAGATCTGCCCTCAAGCGCCATAGACTCCAGCCTGCCAAGGCTTAGGAGATCTGTAAGATCGTTCTTGCGATACAGGGTAATCTTCTTGGCCATTACACGTTTGACGAGAGCATCCTTGGGAATTGGACTTTCGAAAGGAACCTCGCTGAACTTATCAATAACGAAATCTCCAGGATGAAAGCGCGTTTCGCCATCTCCAAGATAAATACCAAAGAGCTCATACTTTGATACAGAACTCTGGAGTGGCGTCCGGTATTCGGGCCCCTCATTAACGACATTGGTATATGTCCCGCAATCGACAATCATGCAAGTTGTCTCTTGCAGCCTCTTGGGTTCCCCAGTCAGAGCTGTCTTTCCCTTTGCTCGTCCGTACGCAATCTGAACAGAGTTGAGAATATTCCCATAGTCGTCGATGGCGAGAACTATGTTATGCTGAATACGCTGATCATCCAGGGCTCGCTCTGAGCTATAGGAGATCTGCACGGCGATCTTTTCTGGAAAGCTGGAAGAGCTCAGACTACGCCATCCCACTAAAGAGGTTTCTAACGCGCCACTGACGGAGCAAGACTGTTGGTTATTGCAGTCTTACATCCGTCTCTGGCGTAAGACAGGATGGACGTTGCAAGACCTCGACTGCGCAGTTGTCTCGTTTGGTACTGGCGACGCAGCCAGCGGCCTGAACATCACTGCCCAGACCATTACTTCACTGGCAGCTGTTCAGCGCATCTCAACCCTGACAGGTCTTGAGATCTATCAACTAATGCCTTTCTGGGGCATTATTGATACCAACGGAGACAAGTCACTTTATGCGAGGCTGTTCTTGAGAGGCAAGGCTGGCCGGAAGGACCCTGTTTTCGGACCAGACGATCAAGGGCGATACCTTCAGGCTGGCGCAAGTCTCCAAGACAACAGAGCGCCATTACTCTCAAGACTCGGACTCACGGAAGAAAGCTTTGCGGCTATCTTAGCCGCTGCTAAGGTCACCAATGACAAACTTGATTTGGCTAATGTCACCACTATTTATCGTATAACTACTTTTTGTCAGATCCTTGGGATAAGCCCAATCTACTTTGAGTCGTTCCAAGCACTACTGGACTCCGATGAAGCTGTTTTTGTTGCCCCCCACGGTACACTGAGAGTTATCAAGGAGTTTCAAGAGTGCGCAGATGCCGGTCTCAGCTCGGAGCAAATGCTTTTCTTCACAAACAACGACAAAGTCTTGCTCTCGAAGAATGTCAACTCGGGGCTCTCGATTCAGCAAATCGCAATTGCTGTATCCGATATCATCACGAGCCTCCAGACTAGCTACGCGGGGCTTCCGACGATCAATAGTGACACAACTACAGCTTCTGCAGCCGATGTCTCCGCCGTTTCAACAAAGATGTTTGCTCCTGCCACTGTACAGCAAGTAATGGCGTTTCTTCAAAGTGAGTTCTCTACACAAGCGACGAATTGCTATCGGTGACTAACAATAGTATTTAGTGCTCCCCGGAACAGACCTGACAGATCAGTCAAAGGTGTACAATGATATTCTCCGTCCCTTCTTCAGTGACACAAAAGCAGCCCATAAAGTCTTTTTTGAGCAGCCAGAACCAAGCGGAACGGAGGAGGAGAAAGCCATTGCCAAAGAAAATAACCTTGAATCTCGACGCGTGTTTTTTTTGAAAGCTGTTATTGAACCACTTCAAGCCCGGATTGCCAGTGACACTGTCCTACAGGTGATCACTCCTCTCTACGTGGAATCAGACCCCACTGTTCTTGGCCACCTACTCGGGACTATCATTGGACAATCTGATGATGAGCCACCACTTGCGAAGGTGGTGGAGAAGATACTAGGTGATCTCGGGGCCTCTAATGAGGCGGCGTTGAAGAAAGGCTCGTCAGATGTCTTCTTCATACCATTGAATGTCGACCTATACCGCTTCTTCGTCCCGGACACAAGCTTGGAAAAGGCCCCCATCGTTACTCTGGATACGACAGCCCTTGTGTTCAGCAAAGACGTAGGCGGTTGGATTTCGAACGAGATACGCCTATCGAACGGACAAGCGTACAATCTGCGCCGCTCTAATGGCGGATTGACAGAGTGTGCCTATTCCACTCCGCGAAGTCCTAGACAGGCTTTTCCTTCCAACACTCTACTTGCACACGATACTATCACGTACGCCCAAAACTCTCTAAACCTGTTGTCGAGAGCTGCTGGCCTGTGTACCAGCTTCAAGCTGAGCATTGATGAGTTGCAGTTCTTCCAGAGTCGGGAAGTAAACACTGATCTTACGATCGACTTGGGGAACATTGACTGGAAAGCTTTGCAGCTAGTGCAACGGTACAGAACTCTTTCAAGAAGAACAACAGGGACTACGAGCCTTCTATCTTTCCTCAAATGGGCCTGTGTGTCTCCTCGGGATGGCACTCTGATAGCACAGCTCGTCAGGCTCACGAATGTATCCCAAACGCAGATCAAAGATTACACAGCCCAAAGGTTCTCAAGTCTAACTGAGGATCAGTTGGTACAGCGCTTCCAAGAAACTACGGAGCTCAAACACTTACTCGATAGTGTTGCCTTCGTGGATGGCACAGGTGTCCCTGGTTTGACGTTCCAGCTCTTGTGCACCTTGGCGACACCGGTACTTCCACCGACTTCTGCCACTGATTTTGATAATGCGGCCAAGTTGAGGCCGTTGCTCCAATCAACACCGGCCTCACCAAACGGGTCAGACCTGGAGACGAAAGTGAACAGTGGACTACGAGTGAACCAGAGGACTGCGCTGGTTAATTACCTGCTACAACATCCATACATCTCAGCGAAAGGTATTACGGATGCAGATGGCTTGTTTGAGTTTCTCCTGATCGATGTGCAAATGGGTGCCTGTTTGAAGACCTCCTGCATTAAACAGGCCATCTCTACCGTGCAACTCTATGTTCGAAGATGTATCCTGGGCTTGGAGAAGTCTGACCAGGTAGCAAGCAATACCGTCAACATGGATCGCTGGAAGTGGATGCAGGGATACAGGTTATGGGAAGCAAATCGCAAGGTCTTTCTTTATCCAGAGAACTGGCTTGACGCTAGTCTACGAGATGACAAGACAGAGGTCTTCAAGGCCCTTGAATCCAGCATCCTGCAGAACGATCTCGACAATGACAAGGTCGTTGATCTGATCAAGTCCTACGTGTACGGTGTGGATGGGATTGCCGATCTTGATGTTCAGGCTTATCTATGGAAGAAGGTTGAGGATTGGACTGGCACATTCCATTTCTTTGCCCGCACAAGAACCGCGCCTTACATATACTACTATCGACCCCTTGAGATCATACCAACACCTTCCGGTAGAAGTATCAAGATCTATTGGCAACCATGGACCAAGATTGATGTTGAAGTCCCTGTTCATGAGGTAGATGCCGACGGCAAACCTTTGAAGGAGTCAGGCTCATATCTCATCCCTGCCTTGTACGGAGACCGCATTTTCGTCTTCTTCCCACAGATTGCCCTCAAGACAGAGCCCAACGCAGCTGCTACAGACAGACCAATCAAGGATGTCGGTAACGAGAAAACTGGCTCGATGAAGGCTGGGAAGTACTGGCAGGTCCAGATTGGCTGGACAGAGTACCGCAATGGAAGATGGACACCAAAGCAGGTCTCACAAGCTACTCTAGACATTAGAGGGGCCCAGAGTACGGATTTCCCCATGCAGCAGGCAGGTTCTACTGCGCCTGGTAATGCATGGAATGAGGCGATGAAACTACCTGACGTCTCATCGTTCAAGTTCTGGATTCGGTCCAGGAAAAGCGACTCAATGCCCCCTGCTTCTTCGGGCGCTTTGGCTACTCCCGCACCCAGCAATGCTCCAGTTCCTAGTACAAGTATTTTAGTCATCGATGTGGAGCGTTGGGTTGATGCGGGCGCAGAACCCTCGATATGTCAACTATCCTCTGGGACGTTTCGAGATGCGTGGCTCGCAGGTTATCCTGGTCAACCTCGGAGCAGCTGATGTTTCACCTGACCCCTTCAAGAAACCCTGGCGATCAACTATTCCTACCAAGTTCGCTAAAATGTGGTGGCATATGGAGAAGGACAAAGACCCGGCCATTCCCGGTATAGCTATCGGCAGAGGCACCGGCGCCGACAAGGAGCCGCTGTTGGGTGTTGTTACGAAGCTCATGGATAATATTCCCAACAAGGATGTTCACTGGACGCTATCATTCAACGATTCACAAGCCAAGAATGCCACTGGATTTGTTCAGGACATTGTTACCACCGAAAGCACCATCTCCTACATTACCTATCCACCCATCGCGTCTTCTTCAACCTTTGCGTCCGATGTCTTCCAGCACACTCTGGACCGAGACCTGGTTTCCATGTCAACTATGTACAATGGGCTCGATCAAGTCTACGCCTTTCTTGGAAGTGTACCACCGGATGACACATATCTTGCCTTTGGAAAACGCAATGGTCCTGTCCACGAACTCTCAACCCCATATGCCCTTTACAACTGGGCGTTGGGCGCCCATTCCATCATGTTGCTCATGAAAAGGCTTCAGGTGACACAGCAGTATGATCTCGCTCTTCAAGTAGCGCATTTCGTGTTTGATCCAACCATTGATGGCACCAGCCTCACCAGCTGTTGGGTCTTCCCACCGTTTAAAGAGCTGGCGGCTGGTAAGATTGACTCCGTGGAAGATATCTTGAAGCTTCTTGAGCCATCAAGTGGTTCAGAGGAGGATATGAAGACCAGTATTCTTGAGTGGCGTAAGAACCCATTCAATGCTCATGTCGTGGCGCGAGGGAGACCTTTAGCCTACATGAGGCGCATCATCATGAAGTATGTGGAGATTCTTATCGCTAGCGGTGATGTCTATTTCCGGCAGAATACCCTTGAGACTTTACCACTGGCTATTCAGCGTTACGTTGAAGCATCTCATGTCTTCGGGTCAAAGCCTGTACGCGTGCCTAAGCTAGCAAAGCCTGTGTATAAATCTTATGCAGATCTCGACAAAGACTTTAACGACTTTTCCAACGCTGCCTTCGATATGGAATTAGACTTCCCTTTCTTCAGCGATCCTGCATCGCGTGGAGGAGTGACTATGGCCAGTGGCACTTTTGGTCTAACTGGTATTCTGAAGACCACGTACTTCTGTGTCCCTTCTAATCCGAAGCTTGTTGAACTTCGGGATCTTATAGATGACCGTCTTTTCAAGATTCGCAACTGCCAGGATATATATGGTGTCGTCCGAAGTTTAGCTCTCTTCGAGCCACCACTGGACCCTGCAATGCTAGTCCGAGCGACTGCCGGTGGCGTTGACATTTCCCAGCTGGTGAGCAGTATAGCAGGCCCCATGCCAAATTACCGCTTCCAGTACTTGCTCCAAAAGGCTCAGGAGATGTGTGCCGAGGTCAAGTCGATGGGTACCTTGATGCTGTCTATCAAGGAGAGGAAGGATGCTGAAGCACTAGCAAGTCTTCGAGCGCGGCAGGATAAGGTCATTCAGAATCTCATGATTGAGATGAAAAGAACTGCCAAGAAAGAAGCTGAATCGAGTATTGATGCCCTGTTGGAGACGCGCCAGGCTCAGGTTGCAAGACTGGAGTACTACCTTGCTCTGACAGGGAGTGATGACAAGTCTGCACCAGATGAGAATGGGGATTGGGAAGACATTGCACAGTCAATTGAGAAGCCGACCACCGATGATCTACGAATGACGTCTCATGAAAAGCTTGAGATGCAAAAGGCTGACGCCGCCTCGGATCTAAATCAAAAGGCGACTATTCTCGACGTTGCAGCTAGTATCATCAAGATTATACCAGACATCAACGAGGCAGCTGAGCCTCTTGGGGTTGGTGTATCTATTGACTCCATCACCAAAAACATCTGCGAGTCTATGCTGATCACTTCAAATGTGATGCGTGCCCAGGCTCAACACTTTGGCGACGAGGGTGCTCGCGCGTCGCGGACTGGCGGTCTCATCAAACAGCTCCAAGAGCGGCGCTTGCAAGCCAACATGGCTGGTCGTGACATCAAGGAAACTGACAAGCAAATCTTAACTGCGCGCATCAGAGTCGAGATGTGCGAGCGTGATATTCAGCTACAAAAGCAACAGGCTGAGTATGCTCGCGACACGGAGGAATGGCTGAGGACGAAGTACAGCAGTGAACAGCTCTACGCCTGGATGGATGGTGTCGTTCGGAATCTGTACCACCAGACCTATCTAATTGCCGACGATCTGGCGCAGAAAGCCCAGAAGGCGTTCCAGTTTGAAAAGGGTGATCAATCTGTCAACATTATCAGTCCATGCTACTGGGATGCTGGAAGAGATGGTTTGTTCTCCGGGGAAAACCTCTTTTTATCTCTCAAGCGGCTTGAAGCGGCATACATTGAACAACGCTTGCACGACTTTGAAATAGTGAAAAACATTTCGCTACGTCAGGTCCGACCATGGGCTCTGATCAACTTACGTGAAACTGGCACGGCAGAGTTTGACTTGCCAGAGGTCCTTTTCGACTTTGACTTCCCCGGTCACTATTGTCGCCGCATCAAGTCCGTCGGAATGACTATCCCATGTATTGTGGGACCGTACACCAGCGTCAATGCCACGCTGACACTCCTCGAACACCAATACCGCGTCAAGTCGGACGCCAAGGGCGCCCAAGACTATCCCCAAAAAGCGTCGGATGAACGGTTCCAAACAGACCAGGTGCCGATCACATCCATTGCTGTTAGCCACGGGCAGCAGGACAGTGGTGTCTTCAATCTTGACTTCAAGGACGAGCGATACATACCCTTTGAAGGCGCTGGAGCAGTTAGTAGATGGAGACTGGAGCTTCCGACTACCATCAAGCAATTCGACTACAACACTATTAGTGACATTGTCTTGCACATGAAATACACAGCTATTCGAGGCGGTGCTGCCTTTCGCAAAGCTGCGGCTGAATCTGCGGCTGCGTTCCAGAAGACAGCTGCTGGCCTATCGCTGAATGAAGGCATGTTTGCAGTGTTGGATCTTCCCAACGAGTTTCCGTCTGAGTGGTACCGGTTAGTCACGGCTGACAAGACCAAACCGTCAACTATGCCGCTTCTGTCTTTACAAGATCGTCTTCCATTCTTCACAAAAGGCAAGAATATCAAGGCAGAAAGCGTGTCTGTGCTTATCGAGTCGTCGGGTATCAATCTGGAAGAGGACATCACCTTGACTGCTTCGAGTCCGCTGAAGCTCAAGGCCGGAACTAGCAATGGGTCCTACCAAGTTGCTGCCACATCCCCAGATATAAAAGAAACTGTCAAAGATTGGAGTCTGACCTTATCATCAAAAGCCATGAATGCAAATATTTCTCGAGTTTTGATTTTATACAGGTATATTTTAGTATAAGTAGTGAGTCTCTTCGCTTCGGTACCGAGCAATGAGGCGACAGGCTAAAAACCTCGGTATTACTAAATAAATACAATCAGTTAGTTACATAATAAGAGCTAAGTCTTTTAAAACTTAGCATAATACCTACTACAGTAATGCTCTCGATTTGCGCTGTTAAATCTTTAAAATCTGTTTAACGTACACGATAACCGTGCGGGACAGATAAGTGTGCGGGACACCCCACTTTTCACCTTAAAGATAGGTTTTTAAACACTTATAAAACTTTCAATTTAAGATTAAACTAACTAAAAATTTAATAGCTTATATATAAGTCCTTAAATAAACTATATTAATTTTCTTAGAACTTTAGAAAAATTCCTTATAGCTATAAACCTTAAAGTCTATTTACACTGTATAATATACTATATTTTTAAGGTTTTCTATATAAAATAAAATCATTAAAAATTCTGTAAAAATATTCTCTTATTAAGCTAACTATACTATATTAAGATATAATTTTATTAGAATTTTTACTATTTTATTTAAGGTACCTAGGTCTTATAGCGTAGGCTATTTTTTGCTATACAGTATACTGTCCCGCACGCTTGTCTGTCCTGCACGCTTATCGCGTACGTTATAACTTTATTTTCAGTTAAGCGGAATCTTATTGGCTACCTGTTTAATCTAGGGTATCCGCCCTGTATAACTCTGACCCAGTTCCTTATGGCCGTGTCAACTTCGCCGTTTGACCTACCTCTGTTGTCGTGCGTCTACGCGAAGGCGTCTGCGATAGGTGTACTGTAACACTGGACCAGGTAGTCGAACTGATCAGAACCCAATTCCTTTATCGGCCTTAGTCGTCTTTCACACTCTCTCATCTACCTATATATATACTAAATCATCCCAGAAGCCTCCAATAGTATATGATTCGTGGCTCATTGCAGTAAAGTAAGGCACTTTAATAACAGTACCACTAAGATAAAAACTGGAGTTCAAGCGCATGATAGAAGAGGACAAGGACGCTATCGCGAGTATTCTCGTGAGGAGGAAGCGTCCTGGGGCCAGCGTGTCTGACGTCACTATACAGCACGATGGTAAAGGCAAGCTCCTCCATTACAAGAAGCTTAAAAGACACTGAATCGGCAAAAAATCCTGTTTTGAACTCGCACCTGGATTATATATTCAAACTTAAATTAGCAAGGTTACCTTACCTCCATCCCGCTACGTTGGGCTATTTTCGCAGCGACTTATCCAAGCCGTACTGAACAGTCATTCTATCGAATCGCCGACGTACAAAGGGAAAGGCGCAAAAGCCCACAAAAGACATGAACACATCGTAAAGAGCGTTATCGCGAGGGCTCGGACCTCGCATGTTGTTCAACGTCAGGTCAGTTGTCAGGTCCGTTGTGATGATGTACCGTCCCTTCCTGATACCTTTGAAGATCTTTGAGGCTATTTCCTCGGCACTCTGTATGTTCTTAAGCAATTCTTCCCAGCCACGGTAGTTTGAACTTTCCATGTTCTTGAGAAGCTCTGGTTTCGTCGCCTGCTCCTGAATGAATGAATCCGTGATGAAAGCCCCTGGAAAAGCAATATGCACATGATACATGCTCTCGTCGCCGTATAGAAGTAGCTCTTGACGGAGCGTGTCTGCTAATGCTCGAACGGCGGTTTTCGCCGGTGTGTAAGCGGTGTATCCTGGGAGAGCAACAAAAGCGGCACCGGAAGCGATATATACCAAGCGTCTGGTGCGACTTGGTTCCGGATGCTGAATCCAACGCTGCACACACCACTGTGTGATGAAGAGGCAAGCATGGTAATTAGATGAAAAGCAGGTCGCAAGTGCTTTCGGTGCCAGGTCTGCAAGGAAACCTATCTGATCCGGAGTAGTGCCACCAACGCTACAAATCAGCATATCTGGCGTGACATTGTGTTCCAACATGGCATGTCTCAGCTATTTGATTGATTAGCTTAGGCTGCCAGGGATGTATACATGGGCTTGTCTTGCTCACAGCAGCGTGATCGCCAAGATCCACAGAAATAGTGTGAACAGTCTGCTCCTGCGATAGACGGGCGGCCATGATTTCTGCCTTGGCCTCCTGGAGGGTTTTCGGGTTTCGAGCAAGAATAATAACGCTAGCCCCTGCCAGTGACACCATCAGACTCAACCGACCACTAGGTTTGCGGTACTCAGGAACGTTTACCTTGTTTCGCAACCTTTATCGCCATGATCCTGCCTAGACCTCTGGATCCGCCTGCGATACATACCGTCTACTACAGATTCAGCGGGCTCGCTTTCCCCAATTGTTTGATAGGGAGGGCATACCTGGCCAATAAGTGTATTTTTGTCTGCCATTTTGGAAGTATCCCTTGACGTGGTTCCAAACTGGACGTTTTCATGAATGGAAAATGGATTTCGAGTCGGCGAACAGTACTAATAAATAGTAACATGGCCGGTACTGAATGCATGGGTCGGCCCTCCGCGGACTGGACCAAGGGGGGCGTCAATGGTTAATTATATATAGGGCTGGGCAACTCGGCTCCCTCGGGTCCCGGTCTTGTCTGCTACTAAACTGTAGTATAGTACCTACCTATTAATAAGTATAAAAAGAATTTTTATATATAAAATGAACTTTAATTAAGTATAAGAAATCTAGTAAAAATAATAAAATAAAAAAAGTTTTAAAAATAAAATTTAAAAAACCTAATAAGGCTATTAAAGAAATATATAAATTAAAAGTAATAAAGTTAAATAACTATAAGGTACAGATAAAGTATATCTTTATAAATCTAATTTATAAAGTATTTGTCTTTATAAGCTTTTTAATAAATGCTTTAAATTTAGGCCTAATGTTACTTAGTATATTGGGCTCCAGGCTTTGTCCAACCTGGCCTCGAGCGCTTATCTGGCTGCTATGAAAACTTGTCTCTTCTAAGGGAGCTGCGATCTACTCTCCGAGATCGCTGATCAGCTGTCCAGGGCGATAGAGGTGGGGTTACTGGGAAAGTAAGGGCAGTTTGTCGTTGAGTGATGGTAGCTGGCTTGCTAGCAACGTGATTCCAGAATTACCTGGCGAGAGCCGGCTACAATTCCCAGTATCTCTTCACCCTCATCACCCATTCGGCATCGTATAGATTGCCTTTCTTAGAAATATCTTGGAAGACATTGTAGACCTCTGGCAGGAGGTTGAGAGGAGCCTTGTTGGGACGAGAGCGTAGGCAGCGTGACCTGGAGCTGTTGGGCGACTGGATAATGATCAAGATCGGCGCATTGTTTCTTCTTGAGGTACTAAAGACCGCACACAGGGCTTTGTTTTTTTGGATTAGAGAGTGGTTCAATCCTCGCGGGAAACACACTGGCAGACCCCACCTTTGATATTGAGTTTGTCGTCATTGACCAGCTCGATATGTTCCAGCCACGAGTCTTAAGGTTGCTAACTTCAAACCTATCGCTCATCGAATCATACATGCTGTCGTAAATCACACAGAGGTTACTCAGCTTCCAGCTGCCGGCAAGAGCGACTGCCTTGATAGCACCGTCCTGCAGAAACTTAGTATCGTCGATGATGCACCAAAATATGTTGTCTAGCAGCTCCAGATCTGGTTTATGATAGAGCATCGTATGGTTTCTTATTACAATTGACTAGCCTATAGCACTTGAAATTGCTTGATTTGACGGACATGGAAGAGTCGTTGTTCTGGAAAAGGAGCTGGCAACTCCTAAAGTGTCAACGGCGACACCTTTCGCTGTAGTGAGATGCAGGGACAAGTCTCGCCATCTGCAAGCATAATCTGTAAGCATGCATGTCAGTTGTTGCAGAAATTTAGCTAGGTGCGCATCGGAACCTACGTCCTGATATGACTAAACGATCTCGGGCGGCGAACACAGTGAGCTGTTCTTCTCAATGGCTACAGAGAAACTTACAATCTTCTACTTAGTAGAACAGGAAGCTTTATCGGCCATCTCATATCAAAGGATCTAAGCTGCAGGTTATAAAACGAACTAGATGCTTATATACAACAGGTAACTAGGCAAACTGAGTTTGTGACTATATAATAAAGATTCACCTTGGAGAGAGTTTATCATCGACCTGACTAGTCAGACTATTTAGATGTCTTAGCAGACCCATCAAGTCCATTTTCCCTGACCAAACTGAGCTCATGTACTAAATTCTTACTGCCCGGTTCCTCTGAGAGCTCCTCCTTTCCATCCTCAACGCTATCAATAACGGGATGTCGTTGAGCGCGTTTATAAGCATTGAACCAAGAACCCTTGAACAAATAATCGATTTCCTCCACGCTCAGGCCCGAGATCTCTGGAACCATGAAGAAAACATAAATCAACGCAAGGAAGCACCAACCAGCAAAGAAGAGGAAAGCTCCCCAGTTATTAGTTGTCTTTAGGAGCGATGGAATGCTATATTTGACGGCGTAAATGAAGAGCCAGTGAAAGGTTTGGCTAACAGCTCCCCCGAAAGAGCGAAGACGGTTAGGCCAGAGCTCTCCTCCAAAGATATAAGGAAGAACAAAAAGACCTGCGACACACAGCCAGTCAATGGTATCCTGCAAGAATGTGATTATTGGACCTACCAACAGCATATCCGAAAGCGTGGAAGAAAACTGCAGCGATAGCCGCTCGAGACGCTGATGAGGACACAGGGCCTTCCTGATGGTACTTAATAAACACTCCGATGTAGAGGTGCGAGATAAGCTGAAGTGTTATCCCGATGAACAGAGATCTGCGTCTCCCAAGGGCATCAATAAAGAAGAAAGATGCAATCAAACTGAAAATGAACTTTGAGAAACCGTACATGCCGCTCAAGAACATACTCTCAGATGTACCTCCTCCTATGCCCATAATACTCATGATCGGGATGAAATATGATGTGACCGAGTTGGCACCCGAGAGTTGAGCTAGGGCATAGGAAAGCAGAGCTTGTTGGAGGCGGCGTAGATTAGAGGGGACAGTGAACGTCTCCTTGACTATGCCCGCGAAGCTGGATACGATCCCAGTGACCGAGTCTTCGATATCCTTGATTTCCTTTTGTAGGCGAGGGTGGTCGGCTGGTAGACGTCGTAGGTCCACTAGTGCAGCGACAGCGTCCTCTCGCTTACCAACCAGCATGAGCCACCGGGGAGATTCACTAACAAAGAAGCTAGCAACAATAGCAAAAGCCATAAAAATAGCGGGCGAGAACCAGACTATCTGGTATTGTAGCTTGCTGGAGGACATGTGCAAGAATATTCCATATACGGAGAAGATCGAGGTGAACAGGGCGATACCCATTACAACTGTATACCAAGCTGTGAGCAGGCCTCGGATCTCGCTGGGTGCGAGTTCGACGATTGACATTGGCCCGGTAACACTAAGGGAGCCGATACCAATACCGGAAATAATTCGTGCTGCATATAAGGCAGACCAGCCCGGAGCAACACTCGCGATGACTTGGCCAATGATCCAGATAGCCGTGTACAAACGAAACGACCAGCGGCGGCCGATGCGGTCGTTGATGAAAAAGGATAAAGCTGCACCGATGGCATACCCGATGTAAATAATTGAGATGAAGTTTTGGATATCATCGGCTTTGGCACCTGATTCGATGTCGAACTGTTTTTGGAAGCCCGGCAGCGATGGAACGACGGAAGATGATCCCTGGTCCCAAGCTTGATATCGTCAGTCCAATGACACCATGAGAAACATTCCAAGACAGTAAAACTCACTTGTTGGAAGACCGGCCAGCGCATAGACTGCGCAGGAGAAGAGCAGGGTACGATTGACTATTAGGTCGCGTGGAGTTGCTTTTATAGATCGGGCATATTTTGCGAGAACTGACTCGGTAAAAATCTTGGTGATAGCCATGTCTGGTCACGTATGAGGCAATGCTGATCAGGTTGTTGAAAGAAACGAGATGAACGTTCGGGGGATCATCAAGGTCTATTATAGTCTTATATCCAATACTGTTATCTCTCCCATCTCAAGTGCAAGACTTTTGTTTGTGTGATATTCTAATCGGAAGGGAGCTGTTATCGGGTAAGCTGTAAACCATTGAAGGATAACCGGAAGAATACGAGCGCCAATCGGAAGCGGTCGAATTAGCTCGCACCGTCCGGAAACCTCCGGATTAACACCTGGCCTCGACTCTGGCCATCCTCCCCTCCTCAAAGTTAAACACATTCAGTCCAAGAACATCCGGCCCGGATTGCAATGCAGCAGATCGCGAACAGAAGCCGCCGGCCTGGGGCTCTCAGGCGACGCCGTGCCCCAGGTAGTAGAGCACATCAGGCTTGCCTCCACTGCAAAGAAAAGAAACTCAAGGTATTTCAATCGTGGGTGCTTGGGTGACAGGTACAATGACGCTGAAATGTTGTAGTGCGATGATAGAGTCCCGAGCTGTGGTCACTGCGAGCGGCTGGGCATAAGTGAGCGTTTTGCAGGAGGACAAGAGTTCGAATAGTTGTTAACCACCTATACCAACAGCTTGCTTAGTCCTGGATCCACATTCCAAAAAGTCACGACCTCGAAATTATCTCGAGATGCTCGAGGGACGCGTCGCTGGCCTACAGAGTCACGAGCAAGCTACTCCACCTCAAACGACACCAGCTGCAGCCAGTAACGACGAGTGCACGTCGTCAATTACTTATACACCCGAGGGTCGCGATGGGGCCAGCGACTTGTCTTCCAGAGTGGGCATGCTGGACTTTCGCACCTCTCAGACGGAGCCGCAGTACCTAGGCTCATCATCTGCATTTGCATTTTCCCGTATTATTAACCTTTCTCTCAGCAGCAATCTCCCCAATGCGCCTACACTGGGACAACTCAGCGACGGGCGTAGCTCGCCGTCTCCGTGCTTACTACCAGCCTACGATGTTGCCGTCAAGTTGAGTGATGCCTATTTCAAGCATATCCATCCCCAGTATCCGTTCCTGCATGAGCCGACTTTTAGAAATTGGGAGGCAATGCTCTACGATTCGTCTCAAGACTTTACTGAGACTGGGTTCTCTTTCGCACCGCTGTTCTTCCTCAACATGGTAAGTCGGAGCCTCTTGTTCGGCCTGATTCGTCCGAGGCATAGTGCTGATGGAATGCCATGTTCTAGGTATATGCTGTCGCAGCATTACTTTTACCAAACACTCAGTCTCTAGCCGGTGTAAGTCATGACTTCCCTCTAGCGTCAAGTATCGGTCAAGCTGATTTTCAGCAGCAACTATACATCTCTGCTCAACTATATACCGACGTACTTTCGAAGGATAATATTGAATCCATCCAGGCTCTGCTATGCTACGCCATGTACTCCCTTCGCTCTCTTGAAGGACCATCCTTATGGTAGGAATATTCCAACTCTCTGGCTATGATGACGCTGAATTCGGAGTTAGGAAGCTCTCTGGTATGGCAATGCGACAATGCATCGAACTAGGATATCATCGCGGCGTTAAACAGTTTGCATCTGCTGCTAATGTACTCCAACAAGAGATGCGAAGGAGGGTCTTTTGGGTCGCCCAGGGAATCGACTGCACTGTTGCTGTTCGGCTGGGTCGGCCTTTAGGTATTCCACCTCAAGAAATTGATGCCGAGGTGTGAAATTTCCAATGCGTTATTATCTCATCGTGCTGACAAAACACTCCTAGTTCCCGTCAGATGTAAATGACTCCGCTATCACCGAGACTGGTATCTTGGGCTCTCCAAGGAACGATTCCAGCCAGCCACTGACTGAGCTGTCTACAGCTATTCACGTCTTCAAACTGCGTTATATCTGGGCTCGCATACATACATCACTGTTTTCGGATACCGTCCGCCTAAGCGTTGAGGATCACACGTACCATGCTCGAATCGAACAGCTTAGAGTAGACCTGGATACGTGGTTCGCGAGTGCGCCTGCAGCACGCCCCCATGTAAGCGACGACTTATCCATCTTTACCAAAAGAGCATGGTATGAAACAAACTACAGCCACACAATACTTGTCCTCTATAGGAGTCTACTAAAGGAGTATAAAGAATCGCTTAACAAGGTCTTTGAGGACTCCATTGAGGCATCTAGAAACATCTGTCAAACCTATCGTCGATTATACATAGGCACTTCTATAAGGTACACATGGGGCACTCTGCACTGTCTGTTCTTAGCAGGGTTGACCTATTTGCACTGCCTGTGGACGTCACCGGTAGCATGGGAGTCGGTTCGACCGGAGGATGTTAGTAAGACTTGTACGGATTGTACAATGGTGTTGGTAGCGATAGCCGAGGGCTGGCAGGCTGCTGCGCCATATCGCGATACATTCGAGGCTCTAGCGAATCGTGTCATCTCAATGGTATTCAATAAGAACCGTGCCGTGCAGGCACCTTTACCTCCTCCAAGAGAAAATGAAACTGGGGATCAGAGCCAAGATGCATGGGGACACTGGATGAATGATTTAGTAGATGCCGGGGTTTTAGAAGGGGTTGATGGACTTTTGGAAGGTTTCATTGATGATTTCACAACACGGGTCGATCCGTAAAGGGAAAGATAACTTGATTTCGATGATATTCTTGTTATACAAAAGCCAGATGTCTCTCGCGACAATGGCAAGTCATTATAGCAAACTGACTGATATCAACGTTCCTTTGCTGAGGCATCTGGAGGGTTTTACCCTATTCCATCGGCAATGGTCATTCGGAACATCCAGTTCATATCTGGGGGAGCGAAGAGAATTGGCCATTGTAGCGGGTTACTCTACTGACCCTTCGTATTCTTCCGACCTGCCATCATACAAATCCAAAGTGCTCGACCGTGTATTCCCATGTGACTCATGCATATTCCAGTCAGACCTTGTTAGCTGCCGGGAAGCATCCTTCCGTAACTCATATTACAGCAGCGAATACATTGCATTGTATCTTAGCTTGCGTGTATGTAAATATTGTCTACCTTGCTTGACTTGCCGATTTGTCTCTTATGTCGCTAAGGTATTCCATTTACTGGAGGCTTTACTAACACACATGGGATCTGGAACAGCTTAATTGGGATGTAAAATCGATTTGGCAGGGATGGGTAACTATTGACAGAACCTAGAGTTTTGCATTATCTTTAAAGCGATCCAATCGATAGTCTTCCAGCATTGGATCTTCAATACCGAAGACCACCTTGTCAGCTAGGAGCTCACCAACCAGTGCGGCATTCGTTACGCCAGAGTGCATCACAGCCAGGTCAAGCCCTTCTAAGCCCGTGGAACCGAGAATGGGATATCCATCGTCCGGCTCAGGTCGTAGACCAATAGTATAATGGCTAAACTCAAGTTGATCTCCATTCTGAAACACATGTTGTACTTGATTGAAAAGATCCTCTGCTGTTGCCTGCGGGTCGTCACCGGGCTGTCCGCCAGCGAAGGATGCGCCGAAGAGGATGTGCCCATCCAGGGTTTGGCGCATATGCAAGCCTGGTAAGCGGAGCAAGGTATTGAGATACCGCTTTTCCGTTGGGGCGGTGTTGACGAGGAGACCCTCTCGACCACTCAAGGGAAGTTTGATGTTCTCTGTTGCCAATAGTGGAACACTTCCAAGACCAGCGGCTAGAACAACGTGACTGCCATGCACGTGCCCAGAGTCTGTTACTACACCCGAGACTCGACCCTTGTCGTCCCTGAGAAATCCAGTGGCAGTCGCCTCAAGCACTTTAGTTCCAAGCGATTGGGCGTAAGCAATCAGCTTCTCTGCGGCGGCGTGTGCTTCGATGGTGCCCTCTTCGGGAACATGTAGGCCCCATTTGACCAAAGAGAATTGGCCCTCATCGACTTGCGGTTCGAGTGCAGCAAGGTCGGTTTCTTCCATGCGCCTGATGTTTGTACCCCAGAGACGCTGACATTCATAGAACTCTTGGCGCTCTTCAGGAGTTCTGTCGCAAGCCAGGACACCACCCCAACGAATCGGGAGATCCGGTAACTCTTGGCCTATTTCAGCCCAGCGTGCCATAGAGCGACGTCGGAAGTCATAGTAGAATTTCTGCGTTGCACCAGCTGCGTTAAGCCAGCAAAATGACTTGGTGGTCGCTACCCCGCCGATTGCCTCTGCAATAAGAATGACATCCTTCTTCTTCTTGGCTAGGTGCCATGCAATAGAGGCACCAACAATACCGCCGCCTATGACGACAACTGGAGCGGATTCAACGTTCATGGTGATGCCTCAAATCAAGATACTCGTTGCGTGAGAGCTGTTAATCTTTGCTTAAATTTAGAACCGCAATTTCTATTATCTTGGGGCATTATTATAGTTATGAGAAGTAATGGATGCACTTTTGTGAATATGTTGTTTTCCGGTGGTGGCTTTCGGGACTTGTCTCAAGCCGGAAGAATACGACGCTTTACGAGATCGGAAGGATACGTCGGAAGTCAAAGTCGGAAGATACCAGAACTAGCACCCTTGCCGCCAGATTTCTATAGCGTTGCTATGAGGCTTTGCCTTGAGCCTGATACATGTGACACGGATGTGTCTAAGCGAGCTAAAATGATTGGCCTCTGTAGCCCAGCAGTTCAGTTTGCAATTATAGATATCGCGGTCGCAAATGTCTGATACAGAGTTTTAAATAGCACCAGTACTGCAGAAGTCAAGGAGGTGCTGGCATAGCCGGCATGGAGCATGTTTTGACCATGGCCAACGATTCGAGGGACCTTTTGTAAGTCTTGGGCCGTAGAGTGAGAAGAGCTCTTTTCTACATGTCGCAATGGGGTTCGAAAAGGTCGTCTCCAGCAAGGGGGATGATTAAACCGTTCCATGATTTGTAGGTTCTTGGGCTATGAACGTGCTGTAGACAGAAACTTTCGTCCTAGAATTTACTGTACAGCACACGTGTAACATCAACTAGGCAGGTTCCTAGCGCACCCAAAGACTCTTTAAGACCCTCATACTACTGGAGGCCACTCCTAGTAAGAGTTAAGGTAGCTGATCCTATTTATCACATTCTAAGAACTATTTACATAGAGTCCACACAATGCAACTTCCCTTGTCCATAGGTCCTCTAGCCCACAACTTAGACATCGATATCAGCGGTATTTAGTTCATAAGTCAGACCCAAGGTTAGAAATATACTTCTGTTACAACACAATGGGTCAATGTGCCAGGATGATACAGCTCGCACTGGCCATCATTAGGTACCCACATTCTGCGCGAAATTCCAGGGCCTCGCGACAACGCACAGGTCGGCATACCAAGCCCGGGCAGGAAAGACGAAATCATCAGGATGGGCGGCGGAGGGGAGAAGGGGGAAAGAATCGGGAGAGGCACAGACCGAGGTTTCGTATTTCATCCCCCGGCTAGCCACGTGAGTCCGACCTTTGGCGTCTAAATCATGGTTGCGAACCTTCTCTTTTCCTGCACCACTGGCTGAGCCTCAAGTCGAGCACAGCCTTCCATTTCGTTGACTAGTGTGGATTATAATGGCCCTAACTGAATATAGAGTTGATGTAAGGCCTTCTGTATTTTATTATACTTTCGGCTCGGCATTCCGGCAGTTAATACGGTTTATGAATACGATATTTAGAGGCTGACTGCTTGTGTAAATCATCAGTTGCTATCAACCCTAGCAATGACCAATTGCTCCTAAACTCCGATACCGTGAAAAGAATCTGAAGTCCAACTACTGCTGTGCAATTCGGGTATCCGAGATGCTATGGTTTGAGAACTCTTTGATTTCCTGAAACACCAGCTCAATAGGTGTCGCATCCCTTATCGAAAGATCCATTGATTGTATGTCCAATAAAAAACAAACCAACAATTCCTCCTTCGCTGCCAAAGACAGTCGATCCTGAGTCTCCATGGGAACAGAACTTCCCTGGGCCCCCTGGCTGGATAACCACTGCTGTCGTAGTGCTGCGTACAGCGTCATCAAGATGGGCATCATTGGCAAGTTCAACATCTTCCTGGTCGTGAGAGTAATCCCCAATGGTCCCCTTTGTGACAGTTCCGAACTTGTAAACATGGCCAAGGTCTTCTGGTCTCTCCAGTGATCGTGATGGATTTCCGATTGACTGGCTGTAGGTACGCAATGGCTTAGCGTCTTCTGATATATCAATCCAATCGTCCACGCCTGGAAGACAATTAGACCATGCTCGGGATTTGTCAACAGAGATCAAAGCCCAATCCATCCTTCGCCCATCAGATGTGCGTAAAAAGCTATGGCAAAGAAAGATCTTGCTAACGGCCTGTTTACCAGCTTTAAAGAAGGCCATCTTTCGTTGCATCTCAGCCTTCAAAGTCGTGATCCTGGACCTGAGCGTAGTTATAGTCCTCATATGCTGCTGGCCATTGGTGGCCTGGAAGTGCGCTACTGACGTCTCCATACCGGCAATGGCATCTTGAAGGGAAGTTATAGTGAAGTTATGCTTAGTCCGAGATGAGCTTTCCATACCATGAGCCTGGGACTTGAGGTTGTGTCTGTTCCCCGTTGAAAAGAGGGTCCTAAAATAAACTTAGTGCAGATTTCCCCTAAGCTTAGGCTCTAACTCCCTAAACTTAGGCTCTAGTCCCCTAAGCTTAGGCTAATTTACCTAAATCTTTACATCATTTAGGATCAAGGTCCTGAAAACTGGACAATACCAGTGCAGCTCCTGGCACCACGCATGGGCAGCCCCTCAGAGAATTTACACCTGACTACCAGCATTGTAAAAGTAAAACCACTGGTACCCGAAGGCCATAGAGTTCCTGCAGGTCAAGGAATCGAACGTGGTTTGTGTAGTAGCAACCCTGCTTTACCAGAGAATGTTCTGTGGTTGTCGAGAACACGGAAACGTATGCCTACAGCCTTAATGTCGCGTTGTTAGAATCGCAACATTGTATCCTGACGATGAACTCGTCGTTGACAGCGCGACCGACCAGAACAGAGGCACTAGCTACTTCGCGTCTCCAGTTTCGAGAGAATCCCCTACGTACTCCTTTCCCTGTCTGCAGGAGAGTCTATAAGCTGCGGGTTGGGTTTTGCAGTGTCGCGGCCTCTGACGCGAACAGAGCAGGAAAACCTGTCCTTGATGCTGGCGATGTCCGTGTTGGCTGTGTCAGGTGCTCTAACAAGTCTCTTAAGCTTGATAGCGCTGTTAAACTAGTCAAGACAGTAATTAATTAATTAATACTTAAAGCTTATAATACCTTAATAAGGTATATTAAGCTATTATATTAAAAAATCCTATTTAACTTTAACTTTTAGAAAGTAATATATATATAGCCTTAATAAAAATAAGCCTTTTAATTAAAAGTAAAATAATATACTTTTATAATAACTTAATTAATAACCTTATTAATAGCCACTGGAGGTATAAGAAGCCGTCTTAGACCTGATCCCTTTAAGACAGTGAATCAAGTGGTTGTCTATGCCGTTCCGAGTCGGAATTTCCGATAGTCCATTGTAGGAACTCACCGGGAGGCAAAGCGAACTAACACTCAGAGTTACAACAGTGAACAATGATGTGGATGTCGTGATTCAACCGGGGTCTGGTTCTTGGAATCAATTTGCTGCTCTGTTAGACACTAAAAACAATAGTGAACTCCAGCCCCGGGATTCATGTGAAATCGGGAGGCGGCGCCGACCATACCATCGGGGAGGGTGGCCGGTTGTATCAACGCGGGAGTGATGCCGATACAAGAAGCGTAGCTGATCGACGAACGGGAGCGTGGTGCCGATACAAGGAGGTTAGCCGATCGTGTCGACGGGAGCGTGATGCCGATATACAAGGATAATCGGAGTAGCCAATTGTATGAACGGGCAAGCGACGCTTTAAAAAGGTGGCCAATAGTGCAACAAGTTAGAAATGAGGCTGGAATCTATAGGGACGCTACTGTAGTCTACGGGGATGCCGATGCAGTTCAGCGGCGGCTAGAACTTTTAGTTTGCGCCACATCACGTGTTGTATACATGCTGCAGGTCAAGAAAGTGTCCCAGTAAAGATGTAAATTTAAAACAAAGGAGTATAGAACACTACATGCAATTAAAACCCCTTCTTGTGTTACGTCGTTTGTTAAAGAACTGCATCCGCTGTGAAAGCGTTTTCTGGCAGTTGTCAACAGAGTTATAGTTTCCATTATTGACTTTGTGTAACGCGGGAGTATCTGATGTCATTGCATTTAGTAATGGTCTCCAATTCAGTGCAGTATACATACCTTTACATTCATCGACCTTGGTCTGTAACTGAGCTGATTTTTGTTTCCAGTGTTGACACTCTGATAACAACTCTTTAACATGGGCTTCCAAATCGGTGACTGCTTCCTCTAGTGCTAATATGAGCTGCCGTTCAGCTTTCAGCTGCTTCCGGAGCACCTGGGTCACTTGTGATTGCTCTTGAAGTTGATGCTTCTTGGCGGATTGGTGGGATAAACGCTTTTGCTCCGATTCGGACTCATAACCCTGACTCCTTTCGTTTGCTGAACGTATTGAGCTTGAGGAAGTGGGATTAGACTGTGTATCGCAATTAGCAAGAGCCTGACCCCCCAGGAAGACTACAGAAACATACCTGATATGACAATCGGTCTGATGGCGATAGGGAATTTGTTGATGCAGTATGTTTGGAACTCGATTGACTCTGACTAGATGTGGATCTTGTTGAGTTTGGGAAAGTAGTGTAGCTTGGTCTTTTGCGGTCTGCAAGCCTAGTCCGGAGCCTTTCAATCTGGCGGCTCATACTGGTTTCCCTTTTCTTCATATCTTCTATGGTCTCCCTCAGGCTTAGTACCAACGCTGAGTCGTCAGGTGTTATGTGAACACTGTGCCGCTCGCGAAGCAGGCCTGAGACAATGACCCCTTGTGACTTGATCTCATCTTTGGCAGCGAGGAGTTGAGATTTTATGACTTGTTGTTTGTCTGACTCGTTTTTGATCTTCTCCGTCGCATAGACAAGCCACTGTTCGAAGAGTTCCTTCAACTCGGGTTTATCTGTTAGACTGCATCGAGTAAATGTGCGTAAGCAAGCCAGAGCTCGCGTTGCGTCTGTAAGATCAGAAGAGACCCTACCCACGGGTGTCCTTCGGTTATCTGGATGCAAGTGATTCGTCGTCAGAAGCTGATGCGAGATTGAATGTAACGCCTGACGGACATGAATAACGTACCGCATTCTCTTGTCTGTCCTCTGACAGATGTATACAACGGCCTCATAGTAGTACCATTCTTACCTTTGGAATCATTTCGGGCTCTCAAATCCTTTATCAACACTTGGCCTGGATTAACTATGGAAGCCTTCATTGCTGTTTTGTATAGCGACGACCTGTCGCTTTCGGATCGAGCAACCTCCTCTTGCTGGGCTTCCGAGTTTTGCAAAGCCTTTCTTCTTTTTGTGGGTACCAGAACAGTTGTATTTGATCCGTCTTGGGGGGTAAAAATACCTAAATCTTGTCCCCTGACAAGCCGGAAAATGAGAGACGTAGGATCGAATGCAATATTAAATGTAATACGCGGAAGCTCATAACTGGTTTCATATGGTGTGTAGAGGGCAGGCCGTTGATCATTGCCTGGTTGTCCAATGTCTTCTAGTACCAATGTCTGTCAGTCCCCATTTGGGGTATTCAAATGCCATTAAAAACATGCGCTGCAGTTATGAGGCTTACCAAGGTGGGTATCTTTCCATTTTGACATATAGTAAGGGAAGATAAGGAGACTCGTGGACTCAGAGATGTAGGCTTCTACATTCGAAAGCCCCTCATTGTTCCAGTTCCTACTGCATTGTCGATATAAGGGATGCAATCTTCGGTCCTTTGTTGGGGAAATTCCAACATGACTTAACGACATAATGGTCGTGAAGATGTATTGGCGTCTTGACAAGATGAGACTGCTGCTTATTCCATGAAACTGGGAGAGCACATAGCGCAGGACTGGACGTCGCCTCTTGATATCAGTTCTGAAGCCTGAATATGAAATTTCTCTACATACTTCAAGATCAACTGTCATTTAAATTCATGAACCCAGTCATTCCTATCCTTGAGCCACAATACCTATGAGTATAATTCCAGGACTGAAGTAAATCACAGCAAGCTATGTGAGCCTTTGGCCAGAATCAACTGTATGTAACACAAAAGACACAATCTAGGTCTCAACACCTTCTCTCAAAGAGGTTCAGCTCCCCTGTAAAATTGGCGCACAAGGTTTCGTACCGCCCCATCCCGGGTCCACCTATCAAATATCTTATTTGCAAGCGAGAGTTGTGGCTGGAAGCTAAGATCGACGGAGACAGCTGGGGTATGCCTGGGCTAGCAAGAACTAGAGCGTGTGTTCACTTCAATGGTGTAAGCTACTAAGTTAGCGCGTCATCTAAGAGCTCCGCCCTACACAGCTCACATTACGCCACAACGCCTGAACGATGCCTCGAGGCAAGGAGTTATCCCACCCATCCCGTCTCGCATTTGTGAATGACGAGGTGGCGGCTCCAGCTGGTAATGTATCTCATGCAGAACTGGATTACCGAGGGGTATCGTTACTGTATAGTATGTCCAAATCTTGGCTGTAATAAAGGTTTGCGACACTTCTTTATCAAAGAATCTTGAACAGTATCTATAGAGCAATACCGGACAGAGTCCGGGGTAATCGCTGTGGATAAGGGAGGAGGTCAAGGAACCTTTGTTAAAAGGGAGTGATGCCGTAATCTGTCAGGGGTGTAGATAAATCCTCTCCAACACCCCTGGCCGCACTTGATGCATAAGTGACTTTCTCCTGAACATTTCCTAATTAAGAATAGTTATTGGAAAAGACGGTATACCTTTTTACGGCTCACACACGCCCCTTTAACATTGGTATTGACGCGTAGCTGTGAACGCATCGATAAGCCCTTCAGAAAGGCAACCCGGTTAATGCCCAGAACCTCTGCTGATACCCAGGCCTAGATAGGTGTCGGCAATCGGCTCTGCAGTACAAGTTGCTGTCGCTTCCCGAGATCAACACCAGGGAGCAGCAATTGAGCGGGCATCAGATCCAGCTACAGTCTCCCAGATAAGAGTGGCCTCAACTGCGCGGACACGAGCTTGACTAAGAGGATAAGCCACCGTTGACAAGTTCTGATACTACTTACTACGTAGCTATTGCATCTATATAGTGTCATCACCCAAGGTATGTGGTGCCTGAAAGCGGTGAGGGGGAACTAATGTGTCGATCGAGTGGCTCGGATCTACCTTGAGGGATATTGAACTTGCCAATAAAATGGAATGAGCTCAAGGTATGTAGCAAACTCTATTGGGATACTCAAGATACTGGAAGTATAAGCCTGTGAAAGCTATTCAACTTTGAAAATTGCTACAGAGAAGCCGATGTATCTTACCTCGGAGATGAAATGTTCTGATTGGTGTCCTTTATCTTTGTGACCTGGGGCCTGAAGCCTCTTTTGAACCCCTAACCTTACGCCAGTTCTGATTCCATCCAGTCGCCTTGCACTTCTAGTTGGCTATGAGACATGTAACTGATTCACAGTCTAAGCCTGTGGCAACTTACCACAATTCTCAGGGTACGAATTTTGAGTCAATACAAGCATCATATAGTAAGTATCCCTTGGCACGACCTATTTGCAGTTGAGATTTGTGGCTGAGAGCTTATTCCAGCAGGGAGAACCTGGTATCCCTTGGCACAGGAAGCTTTTGCGTAGCGCGAGATGGAAGTGAGGAACTTGCTGACGCGGATGCACTCTGCCCCTTCTTAGGCTTGTTTGCGACCGTTGACCCCGTTTGAAGGGTAATTGCCAGAACCAGTATACCACTATCTGTTTTGTAACACTTTGCATGTCACAGGATTCGGGTAAGCCTACCAAGGCCGAAAGAGAGGAAGTTGATCTAAGCCTCAGTGACAGCCAGAACGTGCGTAGTACCGTGGTTCAATACGGTGATGGGACTGCGACTTGATGGTCTGCATTATAAGAGCTGAAGTGCTGCCGATGTGGCTTTTCCCTGCAAGGTGGTTCTGAAACCTGGTTAGTGGCAGTGCGGGGTACGGGTGGTGACACTTGATCTAGCCACCTTTGTATTACCGAAGATACCCTGTTATACGGGTCGGGGAACTTTGTGACTAAGTACAGCATGAGATTCAGATCGCTGAAGAAGGAGTGGTAAGGGAATATCGCGTTTTGCGCTAAAATGGCTTCACAGCCCTGTCTCAAAAACAGAGTTTCTTTAGTGTCTACGGCATACTCCGTACCAAGATAAAAGGTAAAGGCTAGAGAGACAAGAGTCCGTGCTTGAGCAGATCACGATGGCCCTGGTCTCAGTAGCCCAGAAGGAAGCAGTGACATTCTGGTCTCAGATTACATGTGCCGACTAAATGAATCTGGTCTCACACCCATACAGTCAATGTACTAATGCTCATATATTGTATACCCACCCTTTTGGCAACCCATACAAGCGTCAGCTGAGACTTGCACGTTTTTATCCCTCTGGAATCAACGCTGGAAAGTTCTAGATATGCGACATTCATTGCGCGTCCCAGTGCGACATTGCACATGTTTCTGGTAGCAATCACGGCCCAAATCAAACACCCCGTCATTAGCATCAGCGGTGACTCTGCAGGAGGCATTTTGCACTCTTGGAGAAATTCTAGCTACACCCCCCCTCCCCCATAGACTATGGCATCATTCCATATCAAGTCCTGACGAGGTACGGACGGATGTTCACCGAAGACGATAGGCATGGCAATCATAGCATTCGGGGTCTGGATTCCACATGGGTGAATACGGAGGCTGGAAATGAGAAACTATTCTACCGTACCTGGGGGAAAGAGAGCAGACCAAGTGGAAAAGGGGCAAAGCTCCGATGCACGACAGGGAGAGCCGGCTGCCTACTGTCCTTAACATGGTCACCTGCTGTTTTTTCTCGGTCGTAGCTTATTTTACCAGTCAGACATGGTGCTTGCATGATGTGTGCTGTTGGGAGTCTCTTGAGCTTGGTTCTTTCGTGGTGCAAATTACTGATGAGATGCTGCAGGCAAATTGTCTCCCATCGCGAGGGACGTGGTTACCAGTGATGGGACGCTCGACAGTATGCCATCGTGTTTAGCCCAAAACGCTCGTACTTGTCTTGTTGCCACCACCGCACTCCGTCATATCTGTCCCCCCTGATGCACAAACAGCCAAGGGTTTTGGCAACAGTAGTCGATATCTATTTTAGCCGTTATACCCTGCTGATTCAGGCTGGTCTGGACTTGGACTTAACTAAGTCCAACCAGGGATCCAGAATGGAATTTAAGTCTCTGTCTAAAATTATGCCCTGCCTAAGTCCATCCCGCCAGGGTCTTGCCTCGTGTTGGCCGCTATGACCTTGCCGTTGGAGCAAGAGAAGATAAGACCTAAGTTTAGGATGACAGAATAAACTTCATAAAAGGTATCCTAAACTCATCCTAAATTTATCTCAACTTACCTAAATGTTTTTATCAGTTGGGCTTAAGGTCCCGAGTTCTATTTCCTCCCCTCACCTGGCCAAGGGCCTCATGATACCGTCCAACCTCCGTGCTTCACTTCTGGGGCCCCTGTGATAGACACTTACCAAGCCATAGCTACAAGGGCGTCTCAAAACATTCCCAACGGTGACGCGCCGTCGGCCAAAGTGTCAAGCTACTCGCACCCATTTCTGGCCGTGAGATTATGGCTCTGGGCAAGAACGACATGGAGCACGCCAAAGACTAAAACAGTTCCGGTAATGAGGGAGAGATTGGGGTCACCATTGGCATTGCAGGGTTCCGTGTAACTGGCGCTGATGCCTGGGACTACGCTGTGACTTCACGTGAAGATCAGCGCGACCACAAGCAGTTCTTCATTGTAATTTCCCCTGATACCTTCTGTCCCATTTCCAGTCAAGTCCAAACTAGGGTCAGCACAAATACGAGTCATAATCTAATTATCTTGTACAGGGTTGTGTTGGTGTCTCGAAAGACAGCCTACTGTCTGTTTTGAAGGTCGAGATCCATGTTAACGGTGGCCTCAGGCAAAGCTCTACTACCGAAGATCTCATCCTTTACATCCCGACATGAACAAAGATCATTTCCAAGGGCCAAACACTGCGATCTGGTGATTTTATCGTCACTGGCACTGTAAGTTGGGCCCATCCACTGATTGACGCGACTGACCATTATGTAAAGCCAGCTGGTGTTAGCAGGCATTGGTAAAAACCCCCCGTCGTTTCTCTCGCCCGGCGACGCGGGTTTTGTCTCTGTGACTGGCTCAGGCACCTTATACACCAACATCGAAACGGCAGAAACTATCTTCACACAACGGTCCAGCGGGTGTCTTCCAACTCGCCATTCCGCATCAACATCCCGGCCAAGGCCCTTGATGCTCGTTAGGCTGGCCAAACTCAATGGCAAGCAGCTCAATAAACAGAGGAAAGGATCTCAAACCAACGATAATGGTCTTCGCGCACGGTTTGGGAGGCACTCAGGGTCACAGGACTCCTTAGATCACCGAGGGTTCCCTATCTGAGAACAACCCCCTTCACGTATTGACTTGGAGCGCCATGGTCTCAGCCCGACTCATGCTCTCAACAAGCTGAGCATTTGGTCCTTTGCGCAGAATGATGGATCCGTCCGTTATGCAGCCAACATTAGTTCACCTGCTGCTGCTACCCTATTCGCCCATTCGCTTGGATTCTTGGCAGCCTTCACTTGCCAATGCGAGAGAGATCGCCAGGCCTGAAGGCGATTTCGCCGTGGCTATTACACGATTTGCAGACGGTGCAGGCGGTAAGTCGGCAATAAATGATACTGCATCATCAATGAATCAAGTGTCTGGGCTGACCTGATAAGGATGCGCGAGGTGACCGAACACAACATTGAAGTCATTGGCGTCGACAACATCCATCTCAGTATCTCGGGTGAAGACATCACGGAGATCTTTCGGGCGCAAGGGCGCCAGTTCAATGACGAGGCAATGGCTGCATCCGTCGATGAGGCACACACGCATGGAAAGCGATTATGCGAACAAGCTCGAGCGAGTGCGTGCAGCATAGCGTGGATGTTATATACAACGGCAGTTGCATTGATGACCAAGGTGCGTATGCTATCTATTAGCCTTGATGTCATCTATGGCTAACTTAATTGGCATGGACAGGTTGAAACACGAGTGAGAGATGTATCTCTGTCCTAGCTATCGACTGGCTGGTTGCCACAACATTCTAAACCGAGGCCGTCCGATACACACGCGAAACCGCGGAGGGAACAAGATACAAGAAGGGCCTCGACGTTGCGATCTTGACTACACGAGTTACACAAACGAGGATTCGATGTTCTGCCAGGAGGGTAAGGCACTGCACTGTTCTTCTTCAAGTTAGTATTAAGTTGCACAGTGACTACGGCTTCGCATGGACGCCTCACGGAATGCGCTCGACTTTGAACATTTCGTCAAGCTGCTTGGTTTCGCCCTGCACGAGTACCATCGCCGCGACTGCTGGAGTTGCTGCGCGGTTGGTGATGGCCACGGGCTTGAGAAGATTCAGCCTGGGGACTATGCCGATTGCATACTTGTCGATAGAGACCCTTGTAAGACATCTTGATCCTACAGAATGGCGATAAGCTCCATGTTATTATCCTCAACGTTCGAGTTCAAAAGGCAGGAAGATGTACTCTATGGATGCATTAGTATCGCTATTACATGGGATCGCGAGTCATTTAATATAAGATTTCTTTAAAAAAAAAAACCAGGGTTTATAGAAATTAATTTCAAATAGCAGATCTGTAGGTAGCACCTGTACTGGCTTATATAGTAACTTGAACAACGTCTTTCTCTTATTCCTTAGGTATCTGAAACGCGTAGTGCAAGCATCTACTGTCAGGTTCGTTTACTTAAAATAACACGTCTATAAACACTGTCTATTGTTTAAATACTTAAAGTTGATTGCAGTATAATACTTATTTAAGTCTTTTGCAGCCAATTTGCTACATTTCCGGAGCTTGAATCAGCACAGAGTAGTCAGCCAGAGCCAAGAATCCCAAGTCCCTGTCCGACGTTCGCAAAAGGAAATTTATCAATTTGCATGATATCTCAGCTGGACATGGATGGATCAAAGAATTAAATTTACACTAGAAGTATATCTGGCGACCTTCTGACTCACAAACTCAATGCAGCCACCAGTTTCTGACTATCCCGAACTTTTCTTATAGCGGATGTACTGAAAGTGCCTTCTTGCATCAGCACAGAGAACTTCACTTGGGGTCAAGGACTCTTGCTATGACGATTTTAGCCCCGGTTGGGTCGGGTCAGTGGATAAGATCAGCACCAACTTGCGCTAATGCAATCGCCGAGATGTTCCGAGGCTTCCGTCCCGCGTTGTTAAAAAACGGGGTCGCATGAACAAAAGTATATATATGTTAATCAGGAAACCTCGTTGCTCCTGATCTACGCTGAGCACAGAAATATCTTTCCTTCTACAATTCCCATAGTCCCCCTTCGACGTCACCACGTACCTGCAACAATGACTTGGTCACCCCCAAAAGATTACACTTCCAGACCTATCGTCGTCCTCGGCGGCGGTGTCTTGGGTCGCAGAATCGCAGCTTGTTTTGCAAGCGTCGGATGGCACGTCATCATCCGAGATCCGTCCGGAAAGTCCAGGGCAGATGCAATTGCCTACATCGACGCAAACATCACTGACTATCTAACCATATCCCATGGAGAAAAGGGATCATGGGAGGCGACAGAAGACTTCGGTGCAGCTGTCAAGGACGCCTGGCTTGTCTTTGAGGCTGTGCCGGAGATACTGAGCATCAAGGAGGACACCTTCCTGGCCCTTGAGAAGCAAGCTCCGGCAGATTGCATCCTCGCTTCTAATAGCTCGTCTTTTATGTCAAGAGAGCTTCTGGGCAAGGTCAAGGATTCCACCAAGACGCGTGTACTCAATACGCATTTCATGATGCCTCCCCAGGTACGTTCATAGTAGCTGAGAGGCTGCAAGTGCTATTCACCACACTCCTACAAGAAGGCTAGCCTTTTGGAAGAGTGTCGCCATGGTTAACCGAACGTCTACTAATTGTCAAGGCCCTTATCGTGGAACTCATGACATCTGGCAGCACCGCTAGTAACCTCTTCCCGTTCCTCTCACAAGAGATGACCAAGTGCGGGCTCAAACCTTTCACTGCCAAGAAGGAGTCATCAGGCTTCATCTTCAACCGCATTTGGGCATCTATCAAGCGCGAGGTACTTATGGTCATGGCTGAAGGAGTTGCTGACCCTCAGACCATCGACCAAATCTGGATGGATATGTACCAGTCACCAACTGGTCCCTGCACTATGATGGGGTACGTCTGGCCCATTCTACCCCCAATCCATATCATAGCAATCAACCACTAACATCCGTCTTAGTATCTTGCCCCCTTCCTTGTACCATTGGTATTTATTCTTGTTCGTACATTAGTTCTAACATGGATTTTGCAGACAGTGTTGGCCTCGATACCGTTGAGCACATCGAAGCGAACTATGTTGAGAAACGTGGTTTACCCAAGACAACCTTGGAGTGGTTACATGAGAATTTTGTCGCCAAGGGAAAACTTGGCAATAAATCCGACCATGGTGGACTATATCCTGTTCCCCCACCAGGCGAAAAGACGAAGCTCCTCGTCCTCAACTTCTACCAAGGTGCAAGCCCTGGGGAGCTGACAACTGAGACACTCCTTTCTAGTGGCCAGATCCTAGAGTTCTCGGTTGAGAATAAGAACGTTCGTCCAAACGCGCTGATCTCTGGACAAGCTATCCCAGACGGCATCGACGTGTGCGACGATAGGATGTATTGGACTTGCATGGGCTACCCTCCTGCCAATGATGGGGCGGTCTACAGCGCCAAGCTAGACGGAAGCGATATTCGTACCGTTGTTCCTCGTGGTCACGTTCATACTCCCAAGCAACTGCACATCAGCCAGGAAAGCAAGAAGATCTACTTCTGCGACCGCGAAGGGCTCCGCATTCATCGCTGCAACCTGGACGGATCACAGCATGAGATTCTTGTCCAGACAGGAGATTACGCTAAAGAGCCTGAAAAGGCTGCAGACCAGACCAACTGGCCTGTCGGTATCACCGTATCCGAAAAACTGGGCCAGATCTTCTGGACTCAGAAAGGCCCTTCCAAGGGCAATGGCGGCAAGATCTTCTCTGCCAGTATCGACATGCCGGAAGGTAGTGACGCGTCGTCGCGCAAGGACATTGAAGTAATCGCCAAAGGCTTGCCGGAGCCCATCGACCTTGATTATGACGAGGATAACGGGGTGCTCTACTGGACTGACCGCGGCGAGATACCATTCGGTAACACGCTCAACAAGAAGACAATAGTTGGACAGCCCCCGGCCGCTGAAGGCGAGCTAGGCAGAGAGATCATTGCTCAAGGGTTTGCAGAGGCAATTGGCCTGCGACTGGACAAGAAGCGCGATTGCATTTATGTTGCTGACATGGCGGGAAGGCTGTGGCAGTGCGAGACTGTTCCTGGCCCTAAGAAGAAGGTTTTTGAATCTGCTGGACACGCGTATACTGGCCTTGTCATAGTTCGGGACTGAGTCGACGGCAAGCATCAGTATCTTGTATCTTGAAGGAGACAGGGTGTTTATAATGCGCTGTTTCACCCGGGGATATTGGTATCAATGCAGCTTACTTTCGCTATACAAAAGACCTATACAATATTCCCTCCCAAGTTGCTCCAGTCTCAGCATTGTATGTAGGCCGGATTTTCAAGCCAGAATTTCTAAGAGACAGGAATTGTGCGCAGCGTGAGCAAGTACAAATTCTTTCACCCAAAGTCACCTCAGATATTGCTCTAGGCATCAGGTGCATGACTCTGTTCATGCGCTTCCAGATTCGCCTGAGCCATTAAGAAATCAATCGACTCGAAACAACGCTGTGCTGTCTCATTCCTCCGCCCCAGTTTTTCCAGCAAGCGGTGCGCCTGGAAAGCTGCTTGCGTGGCATCCCGCACAGTGGTAGAGTAGGGACTACCCAGCACGAAGAATATCAGAGAGCTAGCAGAAAGTGCTAGCGAGGAGATGTAAAACCAAATGGACTCATGCAGGAGCCCTTGGTCATCCAGGCGCTGAAGTAGCCTATGATGTTACCCCAGTTAGAAATAAGGTCGTAATTACGTAGTTGAGAGGCAAGAGGACATGGTCCGGCACAGTGACCCCTTAAAACGAAAGATGAAGATGAGCTTACCATATAGTTTGCATGGCGGCAGTGATACACTGCGAGCCATATGCGTAGCCATCCATGCAGAAGCTACGGTCGTCTGCTTTACGGGTCAGGTGGTGCAAGAATGGTCGGTGAAGGGCCATCTGTGTTACTGCATATGTATGGCGGATCACCAACTGGGCATGCAAAGCTCGTCTCACAGGAGGAATCTCGTCAACTGGCGGCAGGCTGTTATACCAGTCAGTGAGCTGCGCGTCCAGCGAAACAACGTCCTGGCTCGTCAGTTTGTACGTCCCACTGTTACTATTTAACGCCATGCCCTTGCTGAACGGATCTCGACGCGAGTGTATCTCTGCCATGATTACCAGAATCCGAGTAGCGACGAGAGTTTCGGCCTCGGGTGTGTGAGGATTTCTTCGTACCAAGGAGATACCTTGGTCCGCCAGGTTCTCGTCCCGTAATGGCAGGATCTGGTCAGTGTCTACTTGATGGAAGAGCTTTGGGACACCCAACGTGCTGGCGAGATAGGTATCAATACCATAGAGCACTGAGAAAACCTGTCGCCGTCGAAACATATGCTCGGCGGGGATTTGAAGACCTGGGCCTAGTGATGGACCTGACACATGCAAGCCTATACGTAGGGCGGTGGCAACACCTATCGACAGTCGTGTGTAGGCTTTGGACAGCATGCAGCTTGATGCCAAGAACAGAACCTGGTATATGATTGCTCTTAAAATGTCCAGGCTGCAAAGGTCGTCCAGCTGGAGCATTTGCACACTTGATTGATGGAACTCCCATCTATACTTCACGTCAGACTAAACATGGCCATAGCGAAGGCTCGATGTTGTCTTACCCCTGGTTTATAGTGACGTGGTTCGAGTATGCCTCTGTTGCGCTGTGATTATCGGCATCATAACGCTTCGCGAACCCCAGCAATGCGAAAACCAGCGCCAGATAGGCACGATCACTAGGATCAAGTTCCCCCTGCGGCTTTGCGTGTACTCTGACAAGTTGAGTAAAGAAAGCGTCACGGTCGATACACTCGTGACATGGCAGAGCTTCCTCGATAGCGATGTAGCAAAGTCGCTGACACTCTGCCAAGCCCGGCAGTTCAGCGGGCAGTGGTATGGCCTGGTGGCTGGAAAACGGAGCACTGTCCTTGGAGAAGGCCTCGGCCAGGATCCCTCCAGACGAAAGGGGAGCCATGATGTTGGCAAGACTGTCGCACTTGTCTCTCACAATCCGCAAGACATTGAGGCTCGCGAATGCCCCATGATAGGTCTCGGATCCATCAAAGGTAGACAGCAGGTCATCACCGGGTCCGACGAGCGTATCAATAGCGTTTGGGTGGGTTTGGCTCGAACCAGGTTGTGGGTTCGCGTCTGAGAGACCGAAGGATGCAGCCGTAGGCTCATTGGTTCGTGGAGTCGACTCCGCCAATTGAGCCTCTAGGTCTGCCACCCTGGACTCAAGCTGACGAAGATGGTCGACGGGCCTGATCCGCGCAGACGCGCTTCCATAGGTACAACTATTCGGTGAAAAACGAATTAGCCATGGTCAGACAATGTACTAGGTCTGTTGACGTCAGGGGGCCTTGCGGGGGTCCTGTTCTTACACGACGGCACCTGCATGACAGCGCTGGCAGGGTTGTCCCCCTGAGCATTTCAATTTGCGCCGTTTACAAATATCGCAGGCTGACACTCGCTTGCGCGCCGCTAAGTCGCTAGGTCTCGGTTCAGTAGCCATGGTCGTGCCGATACATCCTATCAGTGGGAATAAAGTCCAGAAATTAGCACAACAATGTTTATTATCATTATGTACCACTACGTCATAGGCGCGTGACTAGTAACAACAGACACACAAGAGCTGAAAAACCATGGCTCTTAAACCCGAAGCATCAGGATCACATTATTTGCGGCTGATAATATGGGGCATCCTGCATAAGCGAGATCGCGCTTGGTGAGGATTAAGCTTAGCCTGTTCTCGGCCCTCTCGGCGGTTGCATTAGGGCGGACGGGGTTCTCCAGACGATGTCATTGCCCAATACTGTGTGCATGCAAGTTGCGCCTCATGAAGGTATAACAAGACACCCATGAGGCATTTTTTATAACCCCGCAACCTCAGTCGCTGCTCTTCTCCAAAAGTCAGGGATTCATCAACCCCCCAACATCAACCTTCATTGATCAAAACAACCCGCTCTCTCAAGATGGTCTCACTCATTGCCCGCCTCTTTCGGTTCTACTTGGTATGGATCCGCCGCAGTAAGACACAGTTCTTGGCCGCGCGTAACATGCGCGAGCATATCAAAACCCAATACATCTACCCACAAAGCTTTTCACCTCCCAAAAACCTCGGTCCCAACATCAGCATTGAGCGCGTTGATGTAAACGACTGGCCTCTTTATCGCATTTCATCGTCGCCATTCTCCCCAAAAGTGGGAGATGAGGCCAACCGCCCAGCGATGCTGTACTGCCACGGGGGCGGCTGGGTCAATGAAATCGTGACTCAGCATTATAATCTCGTGGCGCAGATTGCCAGGGACACCGGGCTTGACGTGCTCGTCCCAATCTACCCTCTTATCCCTCGACCTGCGGCCACTGCTGTGCAAGTCATCGCGGGGCTGCACGAGATCATGAACCGAGTCAAACAGCCTATTGTCAGCATCGGTGGTGACTCGGCGGGGGGTAATCTGGCAATGTTACTTGCGCAGCATCTCGTACGCGTGGATTCGGATCTCAGATCACGGGTCAGATCACTCATTCTGATCTCGCCTGCGCTGGATTGCACTTTGAGCCACCCTGAGACTAAAATATTGGGACTCAACGACCCGTGGCTCAGCCACGAGGGTTTGCACGTAGTCGCGGATGTGTGGGCTGGAGGTTTGGCACGTTCGGACCCCAGGGTCAGCCCGCTCTTTGGCGATATTGTAGACTTGCCTCCAATCTTACTCCTCTCGGGAACGCACGACTTGCTCTGCGCAGATGCAAGACGTCTCAGTGCTCGGTTCCGCAATGGCGGTACTTCTAAGGATATGGATACCTGGGCAGTGGGCAGTGTTGAGCTGGAGAGGTTTAAGTATGTTGAGGTAGAGGAGATGGTTCACGTATGGCCACTTACGCCATCACCTGAGGGGGCAGAGGCACGAAAGATAATAATGGAATTTATAAGAAAGTATCTATAACTCTAAGGTACTAATAAACTCAGAATCCTTAAGCATACTTATTATAAAAGCTTAACCTTATAGGCCGCCGTCATCTATAGTAGATGATAGGACTCCAAGAGGCTCATGAAGTTGTCTACGGCGCGTTCGTGTCTGCCATCGAAAGGAATCTCCTCTTGATAGAATCACTATAAAGGATGAACAAGTCACGAACCACTTGAGCACAGAACCGTTAATGTCACTGGTCCATTTGACACAGTCAATCTGTTATTGTCAATTAATGGTTAATGAACTGTTAAGGCTCAAGACCTCAAAGTTGTGAGTTGAAAAGAAGTAACAGGTAGGCTTATGAAATATTATTATCACATGATAGGTTTGTGTTTTTATGGAGCAACTATAGTGTCTCGCTGCAGCCACTCCAAGTGATAAACGGGCATGCTGATTACTTGTATTATTGATGGTGGTGTCGGAAGTTGCCGTCCCAGCCTTGTTATTGGCTCAACATGATAGAAGATTGTGAGAACCCACTAATAGACGAGAAATTGACCAATTGGAACATACTCTGTGTTGTGCTCCGGTACTACCCTAGATTCTCTCCTTCAATCACAGCAGACTTGATAATGAAGTTAAATAAAATCAGGGAACTTATAGTTTGAGCGATACCCAGCTCTACTTACTACCAAGAGTATTTCTAGGCCCCAAGTCCCCGTGCTTGAATACCATTTATAGTTACTCAGAGACTCACAGCTGGGTTCCCCCTTACTTTTAGCCTTGACTACTAAATAGAGATATCGTCTCTCACGACAGAAACATCCCTCAGCCATGAGCTTGTATGCACTACGGAATAGAATACGACAACAGAACGATCTATGCTGACGGTATATAGCAATCAACCGGTATTAACATGCTGCAAGCATAATGACGAATTCTTTACCTTGGGGAAAGCAATCGAACATCTTCGGAAACACTTCAATTTTATCGGCCGGCCCAGAGGCCTCGGACAGACAGATGCGCATGGGCACAAATGGTATTGCAATGAATGCGAAACTACAGTAAAAAATCATCGCAGCTTCAATTCCGATAAAGCGATGTGGAGTCATTTGAAGGCCCGACACGACTTTGTAATGGATTGTGATTCTGACTTAATGTTTTATTAAATTTCTAAAACTGTTCAAGAATGGTAACAGGTCTGATAATTATTACCAGTTGAGCGTGACTGTTTTGCAAATACGTAGAAACAGTAACTTGATTCTTGAAGTAACATTTGACATACATGATAGATAAGTAGCGCCACGTCTGAACCATGATTAAGCAGCTGCATTGATCCATCGCGCAAAGCTATTCGCCGATGGACCGACGTGTACCAGCTCCTTTAGCCTTCTCTTATTGATCTTGTAACCGACATAAGGATACTTCTCCACGAAAAATGCACCACCCGAGAGCCTCTTGAACTTGCCCAGCTTCGTCTCAACATAACCCTCCAGCTCCTTAGCCAGGTTATCCAAAGCCAAAGACCGTTCCTCAGCCTTTAAATCGTGGCTTGGTGTCGCGTCTGGCTGAAGCACAACAAATGCCGTAGGATGCTCCTGTTGCGTCTCTTGGTCGCGGATACCGACTACGACAGCTGTTGCTACGGCGGGGTGATCAAAGAGGATAGCCTCGAACTCAGACGCTGAAGCGTGAGTGCCGTAGCCATCGCCGACACGGAGTAGCTCTTTCAGCCGGTCGACGATAAAGACATTGGAGTTCTCGTCAACGTAGCCGACGTCACCTGAGTGGAACCAGCCATCAGCGTCAAAATCCTTGTTGGCCTCGTCATTGTCCTTGTAGCCGGCAAAGCGAGCAAGTGTATTCCTCACAAGGATCTCTCCTTGTTCGTTGTGGCCAAGGTCCTTACCAGTCTCGATATCGAGGACCCTGGCTTCGAAGCCATGGACAAGAGTACCACTTGATCCGGGTACAGAGGAAGCCTCATCGACCTGGAGGGTGATAAGGAGAGTTTCTGTCGTCCCCCATTCGAGTGTTAGGCGAACACCATTGAACTTGTCTTGAACAGCGTCCCGAATCTTTGTATGGACAGGAGCTCCAGCAGATAGAAGCCATTTGATGCTCTTGTAAGTAACGCCGACTTTTTCCGACTTTGCGATCTGGGCTGCGAGTGGCGGGGTAACGAAAAGGAAGGTGATGGCATATTTGTCAATGAGATGAAAGGTAGATTGGTCGAAAGGCTGAGTAAGAATTATGACTGGGATACCAAGGAGGATGTTCAGACCAAGGTTGAGCTTTGCGTTGATTCCATAGGCGAAGGGTAAGGAAGACAGCCAAACGTCTTTCTCCGGATCAGTGTCGGAGGGCACGGTCAGGCGAGTTGTGAGGAGATTGGCAGCCCAGTGAGCATGGGTTGTGAGGAAGGACTTCACGTTGCCCGATGATCCACTGGTGCGGTAAATGAAAGCATAGTGCTGCTCAGTTTCCTCGTGGGTGGAGAGCCTGAAACCAGTGAAGGGCTCATTTTCTTCGGTAAGCAGATCCTCAATGTTGCTGATTCCCTGAGAAGAATCATCGAGGCTGATCAGAGGAATCCCATTGAAGGCTTCAGCTGCAGGCTTTGTGATAGATGCCAGGCCCGAGTCCGTTATGATCAACTTGGCGTCAGCTTGTTCGAGTCTGGGAATAATTGCTGGGGCATCAAGTCCTTGCTGAACAGGAATTGGGGAGATTGTAGCTCCAGCTGCCAGCGCTGCAAAAAAAGCAATAGGATAGTTTATCTCGCAAATGTTAGTTAAATCAGTTGTGCGGATTGGGAGAGCGATAGCTCACAGAGTTGTTGGCTAAGAATGCAATGACATTATTAGGCTTGATTCCATACTTCTTTACAAGAACGCTAGCCAGTCGCAAGCTCTTGTTCTCAAGTTCTTCCAAAGTCAGAGTCTCCCCGGTGTTATGGACCCGGTATAACACTTTGTCTTTAGGATACTTCTCTCGAGCAGTGTTGAAGATGAAGTTGAACACGTCCGTGGAGGGCGGGTCAACCTTGGGAAACTTTGACTCAAAGACCATTTTGATATAGTGGAGAAGATGACTGGAATACAGATGTGAAGACCGTCTGATTGATCTCAAATCGAGTTATTAAGTATTAGACTCGCTTAGGTCTCCAACAAGAGCCTCGGTCTCTGGCTTGAGGTATGTAGCCCCTCCACTTCGGTAATCTCGTCTTCCTGACAGAAAAGCACATCAACAGAATTGCATCCCGACAAGTTGCTTGCTCGTTTCAACATGCCACTGAAATTGACGCAATCGCAACGTCAACTTCCTATTCTCGTATTTTTCCAGCGCGCTCCGAGCCCTGTAAGAGCTAATGCACATCACTCACCACCTCGAAACGGCTCGTGAAGATCAATTTGCCTTTCCTCGGGTTAGCGTAAACCATGACGTGGCAATCGAGCCTCACGTAAGCAGGTCGCGTTCCAATTCCGCGTCTACGCGACATTGGGTTTCTTGATGACGCGACGACTTGGCGCAGTTTTAGTCGGACTTGCATGGATATACGGGTTAAATGCATAAGCCAAGCCAAGGGTTCATAGCTACTTCGCTGTGACAATTGTAATGTCATCCACGGTTCAGGGTATGCTGACAGGGTTACCAGCTCCGATGCGGCCCGGATCGTCTCTACCACCTGAAGCAGACATGGCTGGTGCATGACGGAAGCGTACACGATTTTGGATTTGTATCGGCAGATACTTGCAGGAGGCTCTTGTAGTTGATGCTTGTTATTGAGCATGCGCGTTTTGAGAAACTGTCCTAGTGTAAGACCATAAATCGATCATAGGTCCAAAATTGAGAATCTGAGCAAGGCTTGACAAACACGGTCGTGTTTTGAAGTAAAATTACCAACCTCTTACACAAAATAACTTCGTTCTTTCAAAGAATCTCTGAAGATGGCGTCCAAAGAAACTGCCAGTCTCCCAGTCATTGACTTTGCCAAGATCATCGGACCATCCATCTCTAGGACACCAGAAGTCCTAGAAGACAGCGTCAAAGAGAAGCAGAAACTCTTCGACGCATTTGTCAATGTCGGATTTGTGTACCTGGCAAACCACTCCATCCCTGACTTTGCTCGAGAAAATCTCTTCTCTCACGCAAAGAAATTCTTCGCTCTACCTGAATCAGAAAAGGCAAAGGTTGAGACAGGAGAGTCCAAGGGCTTCCATGGATGGTTCTCTCCCGCTCGAACTTCAGGCGATTCTCGTCATTCTGATCTCAAAGAGGCTTTTGACGTTGGGAAGGAGAACGACCCAACGAGGCCGAATCAGTGGCCAGAGAACTGGCCTGAGTTTCGCGACGATATGAACTTCTTCTTTGAGAAATGTCATGAGGTTCATCTTGTTCTCCTTCGTGTCCTGGCAGAGCAGGTCGGTGTGGAGGGGGACTTCTTTGAGCCTCATGTTGACGAAAAAGACCACTTCTTTCGCGTCATCTACTACCCCGAGACGACTCGAGCTGCCTTCAAAGATAGGGCCAGGGCATCAGCACACACAGACTATGGCACCCTTACCTTGCTCTTCAATGATGAGAGTGGGGGTCTGCAGGTGCGCCGAGTGGACGGGAAGTACATTGATGCTCCACCGATTCCCGGATGCGCCATAATCAACGGTAAGCTAGCGAGACCCGAGATTCCTTTCTGCACCATAAAGGTCACTAACCAAGAATAGTTGGGGATCTGCTGTCCCGCTGGTTCAACGACATCCTCATTTCTACCGAGCACCGCGTTGTGGAGCCGGTACCTAAGCCTGATGCCGACGGCAACATTCCTGACATTATCCCGGCACGCTACTCCATTGCTTGGTTCGGCCATCCCAATCGAGAAGCGCTCGTTGAGCCGATTGAAGCTTGCTGCACTGCCTCGAACCCGCAGAAGTATGGCGCTGTTTACGCTGGAAAGCACGTCGTGGAGAAATTGGCGTATCTGCATAAAAACGGCCAAAACACCACGACCTGGACTGATGATATGCAACGCGAGACGTCTGAGGCTGTGGCCAATGCTCCGCTGCTACAAGCAGGTAGTGCATGATATTTGAGTGATATTTTAAATAGTCGTTCTTTATTTAAATGCTTCAATTCTATCTCTGAAAGTCACAACTAAAAAATGGTTAAACTTGATGTCATCCCATAGTCTGATTCGTAACTTCTGAGCTCTCCGTATGTATGCGTAGATTGTTACTCTGAGGTAAACTTCAACATTGGTATGTTTTGTATGAAACGAAACATGGTTTCCGCAACACAAACCCCTGTCACCTTACTCGCCATGTTACCCCATACAAGCCCTCTCAAATCTGACGAAGGATTGTGACTCGACGTGCATATGCAGCCGCATATTTGGCCAAGTGCCATGGTTAACTATGTCCGAGCAAGGCCTCCCCGACGATTCAGTCTACCACATCAACGCAGTTCCAACTCCGACATGCAGAAACTTTCCCTTAGGCCTTGCATTAGCGGATCGGGCCCTCTGGCAGGATCTCTTTGCCACGATAGCATCGTACACGAATCCCCCACGCCTCACAAGGCACGTTTTGGGTCAGCAACGGAATGCGACTGGGACAAGCTGGAACACAACAATCAGAGGCAAAATCACGCAAAATTGTGACATTGTAATTGTAGATGCAGGGCTCGCCTCTGTCCGCTGTTATTGACCGAACGCGAAGTCGAGTGTATGTCAGGAAGATCTTGGTCGATTACATTTAGAGAGAGACGCCTTTGTTTATTTCAGCGTTGTAGATATCGAGATTCAAGATATTTTAACAAGTCGCCTCTATTCCCAACATACATTGTACCAGGAACTCAGACCCTATCAAGGTCTCCATTGGTAAACAGCCATCGCACAATTAGACAAGTGGCAACCACTACGGACTATGTTGCATACACCCGCGATGCACATTGAGATACCGGTAAAGTCTTTATCCAGCCAAACCTTTACATGATCCCACTGCTAAGACTTCTTGACTAGACATTCAACTTCCGGATTCCTGCCGGTCACCGGAACCGAAAGTCCGCGGCTTCAACGTTAGTCAAGGAAATCGCGGCGAATGGAAATGAGGCCATCCATTGGACGCCAGACTCATGGCGGCCAAAGTTCGCTGCTCAGGCTGTGGAGTACCATGATAAAGATGCTCTGGAGAACGTATGCTCAGCACTGAAGCAACTGCCTCCTCTCGTCAGTCGCTTGGAGATAGAGCAGGCCCGGGTTCGCTTCTACCATGTTGCTCTGGGTCGTGGCTTCATCATCCAAGGAGGAGACTGTGCAGAGAGTTTCCACGATATACAGCATGATATCATCCACCGTAAGGTTGACCTACTCCATCAACAGAGCCAAATACTTGAGGATGCGATTGGAAAGCCTGTCATTCCTCTCGGACGTATTGCAGGACAATACGCCAAGCCAAGGTCAAACCCTCTCGAGATCCTCCCAAGTGGCGAAAAGGTGCACGCATTTCGAGGTCATATCATAAACTCAGAGGGACTGGAAGATAGAAATCCAGACCCCAAGCGACTCATGCTGGGATACTTCTATGCTGCGGCGACGCAGAACAGCATCCGTCATGTCACTGGGCTAGCGAATTCAGTACCCGGCAAGGCATTCAACAAGTGCCATCTTTACACATCGCATGAGGCGCTTCACCTCCCCTACGAATCTTCTCTCACGCATGAGTCTTATAACCTGTCAGCAACATCAATCTGGCTAGGTGAGAGAACCCGTCAACTTGATGGCGCCCATGTTGAGTATGCTCGTGGACTGCGAAACCCCATCGGTGTCAAGATCGGCCCAAAAGCCACTGCAGCAGACGTGATTGCGCTCCTTGACACTCTAGCGCCTGATACAGCACAGTATGGCAAGGTCACCATTATCACTCGTATGGGACGCGACAAGGTGAGGCAGGTACTTCCCACCATCATCAGAGCAGTGCAGCTCAGCGGTCATCTACCCATATGGATGTGTGATCCTTGCCATGGTAACACGTTTACTACGTCAGAAGGGATCAAGACCAGAAAGGTCGAAGACCTCTTGGCTGAGCTTGAGGAGACATATACTGTTCATCGGAGTCTTGAGAGTCACCTTGGGGGTATCCATCTGGAGCAAACGGGAGACGATGTCACAGAATGCTTAGGTGGTCCATCCTGCGAAAACGAGGGGGATTTGAATTCTTGCTACGAGTCGTTGTGTGATCCTAGGTTGTCTGGTGAGCAGGCGTTGGATTTGGTGCAACGCTTTGCCGAGTTTGTGAAGAACTTTAGTTAGACGCTTAGCAGCATCTACTCTTATATCTATTTAACGGCGATAGCAAATCTGACCTTTATCTCTCAGCCTGTAGCTCCTTTTATATATGGCATTATTCTCATAACAGCTTGATGTAGTAAGTATCAGTTTTAAAATCATATACAGTACAAAGATCTAAGTACCATTCAGAATATGACGACCACCTTAGTTAGTAATCGCACATCAATTTCTAAACATCAAGAGCCCTGGTTCTACGCAATACAGTGTTGTGACTTTTTCAGTGTCCTATTAAATGATAGAATAAAGACTTATACATCTACTTAGATCTAGATTTCTTATCTCATTTAGCTAGGGCTTTCGTCCATATACAAAGTTGAGCTTAGGCTGATAGCCATAAGTCTTTATCTCGATCTCCAAAGCATCGAGAAATTCATGGAACTCCTTCGAATTCGCCGCAACCCCAGGAATTCCGCCGTCTATTAAGCAATTTAGTTAGTACTGAATCTCTTGTTGTTATAGGTTCGACTCACCAGGGATCTTCTCATCCAGGGTCCTGAAGCACTCAACCCAGAGCTCCGCTGACACATCCCTCTGGTCCTTAGATCTTGCGAGGGCGCCGTAGCCGTGATCAAATTGGACCTTGCGGACATCCTCCAAGCCAGCGTCCTGCAGGAGCTGTTCAAGCTTGTACGCAATATGAATGTCCATACCGAAGGTGGCAGTTGACCACTCCTGTAGGGCAGCTTGCTTCCTTAGCTGAGGCCTTGTTTTCTCATCAGCCAGATTGTTAGGATCAATCCATTCAGCCTCGACGAGCTGTATATAGCCGCCAGGCTTGAGAGACTCAACGAGATTTGAGATGACACGAGGCCACTCAGTAGACTGGATGCCCCAGATAAGAAGTCTCTGATTGATCACGTCGAACTTGGAGGACCAGTCCCACGAATGTGGAAAGGGAGTTCTCACATCATGGCTGCGAAGCTCTACCCTGTGAGCGGCGTTATCATCTGGTGCAGGGAAGAGATCGGATCCAATATCAACTCCATAGAGCTCCAGATCGTGCGATGGGAGCTGGCGGGGCAGATCCCGTAGCCAGAAGCCTACGAATGTCAATATCAAGTATAAGGTATGAGTAACAGGAACTTACCATCAGCAGCACCCGAGTCTAGTACGCGTAAGGGCTTTTTGTCGTGGATAGAGGGTACTACGAGCAATTGACCACCCGTGGTAGTGTTCATGAAGAGGTGTTGGCGATGTAATCTCTGAATCTCCCTGGCATGGTGAGGTAGCATGTAGGTCCCTTCTGTACCTGAGAATGGTGCCAGTGATGTAGAGACTGTCGCGGCACCAGTCACGGCACTAACAGTTGCAGAAGCCATTTCAGCAAGTTCGCTTGGTAGGTTTCCAGATTCAGAGTCAAGAGCGGCGATTAAGCTTGGCCAGCAGCTGTGAGTGATTGCTGGTTCAGTGGACTTGACCTTAACAACCACTATTTAATGACCATAAGCACAAACACACTGCAGCTGTCTACTAATTCGATACCATTATGGTGGAATATCGTAGTCGGAACCATCATCCCGATTAAGCTAACGGCCAGATCTGGCAACATTTACAAGCACACAATCTATGTCCAATTGCAAAGCAGAGACACGCTTGTAATTCCTCTCATGAATTATCATGCACATACCTTGCATGAGATTTAGCAAGTCTATTAGCATTGGTTCATTTGCCTGTCGATCCCCACTATGCCATCCAACTCCGATGGCCTCGGAGTTGCGCAACCTGGAACTGCCATAAATCTCCGAGGCGAAGTCCACAATTGCGTGCGGAACCCATGCTGATTGCGCCAGACCTTCTATTGGTGACAATTAATACTATTTGGGCAAAGCTTTTGATGGCGCTCCTACTAAGCTCTCTTTGCTCAGCAACCTAACCCATTATCTCTTAGTCTGGAATGGGCAGAGGAACCAACTGCTTCAGCATCAGCCAGAACACGCCAAATTCAATTCAGCTCTACCTGGGGTTAAAGAAAGAAAGCGCTGGGAGCAGCAGTTGTCTCAACCAACAGCAGGACTAAGGGGCGTAGCGAGGACCAACATCTGGTCAGGGCCATCGGACATCGACAGACGATACGCCCCGAGGACCCGTTGTGCTGAGCCTCGTATGGGGTTGTTTTAATGCCAGCGATTAATCTCCCTTCCCGTTGCCTTATTCATCAATCATCTTGACCATTCCTTTCTACATTTTCTTTGTGCACGCGCCCGATTCCCCAGAACGATATCCAGACATCAGAGTAAAGGAAAAACAATTATTTACCTGGCAAAAGTCGGTCTGGATATCCAGTATCGGGATAGTATTTACGCATCGAAAACAGCCGCATTGCATTCGCAACCGACCGAGCCGTCGGTACAGTCCATCATTCGGTCCTCTATCATAGCCCTGCCCCTCCTACTCGCCTACTCTTTTCCCCCTCGAATCCTCTGTCCAACCTTGATTCTCTCCAACCACATGCTTCTGGCCCGTACAATGGTCTCCGCTATCACTCCTCCCCCTCCCTCCGCACCGCCCTACCGACTCGCCAATCTTGCAAATCTCACCTTGGGCTATACCGTCTACCCTTCGTGGACTCAGAAAGACGGACTTGTTGCCATGACATCTCCCCCGTCTCCTCCATACAACGACGACTCTTCGAAAGCTGAGCGCTACCCTCTGATCATTAACAATGCGCTCTACACCCCACCGGGAGTTTATAGTGTCCGACAGCTGGTCGCCACCGCCTCGCCCCTTCTCGATGTCATCATATCTCGCCTTGGCCCAGATGGACCGAACGATGTCCCTGCTCGCACTGTCCTCGTAAATGGTCTGGCAGCTTCTCTTGCAACCACGGGTCGAGAGTCTACACTGCCACTGGTCCACTCGTCCCAGGATACTGCTCGCAGAGAGATTGTGATCCAAGCAAACAAGATCGCAAAGACACTGGTTGGATACGTCCACGATAGCATCGATCCTACCAACGCGCATCCCAAGATACGACTCCGAAGTCCCTGTGAGGGACATCTCTGGACTCCAGCAGTTGCAAGCCTTCTTCTGGGACCTCGGAGCGACTCGCAGCTAATGGAGCTCTATAATGAGTGGCTTCATCGGATGATTCTTCTTCGTGACAGTTTGATTCCCTTTGAGAACTACGACAAGGTGCCTTTCGTTATTCCTCGTGACTCAGACCGAGGTATCCGCGATCTAGAAGAGCCTCGGAAGCTTTTCCTTGTACACTGTCTGACAGGCACAATTCAGCATGTCGCTATTGTTGACCTGGCCAAAGTGTTCACAGCGCGACATCTCCCTCGAGGTGGCTATGGCTTTCAGTACTCTCAAGGCCTCGTTTTGCCAGCCTTCCTGTCCGGATCTACTTCTCTTCACCTACTACGTTATCATCCAGCCCATGTCTATGACTCGGAGAGCGAGGTCTTGTTTGACTACGAGCATAAAGAGTACATTGACGCTCCCAGAACAGAGCTTGCAGCAAGTGAAGCCCTCTCTGGAGACGGTAGCTGGAACCTGCCCTCGCTGTTAGGGGTTGACACCAGGGTCACCGAGTCTTCTCTGGCCATTGACGCTGGGAAGGACGCTCTCCGACGCATTGTCAAACTACGCCTCACACTGTACTCGGGGAAGTCTGTGTCTGTTGACCTCGGTCAGATCGCCCGTGGTCGACGTTACGCGTATGAAGTCAAAGCGGACAAGGGACCTACAAATGGAACATCATCACCCATCCTCAGTGCACTGTCGGCACAAGGTGCTAATGGCACACACAAGACCATTGTCCACGATGCGGCAGACATTCTCTCGCGACCTGGACTTGTCATCTCACCGCGAGTAAAGGATGGTCATGGAAACACAATCCACATCATTCCTACATCAGACCCTATTCTGAAGTTAGCGCTCCTCGGAAAGTTTTATCCTGAAAATGTAATTCTATCACGAGAAAAGGATAACATTGATGCTCTTAGTAAGGCTGGTAAGGGATTTGCGGAGCGCCTGGTAATCTTGGATCGGATTAATGAGAAGGCTATAAGTTAGGGATCTGTAAAGGCTGGACCATTTCGCCAATGACGCTGGAAGGAAGTATCAGATGCATTACTCAATTTCTATGTACATATGCACTTGCATATTATTCAACGATCTGTGCATAATGAGATATGTTAACTATATCTCAATTGTTCATTGCGGGGGCTAAGTGACCCTCATTCGATTAAAAGTGTTTAAGTTACCGCATAGGTCGATTACATCCTATCTTCGTTTTTGCCTTGGAATATAATTACCAAGTACTCATACAAACCAGGCTCCAGTTGAGTCTTCAGGCATAGTGCTGGCGTATGACATTGTCAGCATTTTAATACATTAAAGTATAGAAGAAATGCTACTGAATTCACGTAACTTTGATAGACATCATCAGATTCTATTACTGTACATCTGCTGTAGCAATGACTAGCTTTGTAAAGTCATCAAACATGTCGAACTGGAGCGGACTAAGAGGAGCGCCTCGATCTCCAGACCTTCCAATACTCTTGATCTGATCAACAGCCCGGCGGATCGTGACCTTTGTCCGTGCGAAGTCATCAGCGGTTAGTTGAGACTTGGCGAGAGTCCATTCCTCTGCCGACGAGGCTTTCCAGATAGCCTCAGGTGCTGGGAGAGTCAAGTTGTGAATGAGGTCGTTGTCCAGAGGCTCAAAGTAGTTTGGATCCTGCTTCTGAACACGACAGGAAAGGGTATTGATCGCATTGACAAGGAAAACAGTTCTTCGTATTGTCTCGTCCATGAGCCATTTGCGCCAATTGCTCTCTTCACCGTCCTCGGCTGTTGAGGTTTGGAGATATTGTTTGGCAAGACGTCTGGTCATCTGCCGTACTGTTTTAGCTCATGTCACTTGTTAAATTTAAGTAGGGGACATGTTGTCTACCTTGAGGAAGAACATCTGCTGTGACTCGGCTGCACGCGTCTGTTCTGGGTTTACGCTCACAAAGAACCCCAAGGTCTGATAGATACACATGGCGTGGACCACCGCAAGCATGTCAGCATCAGAACCGGGTAGTTGGTGCTGCACACTGTTAATGAGAGTCGGTGACTAGTTCGGACTCGACCGGTCACTTACAAATCCTTTGACAAGCTTGTTAGTCTCTTCATTTATGAGCGAGTAAACAAACGTCTCGCTGACTGGAACAGATGCGTAGAAAGCCCCGACGCAGCAGAAGGCCTTAGCGAGCGGTTCTGCAACATCCCCAGCAGAACATCGGTATAGCTTGTGATGTACAAATGGGGGATATACTCCAGGTTGTAACATGACACTGGGGTAGTTGCTGACCATTTTGATGAGATCATCGTCTTTGTGGAGTCTGTGAAAAGGGCATGACTGCATATTTCGACTGATACCATATGGCTGACGTGGTACAGCCGTATTCGACAACTCCGTACCACGCGCAGCTTTGACGGCACCATGAAGAGTCTTGCCTTGTTCGGTATCGGCCTCGACATCAAGTGGAGAGTTCTGGTTGCTCTGGTGATTTGCAATGGATGTTGTTCTTGGGTAGTGACCCTCAGATGAGATTGGGGTATTCAGCATGGTTGAAAATCCAGCCGGTTGAGATGTCTGGCCCGGAGTAATCCGATTCTGAGTCAAGATCCCAAGTGAGCCCAGGAGATCGAAGTTGAGATCCTCAGAAGCTCCTGTGAAGCCGCCTCCTTGCAAAGGGTCTTCGAGCTCTGGAGATATAGGCAGTTCAGGGGAGAGGAATACATTCTGCGAGAACCAAGGTATCTCCTGCTGCCATCGGGACGCAGGGTCTGTCTCATTGGTCAAGTTAAATAATGAAATGCCGTCCCTCTCAAGCTGCCCTGGGCTTGGCGTAGGATCTCCAAAGCCGACAATGGGTCTGTTTGCCTGTGTGTTCGCATGCCACCCATTTATGTTGACGCCGTTAGTCGCAGGTGCGGGTAATGGTTGTTGTTGGAGAGCTGCAAGTGACAGGCCGTTGGAGGTGGCAGAACTGCGGCTTTGGTCCCCCGCGTCATGCATGACAGCTTCAAGGTCAAGATCTGATTGACGGCGACTAGAGTAACTTGAAAGCGATGAGCTATTTCCGATAACGCTATTGCTATCATATGGCTGCCCCGAATTGGTTCGAGCGTGGTGCACCCGAGGCCGTTGGGATGCCTCGATCTGCTGAGATGCGGCGTTGGGATTGTTGGCCGAGACGTATCGGCACGTCTTGTTCCTGTTGATGCAGCGTGAACATGACGGCGTACCCAGATCGCAGCTCAGTTTGGAGGCTGCGCAGGCTGTGCAAGACTTTTGCTTGGATAATTTTTGTCGTTGGGACGATTGAATACAGCGCTGTTGATGCTTGTACCGATATTCCTCTTCAGAGATAAAGAAAGATTAATTAGCCTACCAGGCAACTGGGGGAAAGTGCAGCGGACAGGGCCAAGATTGCGATTGTTGGCAGTACAGGCACGAACCATCATCTGCTCAAAGGGATTGACCATAACAAGGGGTAACAGGGCGTAGTACTCACTCTGAGCAAACTCCTTGGGGCAGTTGGAGCACCGCCAGGGGCCCTGCTTGGAGGCATCTCTGGCCCGGCGAGAGGTAGTCTCAGAGCGACTCGGCGAAAACAGAACCGGCTGCATCTCTCACTTTCTCCGAGGCGATGGTAAGAGGGAACGGGCTTGGACAGAAGACAGCAGAGGACGTCTACATAGCTCCGAGAGGGACGGGGCATCCTCCCCGATCAAGTTAGCGCGTTATAGCGTGATTACAGGGATCTGCAATTAGCCAAACAGTCCTGCCGCGCTTGATCGTATCGGGAAATGCGTATCGGTGGTCTGTACCCGGGAGTGGGGGCAACACTACCCTACGCCTTTTCAAACAAACCTGCATCAAGACTCCTGTCAGGCTACCTCACTCCGTACCCGAGAGTGAAGGATTGGTAATGTCAGCCGCATGCCGGCAGATAGACTAGCCAAAAGTGTTTCTCTTATCAGCGTTCATAGTGATTCTAAACTCGATATTGTTCTTCGCCACGTCTCGCAACATAATCCTGCAATGTCGTGATGGCACGCAGGGAGATTCCGGGGTGGTCAACAGGAAGTAGCCCTGCTTTAGCGAATATCAAGTAGAGGTCGTACACATGCTTATAACCAGTGTATGAGACTGAAGTGAAGCTCTAACCTGTGTAAGTCTACGCCTCGGCAGGCAACCTTCCCTGCCGTTGCGACAAGAAACGGAAGGCAGCTATGCACTTTCGGGTACGCCGAACCACCTACAAGCACTTGAACCATGGCTGACGACATCAGTATCTCTGGATTATGCTGTGCATCCCCGACGCAAGCTACAATGACACGATACGGGTTAATTCTCAAGTCATTCCTGACTAGGAACATGAACATGGAGGCACGTTGAGGACCCTGACAACAGCCAGCTACTGGCTCGCATTGCTCCAAGTCTGAAACTCTCTTTGGCTAGTAGGACCATGGGGAATAGAGTGGGTAAGATTGTATGTGTTCTCGATCCCAGCGTCTCTCTCTGAATCGAGTTGCTATTGTTGAGTCGGCTTGCATAATAACCCGCGCTAGTCGCATCAAGTTGAAGTGAAGCAGGTCTGCTGCTAAAATATACCTGACAATCTTGTCATATTCCAAGTGAAATTTGTTCAAATTCATCTTAACATCGGAGACTTTCACATTGCATCAAACTTTTCCAAAATGGGCACGATCAAGGTTCTCATCATTGATCATTATGATTCCTATACCAACAACATTTTACAACTTCTCCAAGGCACTCAGAAGGGTCATGATGGCCAGTCGTATCCGGAGTGGAGTGTATCTATTATTCGATTCGATCAGTTCTCATGGTATGTAGAACAAAAAAGGTCCCAAGCCTGTTACTGTAAGCGATGTTTAACTGTTTGTTCCTAGGGATCACTTCAAATCCGACGTCCTCCCTCATCTAGATGCCATCATCCTATCACCAGGACCCGGCACACCGCAGCGCGAAGTAGACTTTGGCTTCAACGCTCGGCTCATAAGAGAAGTCAACATTCCCATACTGGGGATCTGCCTTGGACATCAAGGCATTGGTACATCGTTCGGCGCCAATATCATCCATGCACCAAATATCAAACATGGTCAGATCTGTCAGATTCATCACCGCGGCACAGGTATCCTGAGTGGTTTGCCGCAGGAGTTCGATGGAGTAAGGTATAACAGTCTTGTATTGGACATTGAAGGTACCTTATCCCTCCAATATTCAACCTTCATATTCCGTTCTTGCTGACACTTTCTAGATGTCCCACCAGAGCTTCAAGTCACAGCATGGACATACGACCCAGAGAACCCTTCTAAGAAGGTTTTAATGGGACTTCAACATCGTGAGCGCCCGGTCTTTGGTACGCAATGGCATCCAGAAAGCGTTTGCTCTGCCCATGGGAAGCAGATACTCTCAAACTTCCGAGATATCGTCTTGGACTTTTGGGTGACTAGCAACCCGAGAAATCAATGGACCAAGCGTAGGGTTCTTGAGAACGCGTCACTGCCTGAGCATATTCTTCAGCAGAACGCTGTTGAGCAAACCGACTTGGGCAAGGCACTGGTTGCAGAGGCCGACACAGCGCGACAGCCCTCACCTTATTACGTCAAGTCTGCTAGAATTGGCAAAGGCCCGTCGGCAGAGATTGTGTTCCAAACACTATTTAGGGGTAGATCTTTAGACGGGGAAGCATGGCTTGATAGCGCCAAGGTACGTTTCCTCTCTTTGATTGCCCAGCACTTTTCACATTCTGACTCGGTTGTAGGTTAGAGACTCACACTCTCGCAACTCTTATCTATCTTGGGCTTCCTTTACACTGAGCTACTCTACTAAGTCGAGGCACGTGTCTTTCTACCAACATGGCAAGAACATAAAATCGGAGAGGCTGAGTGTTTCCTACTGGTCGTGGCTGGAGAAGTTCCAGCAGGAGACCATCGTGGCAAACACCGAGACACTCCCTTCTGAGTCGCTAGATCAAGAGACAGATGTTGGTCAGCCTTTGCTCCAGGTTGGGCTCATCGGCTACTTTGGCTATGAGCTCAAGAGAGAATCATTACCTGGCTACCAGTTCACCCCACCTGATGAGAAGGATGTCAGCTTGAAGCACAGCGATAGCGAGCAACTCTTCGCAAACACCGTGCTTCGACTCGATAATTATACTGGAGAGTGGACGCTGTTCAGCTTGATACGTCGAGGTGAAGAGGATCCAATTGGCAATGCCATTGGCGCCTCGAGCAAGATAGGCATCGATGAGGCCGAGTTTGACCTTTACTTGAATCGTGTCCGTGAGGTATTTGACGCACCGCCATCGCCACCTTACGTTGAAGCGCATCCCTTGCCCAATTTCGTCGCGCTCGACAACGAGGCGTCCTATTCCAACACTATCTGGGCAGCCAAGGAGGCAATAAAAGAAGGGGAGACATACGAGCTTACACTGACAACAAAGTTCAAGGCAAAGAGCCCCGAGGTAGATCCTTACAGTCTGTATCTTGACCTTCGAAAGCGAAATCCTGCGCCCTATTCTGCGTACATATACTTTGCCGCTCATGACAAGACCATCCTTTCATCATCGCCTGAGCGATTCATCTCCATCGATAGTAATGGAGTTGCAGAGATGAAGCCAATCAAGGGCACCCTTGCTGTTGACCCTGATCCTGTTGAGGATGAGAGGCGGAAGCATCACCTTGCGACCGATGTCAAAGAGCTGGCCGAGAATCTGATGGTAAGCACAAAGCCGCTGTTTAAGATTCGTTTGACTAATTTTATGTAGATCGTCGACCTCATTCGATCCGACCTTCACAACATCTCACCGCCAAGCTCAATTTCCGTGCCTAAGCTCTTGCATGTAGAAACCTATCAAACTGTCCATCAGGTAAGACTACATCTTCCAAGTGTGACTTCATGACACGATGACTGACTATGACTTAGCTCGTAACCACAATACAGTCCCATGTTGCCCCATCGGTAGGAGGAACCAAGGTCATCGAACGCTGTTTCCCACCTGGCTCCATGACCGGCGCCCCAAAGCTTCGCTCAGTTCAGATCCTCGACTCTCTTGAAGGTCAGCGTGAGCGAGGCATATACTCTGGAAGTATCGGTTACATCTGTGCTAGCGGTACCGTCGACCAATCCGTTGTGATTCGCACGATCGTCAAGTCTGGCAATGATCTAGAACTCGGTGCGGGAGGGGCGATCACTTGGCTGAGTGAGGCGGACAAGGAATGGGACGAGGTCATGGTTAAAGCGAATGCTGTTGCTCGAGGGAAGGGAAAGGCGCCAGTTACTGATGCCGCTATCAGTCACTTAGGACCATTCGTGGAGGAAGAGGGTCATCTACGACAGGAGCACTCACTGAGAACTGCAATCAGCGCGTGATGGGTATTGGGATAGATTGGTTCAATAGCATTCTTAGTTTGTAGTAACAATATCGTCTGGTATGAATGGAATCACACATTCATTGGATATATGTTTAAGAGAAGAGTGAGACGGAATAGGTATAACCAAATTATTAACTCACGCCATGCGATGGCTTCTTGAGAAGTTGAGATGGTCATCTTCCAATTTTCACTGTTCCCGATAACATCACAGCCAGCAGCAAACACTGTCGCGATCGATAGATAACGGCACATGTCAGCATAGAAAGAAGAGCAAGACGAACGCTGATAAGAAGAATGGATTGAACTGTCATTGAAGAATAATAAACCTGAACGTGCTACCCCCAGCCTAATTGAACTCTTAATACCCACTGCCCAACACAGGCCAGGTTGACCAGTTTGACCAGTGACAATACTGAGTTGTCCCTATCTAAAAGAAGTAGAATAGCTTCCACCCCTTCACCTTGGTGGCCCAAGTGAAGAAGTAGACCAAGGCAAGATTACTGAATGTGAATAAGACAAAGATTCCCCAACTACCCCATTGTCCGCCGAGTTGGCCATCACCAAGGTTGAATTGGTCCAAGAACTGAGTCCCACTAGTCCAACGACATACCCGACAATAGATGTCACCAGAAGCGTCGGGGTTGAGTAGTTGAGCGGACACGGATACAGCCCATTCAGATGCATAGGATGAACAAGTCTCGTTAGCAGGGGCGGTAAACACTGTGAGGTCTGCTGGTGAGCACGACACTTCAACAGATGAGGTCACAGCCGTCACCATCCCGCCAAGAAGGTAGGTGAATGGAGATAGGTAGTAGAGCTGTATTTATGTTAGACGAAAGGCTAGCGAGGATAATTATGGAAACGTTGTGGCTTACCCAGTAACGCCAGAAGACCTGGATCTGGCTGTAAGGAACGATGATGCCGTTGAACCAGTTGCAAGTGCAGACAATGAACACGAGAACATTTCCTGCTGCTCCGAGATCTGGGCTGAGGGCCATCATGAAGAGACCAAGGAGAACCTGCAATTGTCAGAGGAGTACCACTAGCTAAAAGGACCCATGTGTGACGTACTTGGAAGATCTCATATGTGAGAAGGAATAGAAAGATGTAACCGGCTTGATCTAAAGGTAAACCGGCTGGGAAATACCAAATGACGAAGTACAGAACGGTGACCAAGATAGCGCCGGGTATCTCTGAGAGTATGGTCGAAGACACGAAAGCAATCC